CAATGATAATTGCTGGGCCGTGTACTCGAGTGTTCTTGTCTAGCTTGTTGAGCTGGTACACAGGGGTATCTATGCGATCAGAATTGCCATCGAAATAAGCTTTCGAAACAGTGTCTGGGTCACCGCTAACATCCTTGATTGTGGCTTCGCGGAGCTGTACCAGAGGGCTTACTTCCTCCCGCACCTTGGAGCAAGCAATCGTACGAACGCGGACATCGTCAACCAAGACTGGGCGATCAGAGTTGAAGCCAAACTCCCTGCGATGCCTGGCACTGAACTCCTCCAGGAAGTCGGAGTCGTCTTCAGGCTTCAAGATCATGAGACTTGTGTCTGAGCCTTCATAGCGCAAGTTGAGATAGAGTTCGTGTCGAACCTGATCGGCTGGGAATCCTTGACTCTCCATATCCTTCATAGCCGTTTGGATCAAGTCATCGAAGCGTTTGTCGAGAGTGGAGCGGGAGGTGGAGTACTCGGTGGAGAGAGGCTCTTGCGACTCCTTGACAACTTCGGCCAGTGCCAGGCCGTACGCAGATAGGACAGAAGAGAACTTGTGAATGATGATGCGAGAGATTCCCAATGAAGCAGCAACCGTACAGGCATGCTGACCTCCTGCACCACCGAAGCATGCAAGATGATGGGAAGCAGTTTCAAAGCCACGGGCTTCGGTAAGGTTGCGGATTGGGCGTGCCATTGATTCATCTGCAACCTTCAGGAATCCCAATGCGACCTCTTCTGGAGTGAACTCTGTTTGACCCTTCTCCTTCCGCTCGGAGTTGATCTTCTGGGTGAGTTCTTCGAAAAGCTTCGTGGTGACCTCAAGGTCGAGTGGTTGATCCTCATTTTCCCCAAAGATGTGAGGGAAATATTCCGGCAACAGCCGACCGAGGAACAAGTTGGCATCGGTGACTGTCAATGGACCTCCTTTGCGATAGCAAGCAGGGCCAGGATGGGCTGACGCTGACTCGGGTCCAACATAGAAGAGACCATTCCGCCACGAGAGGATGGAACCACCACCAGCGGCCACAGTATTGATATCCAACTGCGGAGATTGAATGAGTACGCCAGCAACCTTGGATCCGAATACATGCTCAAGATGTCCATCGTAGCGGGATACATCTGTCGACGTGCCACCCATGTCAAATCCTATCACTGGAGTCTTCTCTTTCGGATCCCAGCTGGTCGCCGCGAATCCGACCACGCCAGCAGCCGGGCCGGATAGAATCGCTTTCAGCCCGCTGAACCTGCGGAAATCTACTAGGCCACCATCAGACTGCATAAATTCAAAGCGACATTCGTGTTGCTTCTCGAGACCACCCTCGAAGCTGTCCGAGATAGAGTCGATGTAGGTCTTGATGACAGGGGTGAGGTAGGCATCCGCCGCGGCAGACATGCCTCGAGGGACAACCTTGATCATTGGCTGTAGTTTCGAAGACAAGGTCACGGAAAAGCCCATGCTCTCGGCCACCTCACCAATCTGGCGCTCATGCTCGGGGTAAGCGAATGAGTGGACCAACGCAACCGATAATGACTGGTAGCCTTGGTCTTTCAACTCCTGCAGAATCCGCCGCACTTCGTCGATGTCAAGTTCTTGCACCACCCTGAACTGTTCCCCAGTTGTGCCTTCGACGACTCGAGCTTCAGAGAAGCAATCTTTGTCTGCAAGCGGGTGGCAGGGGACCACCCGCTCATTGATTTCCACGACTCTCTCTGGCAGGACGCCAGGTCTCGCCATGGATAGATCGAAGATATTGGGACGGGATTGATCCCCGATTCTGAGCAGGTCGCGGAAGCCCTTGGTGGTGAGAAGGACCGAGCGAGCGCCCTTGCGCTCCAGCAGTGCATTGGTAGCCACGGTCGTTCCCATGCGAAGACTTTTGATGCGGTCGAGCTTCAGAGGCTGCCCTCGTGGATGTGACTCTCCTGTGACGAGCTCCAAGATCTGGCGAATACCCTCGGTGGGTGCATCTTGATAGTGGCCAGGGTCGACGGACAGTAGCTTGAGGATGATGTCGGGGCGACCGGGCACAACGGCGTGTACGTCGGTGAAGGTACCGCCACGGTCGATGGAAATGGTAATCTTGTCATCAGACCCGGTCATCTTGCCGGATAGAGGCTCGGACAAGACAATGGGTGTAGCAAAGTAAGGAAAGGACGTGTAGAATGAGTGAGGGGAAAGTCAACGAGGGGCAATCGTGGGGTTCAAATAACAATCCCGCTTTGGGGAATTGTTGATAAGCTTCGGATGTCGTCAGTCGGCTGTATTTACTCCACGAGGAGTCCCATTGGCTCCCGGTCACGTGTCGGGCCGATGACGGCGGGGCGTACGGAGAGCCCGGCCCGATAGCGCCGTCGTCTATCCCCATGATAGCCATGATAAAGCAGAAGACTAAAGATAATGCACGTAGATAGGATGAGCCCGAAAAGTTACAGCAAATAGTAATGAGGAACTCGGAGTTAAGGATGGTTGATCGACTTGACCTATCATCTCTGCTATCCTAGTTGAATTAGCCTGCATAGCCGGCCCGGCCATGATCAGATGTATATGTGCAAAAGCCTCACCTGGCCAAAGATTACTTAAGCTTATCCCCCTTTTATCAACAACTCTGCACAAAAGTCGGAAATTGACAGCACGACTTCACTTGGCACTCTAGACTATGGGGCTGTGTCAGTTTCAGCCCCAAACATGCCAAAAAGGTTAGCGTCTCAGGGTCCGGTGTCTGTCAGCCTTACCAGCATGGCACATTTAACAGCCACAGTAAAGGGCCCCCACGTGAGAGGCATCAACATATATCAAACCGCTTCCTCCCCGTTTCTTCCTGAGACCATCTGTCCTACCATTGAATTTCGGTAGTGTTGTGCACGTCAAGGCAACATGAGCGAATCAAGCGAATCCGTCTTGTCAATTCTCACTGGACAATCCTGGTTCTGGGATCCCATGCAGAGCAATGAGATCATGTTCCATCCGGACGGCAGTGGCCACGTAAGAGAAGCCCCCTTTCTTTCATTTCATTGAAACTAAAAAAGCTAAGTCGAGACTAGTTGATCTGTCGTTATGAAACCCAGGTGTGGATTATGGCAGAGTTGGATTGGAGATCCCTACGCCCAGCTTCTCTCGAGCAGGTTGCTGCGATCACCACCGATGGCCTTCTCAGCGAATTCGAGATTGCGATCAGGCTATCCCAGAGACAAATTGCAGAGTCTTATGTCCCCCCTGGTCGTCGCATCAACGAAGCTTTACTCACCGACAAGGCTTTTGAGCCCAAGGTTTTCACCATACGATTGGAACGAGGTTCATTCCTTACTCAGCATGATAGAACGGGGGGCAGACAGGGTGGAGATACCTCAAGATGGGCTATGCGTCTGGTCTTTGACAGGTCTCCTTATCCCCAGGCCGAGGAGTGGAAGGAGATGACCAGCAGTCTTCAGGCGCATAAGATGTGGGAGTGGAATGAATTTTGCAGCCATCAGCTGCCTGAGCAGGGTCTTCTGGCAGCGACTTGGTCAAAGCTTAGGGAAACATTTGTCTCCTGACGATCTATGAGAGAATAGGTGTGGATTTGTCAGAAAATAATTACAAGAATTCAATGAACAGCGACCGGGCTATACATCGACGGCTCAATTTCCCTAGACCCTTCTGACTCAACAATGACCATGCCTCCATACCCGCATCCCTTCCACAGTCCAGGTATCTGTCATTTGGCTCTGCTCATCCTTCCTTTTGCTCACCACCCTTCTCTTTCCCTTCCTCCTTGCTTGAATTCTCGTCATCTTCGTCATCAGACGAGCTTCGTGACAGCCAGAATCGAGAAAGCATACCACCCAGATAGGTCTGATCGACCCACTTGATGACACTGTAGAAGAACCAGCCCCAGCCCCACATCGAGACCCCCATCATGCTAGCCACCAAGAGGACCGGACCGAGGATGAGCAGCGACAGAACACACCAGAGAATAACTGCTACGGCAGCAAACAAGAAGACACCGGCCAGGAAGACGAGCAACGGGACTCCGCAGCAAAGCAGCTGGCAGATGAGGAAGGTTGTGCTGGCCGGCCGCTTGGATGCGGCGTCATACAGACGGGCTTGTCGTGGTCCCGGCAAGAGCCAGGATAGCCAGCCCATAAGGTATGATTCCATCTTGTCGAACATCCGGGGTACCCAGCGACGATACCACTCGCGCATAGGAGAAAGAATAGGGCCGTCATTGTTCTGATCGCGCTGGGCGGACTTGACTCCGTCTTCGTCTCCAGGGAATTGGCCGGGCAGCACTGAGTCGGTGGTATTCTGGGCAGTCTTGTTGACCGTCTTGTGGCCCTGCTGAACCGTAGACTTGACGTCCCCGGTCAACTTAGGGGGTCGGCCCTGTAGGCCGCTGGTTGCCACGCCGGTCGCTGTGTTGAGGGACATTGTAAGGTCGGCACTGGCAGTGGTGCACGCGATTCAAGCGCACGGGCTTTGTATGGAGGATGAATCAAGGATAGAGAGACTGTAGTAGCAGCACTGTATCTTCTTTTCTTTCGTGAAGGCGAGCGACAGTAAATAAACAACACGATGGATAGAGGGGGAAGTATGAAATCATCATCGTTTTAAACCGGGTTGCCGGTAAATGACGTAGTGGGCGCCGTCATTCGTAATATGACAGCTGCTATAGCGTCCCACTCAAAGCAGTTGATTGCACCACCTACCATGGTAGGTAAGTTCTGACTGGAGTCCACAGTACTAAGGTACGAGCATAGTGTGGCCTGGCATCAACTACCAGGTGGCTGATGAGAGCTTATGGAAGCGGAAATGAAACTGATCGGGAATGTCTTCCACAGTTCTGTTCCAAGCGTGGCACGCAGACCCATCAGGCATACGCTAGCGGCCTGAGGCCTGAGGATTGCTTGGTTTGTTTGTTTGCATGTTTGTTGTGCTGTACTACTTCCCTTCCAAAATTACTCCGCACTTTATCTACTCGTAACTAGGCTGTAGATAGTCTCACGTCTCCACTCAAATACTACCCTTTCACCTTCTTCTGTTGACTAGTGTCTAGTAGCAGTACCACCTTGCCACCTTTACAGCTACTAGTCTAGCACCGATTCACCCCGATTCACCCACATTCAAGCCAACCACTCGATCATACTTCGCGCAAGTGAATCTAAGCTAAACATGCAGCAGCAAACATCTTGGAATGCTGATCCCGCCCCCTCTTCTGCACCCCCTGTCCTGGAGGTGCCTGGGCCATTAATCACCTGGCCTTTTTCTTCTCTGGTCAACCTTTCTTTATTTATTCCTTTCTTCTCTTGCTTCCGTGCCACCTTTCAATCTACCACTCCTCGTCTGTTTTTGAATTGGTAAATCGCCTACAATGTTGGTTAGTCGCCTCTGGCCAGTATTTCTAGTACTGGCTACGGCCTCCGCTGTCTCAGTGAACCCCTTGCCGGCCCCGCGCAACATCACTTGGGGATCATCTGGACCCAAGCACTTGGCTGGCTTTGTGACTTTACGCGCACCTAACGACACCGACGACAACATCCTCGCTAATGCCTGGAATCGCGCCTGGAAAACTGTAGTCGACCTGCAGTGGGTACCGGCCGCCACCGAAGCACCCATCTCAAGCTTCCAGCCCTTCCCAACTGCGTCTCCCAAAACCACTCAAAAGGACAAGCGCGTCTCAGCGCCCTCGGTGCAATATGTCGATGTGGAGATCAAAGACATCACTGCGGACCTTCAGCATGGTGTCGACGAGTCCTACACTCTCGAATTGACTGAGGGGAGCAGCACGATTGATATCAAGGCCGCGACGGTCTGGGGAGCGCTGCATGCGTTCACCACCCTTCAGCAGCTGATAATCTCGGACGGCTCGGGTGGGCTGATCATCGAACAGTGTGTCTCAGTCCAAGACGAACCCCTCTATCCGTACCGTGGTATCATGATCGACACGGGACGGAACTTCATCTCCGTCGGCAAGATCTACGAGCAATTGGACGGAATGGCACTTTCGAAGCTGAACGTCCTGCATTGGCACCTCGAAGACACTCAATCCTGGCCCGTGCAGATTGACTCCCACCCCGAGATGATCCAGGATGCGTACTCGCCGCGCGAGATTTTCACTCATGCAGACATGCGCAGCGTGGTTGCATATGCCCGTGCTCGTGCCATTCGGGTGATTCCCGAGGTTGACATGCCCAGTCACTCTTCGTCCGGATGGAAGAACGCGGACCCAGAAATGGTGACCTGTATCAACTCGTGGTGGTCGAACGATGACTGGGCTCTGCACACGGCGGTCGAGCCGAACCCGGGCCAGCTGGACATCATCTACCCCGGCACATACGACGTAGTGCGGGACGTCTATAACGAGCTCTCAGATATCTTCCCCGACAATTGGTTCCACGTCGGCGCGGATGAGATCCAAGCCAACTGCTTCAACTTCAGCACGTACGTGACGGAGTGGTTCCAAGAGGACCCCTCGCGGACCTACAACGACCTGGCGCAGCACTGGATCGACAACGCGGTCCCGATCTTCCGCAACTACAGCACCTCGCGCCGACTGGTCATGTGGGAGGACATCGTTCTCTCGACCGAGCACGCGCACGACGTCCCCACCGACATCGTCATGCAGTCGTGGAACAACGGGCTGGACTACCTCAGCAAGCTGACGGCGCAGGGCTACGATGTCATCGTCTCGTCGTCGGACTTCATGTACCTGGACTGCGGCTTCGGCGGCTTCATCACCAACGACCCCCGCTACGACGTCATGAGCAACCCGGACCCCAACACCCCTAACTTCAACTACGGCGGCAACGGCGGCAGCTGGTGCGCCCCCTACAAGACCTGGCAGCGCATCTACGACTACGACTTCACCACCAACCTGACCGACGCCCAGGCCGCGCACATCATCGGCGCGGTCGCGCCGCTGTGGTCCGAGCAGGTCGACGACGTGACCGTCTCCAGCCGCTTCTGGCCCCGCGCCGCCGCCCTGGCCGAGCGCGTCTGGTCCGGCAACCGCGACGAGCAGGGCCAGAAGCGCACCACGCTGATGACCCAGCGCATCCTGAACTTCCGTGAGTACCTCGTCGCCAACGGCGTGCAGGCGAGCCCGCTCGTGCCCAAGTATTGTCTGCAGCATCCCCATGCCTGTGACTTGTATCGTGACCAGAGTGCCGTGCACTGATGATATGTACTCACGAAATAAGCCTTGGGTGTACAAATCTTGCCTTTTGGAAGACCCCTCGTTGGTTTGTGGTCAGCATTGGATGATCTAACGGGCTACTTATGAATGGCTGCTGTAAGCCGAATCATCTTGCATATGTGTATAGGTGCTACTTAATCGAATGGCATAAACCCACGAATATACTTGCCGGTTGAACCGTGCATGGCATCGTAGTCTACCCAGATCCTTGGGCGTACTAGACCTATCTGGCGTCCCCAATGTAAGAGAAAGACTGCAGCGATCACACCGCGTAGACACCGTGATGACCCACGTTCAAACCATCCAATTTCCAGATTAGATTACCGCATTAAACCCGCCTAACACCCATAGAAGAAAGATATATAGACATGCCCGCAAACTTCACAACCAGAAAGAAATCTTCACCTCCGATCGCGCTTCAACGGCGAAAAAGCCGGGACACCGCCGAACCCCCGGCCGCGCGCCGTGCCCGCCTTGCGGAAATCGAAGTCCATATCATCGTCCTCATCATCGATGATCAGCTTCTTCTGCTGGCCGCCCAGCTTGCGCTTGCGGACCTGCGGCTTGGCCAGCATCGAGACATTGCCCGCGCCGAAGATGTCATCGTCGTCGTCGTCGTCATCGATCGGATCCAGCCGCCTCGACGCCTGTCGCGGTCTTCTCGAATTGCCAGCGGTAGCTGTCATCGTCGCAGTAGCCGCGGTGGTCTTTTCCGGCCGCGCCTTGCCCAAGCTCAGGGATTGTTGGCGGGGTCTTTGTGCAACTGCAGCTGCAGTTGCAGTTGCAGTTGCGGGGACATCCGGTTCACGGATTATACTGTCCTCGAGCGAGGAAGACTCCTGGTCGCTGTCGTTGTTGGCGTTGTCGGCATTAATCTCGTTGGACTCTGCGTCAGCCGAGGGAGCACCGGTCGTCCGGTTCAGGAACGGGGTGATCGAGAAGGCGGATTTTTCGCCGGGCAGCGCCGCCACGGCGGCGGCGCGCTTCTCCTTCTCCGCGTTCTTGGCGCGGACCGCGCCGGGCGTCGCGATCGTCAATTCCGGGTTGATCCGCGCGGCGGCCGCGTATCGATCGGTCGAGGGCTGGTCCCTCGACCATTTGACGGGGACGATACTCGTCCCGGCCTGGATAGCTGGCTGGATGGAGCTACTGCTGTTATTGCTGTGGTTGATCTGGGCCTTGCGGAGCTGATCCTTGGTCGCGAGGAGCTTTTTCGTGAGCGTCTCGATCTTATCTTCCAACGCGGCTTTCTCAGCATTCCACTTTGCAGTGGCTGCTTGTTGTTGCTGCTGCTGTTTTTGTAATTGTTGTTGTAATTGTTGTTGCTGCTGCTGCTGTTGCTGTTGCTGCTGCTGCTCGGACCCCGCGCGAGCGGAACGCGTCCGCTCGTGCGCGCGCCGCTCATTCTCAAGCTCGACCTCCAGCGAGCTCAGCTGCCGCGAGAGCGCCTGCTTCTCCGCCAGGAGAGTCTGTGACGAGCTCTCCACCGACTGCAACCGCTGCACCTCGGTCTGCACCCCGGCCAACTCCTTGGCCAGCCGCATCTTCTCCGTCATCAGGGCTTTCACCTCGACGGAGGTGTCGGACATGGATTCCAGCTCTCGCTGCTCGTAACCTCAGTAAATGCTTTAACACGAACAAAACCAACGAAGCACCAAACAATCACAACAACAAGATATCAAAACCTCCTCGTTCACCTCTCCCCCCCTCCCCAAGTCATAACAAGAATCCAGGGAAAAAAAAAAGAACTTACAGCAAGATTCTCCTTCTCATGCCCGAGCACATACACCGTCTGCTGGATGCGGTCCCGCTCCAGCGCGACCTGATTCAACCGCCCCAGAATCTCCAGCTCGGCGGAGCGCACCCGCCCGATCTCCTGGCGCGCCTGATCCAGCTGCTGCTGCAGGTTCTCGTTCTCGAACTGCTGCAGCAGCTGGTCCACGCGGTGGACGCGGCGGGCTTCCTGGTCGAGGAGCTGCGCCGCGGTGCTCACGGTCTGGTCATATTCTCTCTCGAGGGAGAGTGTATGCAGACTTAGGTTGTACTGGATTGTGGGAGGTTAGTGGTTTGTGTGTATTGATGTTGATGTTGACAGGGGGGCAAGCAAATCTTCGGTTTGCGTTTCTGGGGCAATTGGGGAGGTTCCGCGCGGAGGAGGGGGGGAGGAGAGGAGCTTACGTCTTCGGCGGTGCTGTCGATGCCCATTCTTTGTTGGGTTGTCACTCGCGAGGTTATCGAGGGAGGGATTGTTATATTTGCGATTGTATGCCTGGTTTCAAACAATTAAAGGTATAGGATGGGGATAAAGCGATTGGTGACCACGGCACGTGAAGGAGAAGGATGTAAACAGAAGGCTATCTGCACGTGACCAGACTGCGATGCAAATCACCCAAACAGTGCGATCTAGTGCCTGATATCCAAGGCATCAACGGTCTTATCGCCATCGGCCTCGTTCACATTACGTATTTATCCAAAGCTTTTCTGAAATTCAGATTGATCCTTAATTGCTGAGGCAGAAGTTGAAATCACCCAGCGGTGAGCCTCGAAGATCCACTGGTTGAAGCTAAACATGCAGAGAGCCAAAACATAAACTTTGTATGTACAGTACAAACCGGACTTAACGTCATACCATCATCGCAAAACAAGACACTGGGGAATCTAAAATATCTCACCCAGATGAAACAAAAACAGACGCTGAAAACACCTAATGTCTATCCATGTAACGAGTCCTTCACCAAGAAGAAAATGGTTGGCCAGTCTCAAGCCTTGGGCCGGTAGAACTTGCTCTCAACCCACGGCATCCCCGTGACCGTGGCCTTTCTGACCTTATTCCGGACCAGCACCCCCACCTCGGTCCCCTTCTTGTGCAAGCCATTCTTGATGTAGCCCATCGCGATGTTTACACCTCCCAACGACGGACTGGGCAGACCGGAGGTGATCACTCCGATCTGCGCGCGGGACTCGTCGTTCAGATCCACAATGACAGCGCCTTCGCGAGCAGGGGAACCCTTCTCGACGGTGAATCCCACCCGGCGCTGGGAAAGGGTCTTGGCAGGGGACGCGACCTGGGGAAGGATCGTAGCAGCGCCGTTGAATTTGGCGGTGGCGGGATCGCGACGCTCCTTGCCCACAAGCCAGGTCAGGGATGCGGAGGGAGGCGTCTGCGAGGTAGAGATGTCGCTCCCGTACAGACACATGCCTGCCTCGAGGCGGAGAGAGTCACGGGCGGCGAGACCAGCAAGACGCACCTGCTCGGGGTTCGACAAAAGGAGTTCTGTGACGCGGCGGGGAAGGGATGAATCCTTGGCAGTGGGAATGCTAATCTCAAACCCGTCCTCACCCGTGTAGCCGGTGCGAGAGACCAGAAGGGGCTCCGCGCTCGTGGTTCCATCGGGGAAGATCAGGGTGATCGACCGGCAGTTGCCGAAGTAGAGGGTGCTGAGGTCAGAGTCCTTGACCAGAGGCTGGAGGACAGAAGCAGCCAGAGGGCCCTGCAGGGCAACGAGAGCGCGGTCATCGAGAATCTCCCAGTTGATAGACTCAGGGCCGTGAGTGGACCGGTAGATGTCGATCTCAGCTTGGAGGAAGGCAAGGTCTTCAGCGCGGCGGCCGGCATTGGTGACAAAGTAGAAAGTATCAGAGGACAGACGGGTGATCACAGTGTCATCGAGTATACCGCCTGTGCCATCTTCGAGGAGGCAAGAAAGGGTCGACGTGTTGGGCTTGAGCTTGTCAAGAGAGGAGGGTGTGATCTTCATGAGCAATTCCAGGGCACCGGGGCCGCTCAAGTGGTGCTGAACCCTGCAATTCTGTGTTAGCTAGAACGAAACCCAAGGTAGACAGTCAGGCACTAGAGCTTACATGTGGCTAACGTCAAACAAACTGGCCTTTTCGCGGGTCCAGTGATGGCTCTCAACATGGCTCAGGTCAGAGTATTGGAGGGGCATAGAGAACCCCGCAAAAGGAACCATCTTTGCGCCGTTTGCAACATGGACGTCATATAATTGCGTTTGCTTCAGCGAGCCGGTAGAGGCTGAAGAGGATGCATGGCGCAAGCCTCCGTTTGCGCGCAACGGAGCAATTGCAAGACGAGGGCGAGCAGTAGAAGTCGGAGAGGCAGCGGCGGAGCGGAGAACGCGCGGCGCAGCAATGAGGGGTTGTGACAGCAGGGTTACGCTGCGAGAACGCGAATTGGCAGCCAGAAGGCGAATGCCACGACCAGTAGAGCGGATGGAAGACATTGTGAGCTTTGATAGTGAAATATGAAAAGATTGAATAGAAAGAAAGGAGGAAACAAGAAGGGAAGGGGAAGAAAGATGTCGGAGTAGATGGCGGATGCGGAGAAGCTTGTCGATAAGCGGGAAAGTCACATGCCGATAGGACAGGCCAATTCCGCGGAAAGCGGATCGGCAATCAGCTCAGCACAATGGATTCGATCTGCCAGCCATGCCCAGTGGACTTTCTTGAATTACCCCACTACAGAAAATAAACATCTATGGATAAAAGTATCATGAATCTCGATAGTGATAAACGATACTGAGTATATGTGGCGATTGATTGTCTAGCTAGTGCAAGAGGTGCCCATGATAGCACCACATTTCAGCTTAACCATGATCACAACATGAAGAGTGAATATGCCCTCAAGACTTAATCAAACTCGTCGTGAGCAGCCTCAAATGCATCCGCCTCATCGTTACCGAAAGCTCCTCTCTCCATTCTAACCCCATCGGTGAACGAATATCGGTCGGGGATTGGATCGCTGTATTGATTGACAGTAGACTCGAACATCTCTTCCGGTGTCCAGTTCGAAGTCGGGTCAGCAGCTGCATGGGCCCTTGTGCTTCCTGAGGCGTCCTGCAGTCGAGAGGCAGCTTTCTGATCTTGAGTGGTGCTTCTCAAACGTCGAGTCTGGTCATCGTTCTGAGGGAGTCGAATGCCTGTGTCGGTTTTGGAGGACGGCATTGTGTTTTCGAGAATAGACCTGGAGAAAATTAGACATTATTTTCAGGTCTCCGACGATGATCTGGTTACTTGCTAGTAAGATAGGTGATATACTTGATTGCTAAAGGAGACAATGTATCAAGCTTGAAGGATTATTCGCACTTGAACCATGTCAAGATCGAGTGGACTTATATGGGTGGTCAACAGTCCGCCACTTGTGTTTTGCGCTCAGCAGACTTCATACAACTACACACATGCTGCATCACCACTGCGTCAATCATATTGTATACTCTTATCGTGGGGATGCCTAAAAATTAATTTAAAGGATGGGAGGCTGAGATGAGGTCTGAGACTTGTTTCTGGTAAAGTATAAGTGGAAGGTTTGGATACAATAACGTTTGAGCCGATCTCATCACATTGACTCGAACACTAAGTCACCAGGACACAAATATACCTTCATGTGCTTTTTCTGCTGAGGTGTTTCTTTTCCGGATTCCGAGGGGTTAGCTTAATCCGCGCGCCGCTTCCATCACGTATACCTCGTGCGACGAGTGGAGATCTATTCCGACCCAATCCTGGGGATGATTTTCATCTGTAATGCACATTCTATATGTAAAAGCCACTTCGTCCGTGGTAATAACAGCCTTGCTTCTACTTTCGATTCACCTACCGGAAATTGTTAGACAGCCACACATCCTACAGCCCCTTGCCATGAAACTTGAACTAGTCCTTTGCAAACCGTTCTTTGACAAAGTACACAAGCCCTAACAAAGTACTTCTCAACCCCATTATTCTTTCTCCATGTGACGTCCAATCCCCAATACGCAGTCTTTGTTCGTACTTACCCTATAAGCAACTATAAGCAACAAAGCCCCTCGAGACGGGCAAGGGATGGAAGGTGTGAAAGAAGTCGATTTCTACTTTTGTCCGTTCAACCTTTCCCCTCGATGGCCTTTGTTCCCAGCATCTATGGCGAGAAAATGTCCGCTCCTTTAAATCATACGAAGCTGCCAGCCGGCTGCTGCTCTTTCCTTGTAGATAGATACGTTGATCTCTATTCATCATAACACTTGCCTCATCTCAATCATTGTTCGCAATACAACCCGTATTAGATCCTAGAGTCAAGTAGCCAGCGATGCCAGCACAACACCAACCCCAATCCCAGAGAGGCGCAGCAAGCGGCCGCAGGTATCAGCTCCGCTCGAAGGGCCCAGTGGGCCGTGGAGTCTTTCAAGTCTTGGAGGAACTCAAGCCGGCGAAAGTCACCAAATCAAAGCCCAAGCCACAACGTTACAGCTTCGAAGTGGGGATTCGACTACGGATGGTCTCTAAAACAGCGGCGGTACGTTTCATCGGTGGCAGTGCCCCCGTTATCCCGAAATTCTACCAGCGCAAGTCGCAGATCGAGAGTGAAAACCCCGGAGGCAGTGAAAATGGCACCGCATTCTCTGTCGAGCAACTGATTTACCAGACCCTCCCGGACAAGGAGGGCCCAATTGTTGTCCACGCCGAGGTGGATGTCCAAGAAGAGGTCCCCTTCGAGGCAATAGTTGATGCGAAGTTTTTGCCATCGGATGACGATCCTGGTAAGCAATCCTACACCTTGGAATTAGCACAGCACTTGACGTGCATCTGCCTACAACAAAGCTAATCCATATATCGTTCCACCCAGAATTCCAGCGCCGCGCAGACCAATGGCAAATCCCACCTGTAGAAGACCCGGAGCAATCCCCTGGAAAAATCAAGCTGTCCGATTTCTTCGCCGCGGTCCGCAGGGACCTGTATCGCGACCAAAGCGACGTGGACATGTTCTGGTTTATGTTGAAGCTCCTCGAAGATTACCCATCCGATCGGAATGGAGATGTGTACGTTCCACCGCCTATCCCACAGATAATACCATATCAAGCCCTCCTTATCCATCATTCAACAAGACCTAACTCGAAGAACCACAAACTACAGCACCTTCCAAAGCGACTGCTACTTCCCGCTCTCGCGCGAGCACGTCCGCGCCAAGGAAGGTGCCTATTTCGCCTACTACATCACACGATGGAAGTACGTCAACGACGAGCTCGAGACTCCACCTCTCGCGGTCTGCGTGGTAAGCTTTGCCTCGGCCCCCTCCCTCCCATCACCATCACCCCATCCACCCGCAGTAGCTAAAATCTCTGCCAGTGTAACAAGAAGCGCGGCCGAGAAGGCATCGCCCGCTACGAGATCCCCCCGCTCCTACTCCAAGCCTGGATGAACACGAAGCTCGAAACCGAGGGCCTCGCCGACCAGGCCGCATACGTCCTGAGCCAGCAGGGCTGGGACCTCCGGTTCGTCAAGGCCACCATGCCGACCCCCGAAGCGCAACGGCTCGGGACGCCTCCGCACTTCTCGGGGAAGGTCCGGGTGGAGCGGACGAAAGCGTACAATCTGCGGGATCCCGCGGACCGGAAGGAAGCGCTGCGGGCGCTGATGGGTCTGCTGCTGTATTTTCATGATCGTCCGGAGTTTGCGTATGCGAATACCCAGAGTGGGTATATCTTTGTCTAGTTTTGTGTGAAGCTGGTTCTTCAGGCGGGGGTGGTTTGCGGGATGTGAGTTGATCATTGTGGCTCTTTTGGTTTTGATCAGGATGTATATGGATTGTGGGTTATGGTTATATGCCCCACTTTCTAACAGATAGCAGGTGTCGTAGCTCTGAGATGCTTTGTAGATTTCTCTAGGTAGAAGAAGTTAATAGAAATTGGAGCTTAAAGCCACCAATTGCCTAACCACTCAAGATGCATATTACCGACGCCACGTAGCTGGTTACATGTTCAGAGAATACAGTTTATTGGCCGAAAAGAACGAGCAAATTATAGAATAGCATATTCATAACTCATAGCTCATAAGACACGGCAGATGGGACCAACTTAGTCCACTCTCTACCGCTGCACACCGGGGATAGCACCAGCGGCACTCTTGGTACCAGCGGCCAGCGACGAGCCCGCCGACTGGGCGCCCGAGTACAGTCCCTGGCCGGCACTCTTGGAGCCCTCCACGACGGGGTCTGTGACACCCCCCAACGGACCCCCATACGACCCATTCTCATCCTTGCCCTTCCGCTCGGCGCGGTTGATGCCTTCCTTCGAGACGGCGTTGCCCACCGGCGACAGCAGCCCGTTCTCGCCCAGCTGGTTGCCCACGAGATTGTGCACGTCGTCCTGGATCTGATCGACCTGCTTGACGCCCGTGACCTTGGTCTTGTTGAGGTTGTCTGCCCCACACAACGGATAAGGTTAGTGGTGTGTCACCAGGGCGATATGATGAGCAGTTTGGGGGGAGGGAATTACCTTTCGTGACATACGAGGCCTTGTTATCGCCCTTGCCGAACCACTTGAGGTACTGGTCTTCCAGCCAGGGCATCCATTTCTCGTACTGGTCGTTGTAGACCTCCTGCACCCACTCGGCGTAGGTCTGCTTCTTGCGCTCTTCCTCCGGCAGGTTGTTGTAGATGTGGCGTTGTTGCTCCTCGGTGTGGCGGCGGGGCTGGCTGGGGCGGCCGAGGGCGTTGTTGACGGAGTCCATTTTTGGATGTGTGGGTTGTTTGTATGTAGTGAGAGGGGGGTGTAGTATAGTAGCTAGTAGGAGTTGTGTGCTTGCGCTTGAGGATGGAGTTGTATAGAGCTAGTGTTTTGATTTCAAGCTTGTAAGGCGAGCAAGAAGTTTTATAGTGAACAAACCACGGCTGACGCACGCCATGACGTCTGTGGATCTGGCGCAAATGAGCCCAAGCCGGCGCTGTCAACACTTTCATCCAACCGTATGGCAGGGTCCAGGTTCTGGAAGCCGCGTGAGTGCAGATCGTCCTGATATCAATGTCATCGAGGGGGGAGATGAGGGCCGCGACCGGTGACGTCAGGCTATGTGGCTCGTGCGCACCGCGCCACGGCTCTGGGGCATGTGACAGGTACATCCATCATTCTGTTTGTTTAGTTTGTTTGATGTCAAATGAAGAAATGCATCTGATGCTTGATGCATAAGTACAGTCAGTACAGACTGCTGCTCCCTGAGGAGATTTGATGGTGTTGATTGCCAGCAAAAGTTAATGCATAGGTAGATCTGTGGGTTAGCGTCAAAGGATCAGCCAAAAACAGTCACTAGCACCAGCCATTGGGCGACCGTTGGACGAACGCAGGCAAGTTAATATTAGACAGATATTCAACGATTTCGGTATGTCGCCTTCTCACTCTTCTCACTTCTGATAGCAAAAGCATAGATCTCTCTTCTTTAAGAACTCGATAATAGAAAGAGTGACGCTGTTGATGGGGAAAAAAAAGCTGCATCGGCTGTTGACGCGATAGATGGGACTACCCATGCTGTTCCAATTGAGTTGCATATCAGACCTCCTTAGCGTCGCCTCAATGTGGATTCAAGCAGACCAAGGCTGCGAACACGTAGTCAAGCTCGACAAGACCACACCCAATAGCATGTCCATATTTTTAGAACAATTAGTAGTTCGCTATGAGGTGGCCAGTTCAACGTTGCGACCAGACCGCCCTTTGATTCGGGTCTCACACACAACAACCCGCATATAGTTGGCGGGGGGGGGGGGGAGTCAAAAGTCCGTCTGCTTCCCTTTTCCTTTTTTTCTTCTTTAGTTTTTTGTCTGTCTATGCAGTCTGTGCGATAGACGGGGAAGAGGGGTTTTGGTAAGTCGTCGACTGTGGGTTTGGTTTTTCGAGGAGGCGTTATATATCGTTGCCAAAGCAATGCCGTTCTTTCCTCTGTTACTTGTGCTGGCGGGTCTGACTCTGTTCCTTTCGCGACGCCGGTATAAGGCCATCGAAGCCGCGGGTGGTGGGAGTCCTCGAAGTCCTCATGTCGTTGTCAAGGGCCACACGTACTCCGATAGTGTAGACGGGATCGAGCTGCGACCGCTACCGAGTACGAAGATCGAGAACGTGCGTAGTGCATGTATCATCGGGGCGGGCCATGTGGGTGAGTACGCAGTAACATATAGTCTTTTGTCCTGGTGGACTCAAAGAGCTTACTTACCCTGTTCAAGGAGCATTGACCGCCATCATCCTGGCGTCGCAGAACCCGCACGTCCAATTCTGCGTTGTCGATCGCGATGCGAGTCTCATCGAGGCTTGGAAATCGGACCGTCCTCCTGTCCTCGAGCCGGGGCTGGAGGATTTGCTCTTCGATGACCCTCCCGGTTTCGCGATGGAGGCATCCAGCCTCCCGGAAGAAGCGAAGGTGAATGACTCGAGCCAGAGTCAAAGTGTCGAGAGAACGCGACGACAAAGGAAATTGGCCAACCTCGCCTTTTCCACCAACATCCATGCGGGCGTTGTTTCCGCAGATCTAGTCTTCCTCTGTGTAGAGTGTTATCCAGACGCATCGGTGAGACCCACAGACGGCGTCGCAAGACACAGGACTAACCGCTGACAATGGACTGCAGGCGGAGACCAGAGAAGGAATCAACCTAGCGCCGCTTGAGGCTGCAATCCAAGCGATCGCCCAAGTATCGACCGGGCACAAGATCATCGTGCAGAGAAGCACAGCGCCGTGTGGCATCGTCCAGCGCATCAAAAAAGCCGTCAGTAACACACGGAAGCACTCCCCAAACTGCCTGTCACTGGGACTGACGCCCTCAATTTTATTAAACAATCTAGCTCCGCAAAACCGCATCCCCCACCGCCACCTTCGACGTCCTCTCGAACCCCGACTTCCTGATCCCCGGCACGGCCATCCGCGACCTGCTCTACCCGCCGCGCGTGCTGATCGGCCACATCTTCTCCGAGGACATGTCCGTCGAAGCCATCACCGCGCTCAAGCGCCTCTACCTGCCCTGGGTCCCCGAAGAGCGCCTGATCACGATGGACGCCTGGTCCTCGGAGCTGGGCAAGATCGCGGCCCACGCCTGCCTCGCGCAGCAGATCAGCAACGTCCAGTCGCTGAGCGCGATCTGCGAGTCCACCAACGCCAACATCGCCCACATCACCCAGACACTGGGGCTGCCACCGCAGGTGGGGCTGGAGCTCGGGGGCGGCGGTGCTGCCAACTCCCACTCCCACACGGAGATCCGGTGTTTGATCTATCTCGCGCGCGAGCTGGGCCTGCACCCTGTTGCCGAGTATTGGCGGGCGGTGCTCCAGATGAACGAGTTCTATCGCAGCCGCACCGCGAAGCGGGTCACGGAGCGGTTCACGGGCGAGCTGAAAGACCACCGGGTCGCGATCTTGGGTTTCGCGGGGCGCAAGGATTGCACGGTTCGGGATCTGGCGTCTACGGCAGTCGGGTTGGCGCGCGACTTGGTGGGCATCGGGGTGCAGGTGACGGTATACGATCCTCGGGTCCCCGGTGATCAGCTGCGAAGTACGCTGCGGCTCGCGGATGCATCCCTTGAAGCGGTCACGGTAGTTGACTCGGTGGATGCGGCGTGCCAGGGCTGCAGTGCGCTAATACTGCTGACGGAGTATGACGAATTCAGCCACGAGCAGGTGCGGTGGCAGGGCGTTGCTGGGCAGATGCAGGGTCCGAAGGTGTTTCTGGATCTCTGTGGAGTGCTTGATCGGTTCAAGATGCAGCAATGGGGGTTTGATATGCTCCAGCTCGGGGTGAGGCAGAAAGACGCTCATTGATTATGGTGGTTCTGATGATGGCACGATGTATAGGACGGAGGATGGAGTACGGCCGATCAGGGACTCCTTTGACTATTGCTCTTTGCGTGTAGGATTGTTATGCGGGCGTTGAGGAGCATGCTGGATATATTAATTACTGTAATACATACCATGGGTTCACCTGTGGCTAGCTGAATATTTTTATAATTATACATAAGGTCCAGGCAGAAGTCACTGAGTGAGGAGGTATACAACGGCACTTTCAAAGCTCGTAATCAAGGCTCGGCGCTGATCCATGGACGTGACTACCACGGCTACAATGCTGAAGACGGCACTTGTGTACTAGGACTAGTTGATGCATATATTACAAGAACGACTCGCTTGATCATGATTAAACTCAAGTACTTTTTCTTATACACTATTCAAGCACCTTATGCCAGGACTACCGGATCTTGTAGACGCATGGCTTAAGAACAGCTGCTTCTTCAGCAGCAGACATGCCCTTGTCGGACGATCGGTCGATGAACCGCTTCTTGCCCGGGCCGCCGGCACCAGCGCTGGGGGCGGCGGAACCGGCATGTTTGCCCTTGGTCGGGGCGCCACCAGCCTTCACAAACTCCATCTTCACAAACATCTTGTTCGACTTATCGAGGGTCTCCTGCTTGAGGATAAAGCCTCGCGTCCGGAAGACCTCCACGAAGGCTGAGATATCCGTCTCATCATCGGTGTTGGCGGGGCGAGCGTCCTCCGCGTAGATCTCGTTGTCGGAGAGATCCGAGTCCGCGTTATCCGCCGACTGCTTCTTCTTGAGCTTCTTCTGCTCCGCCTTGCTGAGCGGCTTCTTGGCGCCGATCTGCGCCTTCTTGCGGGTGACCTTGCCGAACCGGCTCTTCACCTCGCTGACCCAGCACTCGCCCTTGCCGTCGCTGCGGAGCACCCGCCACGCCTCCTCCACGAACGACACCCAGTTGGTGCCCATCAGACTGAGACAGAAGACCGCCACGTCCACGGATCCGTCCTCCAGGGGCAGATTGGCGATGTCGGCCTTGGTGATCGGGGAGTCCTTCGGGGCGTGCAGATCGTAGCTGAGGAGTTTGAGGTTCAGCTTCTTGGAGGACGGCAGCAGCGCGCGCGCGAGCTGAGCATCACCGCAGCCCAGGTCGGCCACGGTACACAGGCCGTTCGGTCGTCGGGGAAGCGGGGCAACTGAGGGCCGTCCCTTGTTGTTATCGGGCTTGCCCCTCCTGGGCGCATGGGCGCTGCCGCGGGCGCGCATAGCCTTGATGTAGCCATCCACAGGGTTCGAGGGCCAGGACTCCTTGACCTGGCGCGCAAAGCCGGCGTGGTACTCGTCGAACAGTTCGGGGTTCGAGGTGAAAAGCTCAAAGGCCTTGCTCGAGGGCGTGGTGTAGAGGGTCTCGTTAAGATGGCGGAATCGGGATGAGATGAGCTTCTGTCGCATGGCCTGTTGCAGAGGGGTCAGGATGGCTTTCGTCTCCGGCGGCGCCACGGGCATCGCGTCGGTGGTAGTGGCAGATTCCTTGGTGCCATCGCCCTGCGGTTGGTCTTGCTTCTCCTCCGTGTTCTTGTTCTTGTTCTTGTTCTTCCTTTGTCTCTTGCTCTTGGGCTTCTCGCCCTCCTCGGCGGCGGCGTCGGTCGATCGCGGTGCGTCCGCTGCGACGGTCGCGGGCTTGGCCTGGTCCTGCTTCTTCTCGCCCTTCATCATAGCCTCCTTTTCGGCCTTCTTCCTGGCCCAGGGGGTGATCTTCTCCCCCTCAATGTGCCGGCGGAACATGGCGTCCACATTTCCCTTGGTGACATTATCCTCCCGCTTGCGCTTTCGGTCTTTGGGGTTCGGCTTGGATGATTTATCACTTGTCTTCTCGGGAGCAGGTTCACTCTGCTGCTTGAGAGCAGAGTTCTCGAGCGACCAACCCGGTACAGCGAACATGGTTGCGATAGGTTGCCTTTGGGTAATGGTTGATTATCGTTCTGCCCGGCCGTGGATCTCTCAAATTTTCTGGCAAAAAAAGGCGGAGACGACCAGTCGTCGATGTGTTCTGCCGCCCGTCCAAGGGCGGTGAGTGTGGTGTTTTGTCTTGTTTGTTCTGTCACTTCCATTGGATTTTCGAGAAGTGTCTCGGGCATTACGGTAATTTGTCTTATTCCTCGTGGCGCTAATTGCTGAAGTGGTGACCTTTAGAGTTTGATGCATACACACGTCTGAGATCATCTGTCAGATCCAGATGGAGTAGCTGTGGGCTGGTGTCAGGATCTTGGAGAATTGGAGACTGCCCCCAAGAAAGTACCTCGGATCAATTAGATTGTGGATATTGTCTAGACTTTCTACCGAGCAAGTCAGTGATCAGGCCATATGCTTGAGGGAAAATTGAGAAAAAAACACTAGACATGATAAGTAGGACTCCGTGCCTCCCTGCCTGACTTTCTTTGCCATGACTCCACCGTGAATCTCTTTGCACATGCCGCAGCTCTTGGGGTGACAGAAGCAAAGCACGGCATGAGTGTGTATACCTGAGGCATCAACCTTGACCCGTCACATAATTCCAGGCCAATCAGAATTTCACCTCTTTGACAACCAACCTCCACCGTTGTCTGCAATCAACCGCATTCAAGCTTGATGCTACAAAAGTCGTGCGAGTTCCATTCGGAAGTAGAAGTGCGCATTGTCTGTGTCAAGTCGAGTCGGTCTCCTCTCTGCTGGCGATGATTATGGAATTGGTCTCGCTTTCGACTCTGTATCGCTATGGAAAGCACCAACCGTGCCCGGCAGTCTCCGCCAGATCTGTCTATCAGTGGGCCAGGCTCAGCGCAGGGTCCTGACGTCGCAGACGCCGCGCAACTGGACGCGGGATCAAACAATGCAACTTCACAAAGAGTTCCCAAAAAACGTACCAAAACAGGGTGTCTAAGTGAGTGCAACTGGCCCGCTGTAAATCACGTCGCATGTATTAACATCGCTTAATAGCTTGCCGCAAACGCCGTATCAAATGCGGCGAAGAAAAGCCGACATGCAACAATTGCGTGAAATCCAAACGCGAGTGTAAAGGCTACGGGCCCCGCCTGATCTTCAAGAACCCATTGGGCATCTCAGGTCCCGGGTTCGGCCAGCAGCCGGCCTTCAGCGTGCAGACACAGTCGACACCAGTCCCCAGTGAGCACTCGGTGTCTCAGCAAAGAAAGGATAGGCCGGATCAGCCCGCTCTAGCTCCAAAGCTGCCTTTGCCATCCGATGCAGAGACCCGGAATCCCACCGCTCCATCCTCACTGAACGAGGGTCCTGGGATCAGCAGAAGTCCTCCTCAGCCAGTCGTGTCAGGCCAGGTCCACCTTCCTTCGAGTTCGGAGAACTCGTCCGAAAGCTACACCCCACCGGACACCCTCGCGTTCCTTGATCACCACAGACGGCAGCTCTCGACTGATCTGGGGGCGGGCTACTCATGGTCGGACGCTGTCTCTTATCCTCAAGGAGGCCCTTGGCTGCCGAATACCGCACCGTCTGGTGTGAATTTACTGCAAGACCAAGTTAGGACAGCTTCATCTGCACAAGTGCCTCTCTCGCAGTCATCAACATCGCCGTATGGAGATTATATGGAAGATGACGGTGAGGATGACTACTACAGTGGTGAATCAGAGGAGGAACGGGAAGACCAGATCTCTGTGCAGAACTATAACCAGCTTAGCCTGATTATGGCATCTGCCAATCGCGACGAGCGGCAGCTGCGTTCTTTCACTACATACTTGAATGAGCCAAATGTACTCGGCTCGTACATCCCCACCTACGGCTCGTCACCCTTGAACAATCCAAAGACGGCCCGGATCTTCTTGCATTTCATCCATTCCACCGGACCATCGCTATCTGTCTTCGAGCGTCATCCGATTGATCCTTCCACCATGCTTGGCGCCCCCGTACCAACCGCGCAGCAGGGCCTATGGACATATACTCTCCCTCTCAAGGCTCTCGAGAGTCAGGTTTTGCTGCAAGCTATCCTCGCCTTGAGCAGTTTACATATCTCGTTCCTTCAACAAGCACCCCCAACGGTTTCGCTGAAACATTACCACTACGCTCTGAGAAGAGTCGGTGTGGCCGTCGGGCTTCCCACGCGCCGCAAGCAGATCACCACCCTGGCTGCCACGCTGCTTCTGGGATATTACGAGGTGATGGGTGCTGATCACTCGAAATGGAACAGTCACGTGGCAGGGTCGGCGCAACTGGTGCGTGAGATTGATTTTGCCGGCATGACTCGAGGGCTCCGCGCCCAGCGACGGAGAGTATGGGCTCAGCGACAGCAAATGCAGCCGCCGGTCATGGCACTCACCGACAGCTACCTCTTCGGAGATCCCACATCGGACGACGACCCTTTCGCGGAGAAGGAAAGTAGCATCAACGACCAGCTCATCGGGACTTTACTCGGGCGCGCCGTGAATTACGACGAATTCGGGCAGATCAACGATGACAGTGGGAACCCGCGTCAGTACAAGCACTTCACACGGAAAGATATCGAGAACTATCGAATCCAGTGTGACCTGTATTGGTGGTACTGCAAGCAAGATGTCATGCAGAGCATCATCAGCGGGTGCCCCTTGTTGTAAGCTATAAGACATCTCCCCTCACTTATCTCGAGTTACAATACTGACCGCAACCCAGCATGCCATACTCCCAATGGGGTCAATGCCCTCCCCGCGCGGGCATGGGCCGGATGGACGCCATCTACGGGTCTGCCGATCACCTGTGGCTACTCCTAGGTCGCTTGGCAGAATTCGGCTATCGTGACAGGAAACGAAAGCTGAGAACGGCTAAGACTACAGGCATGGAGTGGCGCCCGGATGCCAATCTGGGCAAATTCATGGCCCGGTTCGCCAGAGGACCACCCGGAGCACCAAGAGGAGGCGGACCGCCGCCACCCGGCGGACCCCCCGGCGGACCTCCCCCTCGACAATCTCCACCCGGCGCGCCAGATATGCGTCGTGGTGGTCCACCACCCACCGGCCCCGGCCCCAACGCTCCGCCCATGTACGGCATGGCACCGTCCAGCGGCCCCCGCCGCGCCCCCGCCGTGTTCCTCAACACCCGGGAAACCCACTACCACTACCCGCCCGAAGAGGAAGAAGAGGACACCTCGTACCACGACGCGGAGAAGGAATGGGAAAGCATGGTCGCGGCGTTCGACGCATTCCTCCCCGCCCTGGGACCGTACTTCATGCCGTTGCCCGCGGACTCGGTGCCGCCGATCTCGACCCCCTTCGGCCCCGCCCTGCAGTACCGCACGCACACGATCGCCACGATCTGGTGCTTCTACTACACGGGGCGGATCCTGCTGCACCGGCTGCACCCGTGCATGCCGCCGGCGATGATGGTCGCCGCGGGCGTGGCCGCCGCCACCACGGCGGAATACGCCCAGATCATCGGCCGCATCGCCGCGGGCGTCTACTACCCGCAGTCCTTCCACCTCGAGGCCGGCAGCCTGAGCCCGACGCTGGGCTCGTGCCTGATCGAGATCACGGTCCCGCTGTTCTTCGCCGGCGTCCAGTACACAGACCCCGCGCAGCGCGAGTGGCTCGTCACCGAGCTGCTCGACCTCAACCGCCTGAGCGGCTGGCGCACCTCGGACGCGATCGCGCGCGGCTGCGAGAATGCCTGGGTCGTCGCCGCCGCCCAGGGCCGCGGGCCGCCGTACACCCGTCGCGATAGGACTCTCAACCAGCCGGCGTCCATGTGGACCCCGCCCCCGGAGGCGGAGGAGGACAGCAACGGTGGCGGCAGTGGCCCGTACACCAGCTCGGAACGACGGTTCATCACGGTCAGCAAGCGGCCCAACGCGAATTGGGCAATGGGCATCCTGAGTCTCGAGGATGATATCCTGAACTTGGATATCAACGATCGGACATGATCCTTCCGCTGTCACGTATTTCTTGAACTGGCGCAGCGAAGCTCAAAGCTGAGGTGGACAGACCTGTCAGATGAATTGTTACTCCATCTCAAACCTTGATCAGTGACGATTCACCGTAGCGAGAACCCACTGGGCAGTTTTGATCTGATCTCAGATCACATATCTTGAATGGACCTATTGCACTGTACAGTAACCCACGAGTCTTGGATGCCCTTCCTCGCCGAATTGTAAGAGGGGATCTCTCTCCGCCTCCAGGCTTCGATAACCATCCGTGGCTAGTCCTGGGATTCACATAATAGGTCAAGGCCTTTGGGCCGGCCTCTGTGCACATGCTATCTGCGAGCGCCGTTCTTCGCCCTCCCCTACTGGATAGTAGGGGGAAGGCAGTCGATGATCTTAGATTCCCTTTCTAGTCCCCCTTGAAAGTCCTTCTCATGATGCGAATCCGAGTCTCAACCAGAATACCCCGGCACTTGCCTTGTTGTGCCGTGCACGTAGGTTTTGCATCCCATTTGTGCAGAGGGTCTCAGGTGCGACAGACAAGACTGCGGAAACACAATTTGACAGCCAAGAATGTACCGTGCGAGCTTGACCCAGCATCGACCAAGCTTTACTCATTATATGTGACTCTCCAATGTGACCGATGCCTCGGAGTATTCCAGAAGTGAATCATGATTAGTATTTACTCATTAGACAATATATACAATCCTAGAGATTCATAGGGAAAAAAAGCCACACATGTCTAAAACCAAAAGTCTATGCCACAGAACCACACCAACCGTACCGAATCACCTAGCCTCCACATCCGCAACAGCAGCAGCCTTCGATTTCGGCGGCTTGACACTCCTCCACCGGACGCCCAGCGAGAGCAAAAAGGCCAGAGCGGCAAAGCTCGCAGCGACGTAGAAGGTCGTGGTGAGCGCGTGGTTGTAGGCATGCAGCACGCCGGGCAAATCACTGTCGGGCACCACGCTGCGCACTTCCGCCGAGCCCGCGGCGACGATGCGCTCGACTTCCGCAGCCGGCAGCCCGAGATCTCCCAGGCCCGTGACCAGCTTGTTGTCGAAGAGGGCCTCGGCGATGGCGAGGTTGACGGCGGCACCGAAGAACTGGGCGCACTGGAGCAGGGAGGTGCCGACGGGGATGTCGGCGGGGTCGAGGACGGTCTGGGCAGCGACGTAGGGCATGGACAGGGTCATGCCCGCGCCGAGGCCCTGGAGGACCTGGAAGGGGATCCAGTGCTCGTGCGGGGTGGTGAGGGTGAAGGTCGAGAAGAGGCCTGTGGCGATGCTCATCAGCGCCGTGCCGAGCAGCAGGTACGGGTTCGGGTACCCCAGGTACTTGAGGGAGGCGCCCGTGAGCGTGGCGGAGAGGACGTCCGACAGCGCCAGGGGCAGATACATCAGGCCCGACTTGGTCGGGGAGGCGCCCTTGATGACTTGGAACCACTCGGGGAGATAGTAGATCGAGATGTAGACGGCGCCCATGGCGCAGAACTCCCCGAGACAGGAGAAGAGCATGGTGCGTTCTGTCATCAGGCGCGGCGGAATCATGGCCCCGTCGCCCTTGTAGGCCTGCCAGGCGGCGAAGACCAGGCCGAGCCCGGCGCCGCCGATGAAGAGTCCGATGATGGTGGCGCTTTTCCACGCGTAGGTGGTTCCGCCCCACTGGAGGGCCAGGAGTATCATGATCACGGACGGGGCGAAGAGCAAGGCACCGATCAGATCCAAGCTTTTCAGTCGATGCAGGACTGGAGCAGTTGTAGAGGGGTCGCGCGGGGGCGGGCTGAAGAAGAAGACGAGGGTCACGATGGTGATGGCGCCGATGGGTAGATTGATCCAGAAACACCCTCGCCACGTCGCGTGCTGCGTGAAGGCACCGCCTAGGATGGGTCCGATGATAGTCGCGATGCCAAACGTCGACTGGAGGATTCCCACGTAGAAGGGACGCTTGGCAAGCGGAAGAGCCGCCGCGACGATGCAAAAGGCCCCCGTGAAGCATCCGGCTGCCCCAGCTCCGGCGATTGCGCGCCCGACAATGAGCATTGGACTGTTGACAGCAAGGGCACACAGCAGTGAGCCGAGCTCAAAAACGGCCAAGCACCCAAGGAACATCCACTGGACCGGTCAGTGGGGTTCTACCATTTAAACAGTGGTTCTGTATTAGACTTACCTTCATGGGGAAGCTTGCAAACAGCCTGCCGGCAATGGGCTGCAGAGCGCACATGGCGAATGAGTATGCACTTCCATACCAGCCTATGTCCCCGGTGCTGTTGAACTGGGATGTGATGCGGGGGATGGCAGTCGCAATGATCGACGAGTCCAATGACATGAGGAAGATAGCGAGACCAAGGCCAATGATGACCAGAGCCAACGGTAGGCCGGTCAGCTCAAAGTCGGTAGCATTAATTGTTTCCTCCGGGGAAGCATTGTTCTCGACAGCAGACGTGCTGTTGGCCTCGGGCCAAGATCTGTCTCCTGGATGCCGTTTTTCAGCCATTGCTAGAGGCGAGTCGAATGAGGATATATTTGATGATTAGGGAAGTCATCAAGAGGCTGCGGAAGACAACCATAATATTTAGAGAGTAGGAGGGATGCCAAGCCGACAATTATGGACTTAAGTGTCATGAATCAACATGGCTCATCATGGCTCAACCCGTTTCGCATCAACAGTGCAGTAGCCCCTGTCGCTGTCAGTGTCAAATAAAGGAAAATTCGCAATGTTGACGGATAGTTCTCAGTGCTCACCGGACATATTAACAGATCTCCGACGCTAAGAGGAGAAGCCGGGAATCTGTATGGATGATCCAGTTGTTGCAGGGTGGAGTTGGAGAAGTTAAGTGGGTGAGTGGAGCGCTGGAGCGGTGCACGGCCCACCGGAATTGACTGCCAGTGACTCCTGTCATCATCTCAATTCAATCCTCCTCCTCCTCCTCCTAACCAAGAACCACACCATCGCAACAATGACCTTATGACCTAAACCCTCCACCTCCTCACCAACTCATCTCGAACGTCAATCCTGAATCAATCAGCACAACGACACCGAAAATGCCCACCTCAATCTCCCCGCGCCTCCTCCCCACCCTCTTCGCCTCGCTCGCCCGCACGCCCACCTGGACCCTGCGCCGCACCCTCCAGAGCGACAACCCCCTCGACCTCCACGGCGACCTCCACGGCGAAGCCTCCTTTCGTTCCCTCCCAGCCACCTCAGAACACACCTCAGAACCGCAACCGCAACCCCAAACGCAAATCCTCTACACCGAATCCGGCTCCCTCCCCGCAACCCTCGGCCCAAACCTCCGCTGGACGAAATCCTACATCTGGCGCCTCAGCCCGGAAGGCCGGATCAGCGTGTGGTTCGTCAAGGTCACGAAGGACGCTGCCACGAACCCCGAAGCCGATTACCTGTTTCATGAGGTGGAGTTTGAGGTGGCGGTTGAGGGTCAGCGTGCAGCGGATGATACTGCTGCCAGTGTTGGCAGCAGCAGCAGCAGCAGCAGCAACGACGAGACATACGTAACGCCTCCTACACCACCCGAACCACTTTCACAATCGGAGGCCGCGGCGACGGTGGTGGTCACGGCCCGGGGCAACCATCTCTGCATCAAGGATATGTACCGCACGGCATATGCGTTTCGGGTGCGCGCGGAGAGTGGGGAGGTGGTCAGCTGGGCGAGTCGGCATGTGGTCAAGGGGCCGAGGAAGGATCAGGACATTGTGAATCTGTATTCGGTGGGGTAGGGGTGAGATGGATGGATTGTAGGATGTTGGAGTCGGAAGTGTAGGGTAGGGGGGTGTAAAGAGGATGGATAGAGGATAGAACGGGCAATATGCTTTTGAACTAGTTTTGTAGAATGGGCCTGGTCTCAGGCTTTCTTTGGGTGAGATTTATGGTCACAGCAGCTACTTAGTAGGTACGGGTCGTGCTTCATTGCTGATGGATGGTTGTCGTGCTGAGGGAGTCTGCCTCGGTTTGAGAGGCATTATGTAGAAGGTTACAGTATATCCTCACGCAGACCTCTCTCTTCAAGTAACTCAACACTGTATCTGGTCTATCTGGTCTTTCTATACCGATATCAAACTCTCTCTGGTCACTGATCTGGTCACCAATTCCTTGTTCACTGAACTGTGCTATCTCTCAGACAAGCAAGCAACAACTGCACCGCTCACTGCACTGGAAGCACACAAATTAGTCACTCACTCACTCACTAAAAGAATCGCTGAAAATGGAAGGCTGCACCAAACAGCTCCACTTCCATTACAGCCCGAAGGGGTCTAGCGAGTTGGCGGTGCTAGCGCTTCTACTCACTCTGGTGATCGTGCTCGGTTTACTTCTCCATCGTCTTTCGTCTCTGGCAGTTTCATGCTCGGCAGTGAATCGCTTCCCAGTCTCAGCTCACAGTGAGCTGGGCGTCATTCACCCCTCCATGCAAAGGATGGCCCCGCCGCACCCGGACTTGCAGGCCCCGTTGGAGCGGCCACAACACGAGCATGATACCTGCATCCTTGACAGTGGGCTGGACGACATCCATGTCCCTAGCCTGGTGCCGTTGCCTTGCCCGACGGTGATTCGGCCCAAGAGAGTCAACCATCCAAGCTCTGCTCTCCAAGCTCGTATTGACCGCAAGCTCACACTCACTCCGGCCCCCGCTCACTTGGTGCGTTGTGTTGATTTTCATGCTGCACGGCTCTGCAGCTACATCTCCGCCGTGTGCCACAAGCTAACATTGCCTGAAAGTCAACCCAGACACGTCCTCCTTCTGCTGCTGCCCCCGTCACCATGACCGCCCCCGCTGCCACCACCACCACCGCAAAGCAGCTCGTCCCGTGGGACGGCAAGATCAACTGGGCGCTGAACGGCACGACCGTCTTCAAGGACTCCGACGAAGAGCGGCGGGCACGGGTCAATCCGTCGAACACGTTCAACCGGGAGTCGCACTCGAAGCTGTGGGTGTTCCAGTTCGGGCTGCGCTACGTGCCCGCGGCCTTCGAGCACAACGTGTACCGCGCCATCAAGGTCGACAACCTGCCAGCGGGGGCGGGGCTGGCGCAGATCCTGGCCCCGATCCCGGGGGAGATCCTGTCGGCGCGGCTGCTCGACACGCGCGCCATCACGGGGTCCAAGACCGCGCTCGTCACCTTCGTGCACCAGGCCGACGCCGTGGGCTTCCTGCGTGCCGCCGCGGGCCTCCTCCCGCTGAAGGCCGGGCCGCCCGCCCGCGTCGCGCCGATCCCCACCCCCAGCTACCCCATCAGCGCCGACATGGAGAAGCTGATCTACGACAAGGGGTACACCCGGTGCATCCGCATCACCCACCTCCGCGAGTCGCTGAAGGGGGACATCTGCCGCGCCTTGAGCACCGCCTATCTGGTCCCGCAGATCGAGAGCATCCACGATGGCCCCAGCCCCGGCGAGAGCCTGCTGCGCTTCTGCTCCATCAAGGCCGCCGCGGCGGCGTATGTGCTGCTCCGCGCCCAGGCCAAGTTCGATGAGTGTCAGTGGGAGTTCGTCAAGGCGGTTCGCTCGAAGAATCCTCGGATTGGGATCTGGGACTAGAAATGGGTGGTGGGGGGTGATGGCTGCATGTATTTCTGCGGAGGCTGTGCTTGGGACGAGGGAAGGGGAAGTTTGAGCAAACCGTCCAAGATTTTCGCAAAGGGATGGAAAACTAATAGTGTACGTACAAAATCCTCAAATCTTTACATGTATGTACGCCATACCACAATTCCAATATGGAATCCAGTCAGCCACCAAACAAAGGTGCAAAGTCAATCTCATGCAAAAAAGAAAAGTGAACAGTAGTGGTCGTAGACTGTACGTCTCAAGCATGAGGGAGTACTGTACTTTGCCGAACCCTCTATACTCAACGAGACAGTTAATTAAAATTATCCGACGAATTCTCCTTCAGCCAGAGCAATCCACGGAAGGTCCTCCTCCCAGCACCGCTGCATCAATTTCCGCGCATTCTGAATCTATATTGGTAAGAGTTAGTGCATCATCGGCACCACACCTCCGGGTTGGGCCTGACCTGTTTCATCCCCGTTCGTTCCATCATTGCGAATCGCTCCTGGATATCCGCCCTGACACGAGAGTCCGTGGTCTCGCACCCCGCGGTGAACAGCGGGAACAACGCGCCCACTTCGGCCGAGGCGCCGTGCCGGATCTCGACCATGGCCTTCCACAGCTCGTCCCAGGCATGGGTGACCTGGTCGGCGCGAGGCGACGTGGCCAGCACCCGACGGTGGAGGTGGAGCAGCCCGGCATACCGGAACGCCCGGTCGATGGCCAGGCTGTCCATGTCGCCACCGAGATGGAAATGGGTGCCGTTGGCGTGGGCGTGGGTCTCCAACAGCGCAATGTCCGCCAGAAGGGCTTCGCCGGCCACGACGGCAGCAGGCGACGGGGTCCAGTCGGGGTTGAAGGTGCCCGACGACTCGTCGAACCGTTCGTTGTCGCACTGGTGGGTCAGTCGCCCGACCTGCGCGAGGAACTGGCCGGTCCGTGGCGTGAACCCCGTGAAGCAGTCGATGTGGAACTCGTCGTACTCCCCGACCCCACCGCCGCATGCGCGGAGAACGGATGCATAATCCAGCGAGGGGGGCGGCTCGCTGTGGCGGCAGGACAAGGTTCCCACAATGTCAAGATAGCTCAGCCAGCGCGTCAGGAATGCCCCCACCAGGTTGCCCGGGTACGCCAGCTGCTCCCTCCGAGCGAAGAACAGGTCTCGTGCCAGTTTGAGGTGGCTCTGCCAGGGAATTGGGACCTCAAAGGTGCTGGGCGAGACGATCTTCAGCGACAGCAGCATGATAGCAGCAGCCAGGTGGTTGTCGGTGACCTTTTCGTGAGGGTCTTCTAGGGCTAAGCGCAGAGTTGGAAAGACGTTGCTCACCCAATGCGCGATCCGATTCGCCGGCTCTGGGTGCTCGAGGTATCTCGCCCGATGGCTAGCGGAGTATGCCAGTGTCAAATTGAGCAGGTTGGAGTCACTAATCGCCACTTTTGAAGGAGTTAGACGAGAAGATTGGACAGAACAGACAACTAGGGGACTTACTCGTCGGGAGTACGGATATGAACGGATTGTCGTCACAATCATGCGGAACCAGCATCTTGGCCGTATGGTTCAGGAAATGATGGAAGTACATGAGGTTGATCGGTGTTTTGACCAGCGATGGTGGCAGCGGAGATAAATAGCGTGGGATGTTGATCGGTACAGGCGAAGCATAATACATGTACTTGCTGCAATCGAAGGTGCCGGTTTCCACGCCGTCCAAGTTGCCGCTTCGAGGGGTGGAACTCGGGGGAGTAATTCGCTGTGAGTTGATCAAGTCAAGAGCATAGTTGATATCAATGGCCGAGTGGTCATCATTCCTATTCAAGTCCAGATCAGGACGACCGCGATCCAGACCGTAATTGTCCGTGACGCTCGTGAGATAGGCTTGCCATTTCCGCTCTGCGCTTGAGGCATCCGTTGGCGCTATACTTTGACTGGAGGTGTCGGAATATTGATGCAGACGCATGTTAGCGTCGGGCATCTGCACGCTATTGAAGTCGCGGTCCGAGGCTTTTGGACGGTTCATAATCTTGGTGAGGTAGCTTTCCGAGCGATCGGATGGCTGTGCCTCTAGAGATTGGGCTCCTTCGCTCGCGTCTAATGACGACATGGCTGGTTCTTCTGCGTATGGTGAATCCGAGCTGTGGAGGCCTGATGTCTCTTGGACTGGATAAGGGTCATAGGTGGCTTTTGCGTTGGTCGCAGAATAATAGTTGCTGAACTCAATGCCATGATCGGATATGCGATTATCTGTGGGTGTCGCATGATGCGATTCAGAGGTGTGCCGAAGAAACGAGACCGGGCGCGACAAAGCCGTGACAGGTGAGAAGCTCAAGGTAGCCCAAGAACCCATACTTGAATTCGTGTCCACGGGAGACGGATGAGAGATGAGGGTTTCCAGGGAAGTTGGAGCGGAGGCAGAAAAGGCGGTCGCGGCGGTGGTCTGGGGCAGGTCTGGCCATGGGGATGTCCCATCCTGTCGGGGTGACAGTGCCCTCATGCTGTCTACAGAGTTCTTGCCATTTGTACGGTTGGAGCTATAAAGGGTCTGGCCAAAGATTGGAGATTCATGGATATCATGTAGCCCTCTAGGATAAGCTGCCGGGGTCCCTATAGCCATCTCTTCGGAAAGCTCGACATCCCATTGCAATTCCTCTGTGGTTGAAAATTGTGCTGTGTTCTCGGACTCTGGAGATGTGGCTTTGAGTGAGTGCGAGGACGATAAATTGTCGGACTGATAGGTATTCGCCGGTGATAGTGAAAACGAGCCATAGGTTCCTGAAGGACTGCTTGCATGCGATATCGGGGAGTCAACCGATGACTTTCTTCTGGTTCTTCCTCCCCAGTTCAGTCTGATGCTGTAGTCACACAATTCATTTTGGCGTTGGCAATTGAGACACGACGGTTTTTCCTCGCCACTGTAAGAGCGATCAGCTTACGGAAGTACCTTGCGAACTAAGTGAGAGAAGGTGACACAAACCACTTCACTTTGCGTGCTTTACAAGGCCTAAAAACATGCACGATTAGTTCACTCCAGCAGTGGGGAATGATCGCTTTGGAGACCCTCACCAGCAGCCCTTGCGCGACCTTCGTTTCGGCTCCGGAGCCCCGGGCCTTCTCGGTCGAGGCATTGAAGTTCAGATCCGATCTGGCTGAGGGAATATTTCCAGCAAAAGAAATCCACGACCAGGGGAGCTAATGGCCGGGATCTTGAAATAGCTTCGGATCGATCTGCACAATGAGATCGCCATGCAGACAACGTAGTAGAAAAACACTTTCTTCTTGCTAGAGTCTGGAGATGAATCCCAATGGAGGTGTTTTCGGTGCGCTGATGTAGGGTGTTTGACCCAGGATGCTAAGAAACGATAATCAAGAAGACACCCACACCCGCTCTTCGTCATCGAGGTGTGGGACGAACTAGCTGCAGATTTGTTCTAGAAGCAATGCTTTGGTATTCTTCTGTCTAAAGACCGAGATTCGTAGGGCTGGATTGCTTGTGATGGTATGGAGGGGACCGGAGAAGCAGGAGAGAGGAAAGAGGAGGTGAATGAATTGATGATTGAATGAATGGGGATTGTTGCAGTCAAGCCTAGCCTTGGTTAGTACGGGGAGTAGACTAGGAAGGGGACTCATTCGTTATCCATCACCATTCACCAAAGTATACCTTAGGTTAGTGTATACCCACCCGGAGGGCATAGACCAGTGAATGAGCAAGATAACCTGCCGATAACCAGTCATCGGCTTTCTCCGTCAATCAGAGAAAGGCAGATAAGACTGTTTCAAGTCAGTCAGTGATAATTGTTCCGGGAGGTTTCTCCGAGCAGCGCCACGACGATGTCAGTCCGTCGGCTGAGAATCCCACTAGCCTGCTTTAGGTGGTGCTGCCCCGGGAAACCCGGGGAAGCAGCTGAGCCCAGCCTGGAGCTGTGATATCATAGTATCATTCCCACTCCCTGTCAACTCACTGTCAATCCGCATCCAAGCCTAGATCGTTGTCTGAATCATTCTAGAAACTATTTCCTACTCGAGTAACTCGAAACTCAAATCTCTCCTAACTCAATCTTCTACTCTCTTGGCAGTATGGGTTCCTCGGCCGTCGCTGAATCGCTTCAAAGAAAGCATCCTCTACAACGTATTGCCAGTCCTTCCAGAGGGTTCTCGGCCCTGGTCCATGTACGTGTAAACTTCCATCTCCATTCTTTCAGTGCAGTGCTGGTTCCATGGACTGTCTCACTGACCATCTCTACCACTGTTAACAGCTTCTGGGTCTCACTAGCTTTATATGGTCATTCAAATAGTATGTGCTTACTGATCCTGAGCTGCCCGCCTGAGGTGACTCTAGGTCCAGCTGCTAACCAATCATTCTCTTAGTATGCACGATAACCCCAATCATGCGTTAGTCTTCCCCGGATCCATGGCCTCGGGAGCTGAGTTTGTCGATGCTTATCTATGCCACTGATAGGAACGAAGCATATGGCTGGCATTTTCAAGTATGTGGTTGCTTGCTTCAGTCGTCATCGGTTGCTGACTTCTTTTCCTTATCAGTACCTCACCGTGCTAGGCCTCTCTCTGTCCCTCGTCACCATGGCCTGTGGTTTTATCGCTGATGTGACACTATCTCCCCGCCTCTTTCTCATCAAGAACCTCCTCTCGATGTGCTGTACGCCATTGGAGGTGCTGATCAGCATTCTTTACTGGGGTCTTCGCTTGGTCAGTACCCAACCCTGTCGCCCCTACTCTTCGTGTTTCTGATATCCTGCTTCCAGATCGACAAGCGTCTTGTCGTTCCTGACTGGGCTGTTATTCCCTTAAATGCCGGTGAGTCTCAATGATCGTACAACCCGGGCACCCGTTATCGTTAACACCCCTGGAATATCAGACATAAGCTTCCATGCCGTCCCGTCTGTGATCCTTCTGATAGATCTCCTGCTTTTGTCACCACCCTGGACGATCACCATTCTTCCCGCACTGGGATTATCCAGCACTATAGCGATAGGGTACTGGTTCTGGATCGAACGGTGCTTTCAATACAACGGAATGTATGTAATCTCATAGTCCCGCAGCCGAATCAATCGACTCATATGACTCCAGGTATCCTTATCCGATCTTTGAGGTGGCTAGCTTCGAAGGTCGTATTGGAATCTTTGCTATCAGTGCAGTGGTCATGGCGCTGAGTACTGGCACTTTGAAATGGTTGCACGGACGTGTCAATGGCTTCGGAACGAGCAAGCCCCAGTCTCGGCCGGGTGCCATCAAGCAGAACGGTCACTTCTAGCGCACTTGCACATGTATTAGAACCGGGTGGCACATGACAGCAATCTAGCTGGAAGCTATTGTCTTAGCAGGTGGATGGCATGGGTTGTGTATACAGCGTTGGTGAAGCTTTCTAGAGTGTGAGCTGTGATGTGGGGTTATCCCATAGACATGACTATAGAATTTTGGATCTGAACAATTCAGAACTACATGGAGGTATACTAGCCAGCGACTCATTTCCTAAGACATAGTCAGTGCATACAGTTAAGGAACCTCAGGTTGAAGTACATAAGTTCGTTCGGGTTGTGCATAAGTCTTCTTTCTCATTCACCCACCATCCATTCTCCTTCTGCGTGGCCGACCCGAGGCAGTGACCTCATGCAGCCGCCGCCGCTTATCTAATCCGCGCATCTTTCTCCGCCGAACTCGATCCAACTCGTCTACCCATCATCACTGACAACCAGCTTTGTTCTCTTCCTCACCATCGCCTCGACCCTCGATCGACAACAATGCACAGCACCTCAATCTGTGGGATGCGCACCGCCGTCCTCGGCGGAAGCTTCTCCACATCTACCTTGAGACCATTTGCACATGCCAACAGCAACCTCACGAGACAATTGTATCATGCGATCCCATCGGCCCGCACGGCCAGCACAGCGACGGCCAACAATGCTGCACGCACGCTGAAGACCTCGGTTGCTCGCCCGCAGAAGCCCATTCCCTCGCTCTCTTCCGCTGCAGCTCCCCGCCGGGCCAAATCCAACGCCGCCGCCTCGCCTGCTCCCTCCGGGCAGCAGCTCGTCCGGCTGGACTGGGACTCGTTCTTCAAGCTCCGTGCCAGTCGGCGTCGCTACACGCTGGCCTCGTCGGTCGTGACCTCGGCTTTCACCACGGTCCTGGGAATGCAGGTCCTCTCGTCGCAGGATCTGGAGGGTCTGGGCGCCCAGGTGATGGGCCTGGACCCGTTTGTGGTGCTGGGTATGGCGACCGCTGCGTGCGGTGCGGCGGGCTGGCTCCTTGGTCCCTTCGTGGGGAACTCGGTCTGGGGACTGATCTACCGGAGATACAAGCCTTCTCTTCTACAGGTGAGTTTTTGACCCTCGCGTTTTCACAATACTTCCCCGTGTTGTGACTACTGCACAAAACGATTGGGAAATACTAATGATGGCAATTCGAACCACAGAAAGAAAAGCAATTCTACGATCGCATTCGCCGATTCCGTGTCGACCCTTCGTCCAACTCCATCGCCAACCCTGTCCCCGACTACTACGGTGAGAAGATCGGCAGTGTTCAGGGCTACCGGCAATGGCTGAAGGATCAGAGAGCGTACAACCGCAAGAGACGCCACTTCATCGCCTAAAGTTTTATGAGGTATAGGTTTCTCTACTTTGCATGACGGGGTTACCTTTCCATGATTGGGCATTGTGTTTATTTCTGTTTGGCTTCATCCTCCGTACGGGACTTGTTGAGTTCTGGTGGATTTGACTGTATGAATATTGAGTCTCCGTGAGCGATTGAAATGGATTTCTTCTTTAACTACCTTCTCGACTTGCTAGTCTGCCTTGTTTCCCTTGCTTCCACCCGCTTTCCACACAGATGCCCAGTTCTACTTTCTCTCATGAACAGCCTACAATTTCGACTCCCCGACAGCAGCCGGCTTCCGCTCAACGTGCACCTCAGCCCACCAAGGATAATTCTCCGGACCGTGCTCCTCGAGCGTCGCACGAAAATCAGCCTTTCTCTTCTCCAAGAAGGCTCGAACCCCCTCTCGCTGGTCCCTAAATGAAAGTCAGCTCAGCTCATGACCACACTCTCCCTTCTTCCCCTATGCCCCCCTTTCCCACCCCCGAAGGGGGCCTTTAAATCCAAGAAAAGGAACCACGTACTTGGAAGCAAACATATGCGCCAGAATACTCGAATCCAAGAGATGCGCCTCCTCCGCCGAGCGGGGACCCCGCCACATGAGCGCGCGATTCAACACGGCGGCCATGGGACTGACGTTCCGGGCGATCTCGTCCGCCAGCGCCAGCGCCCGCGCGCGCACCTGTTCCCGCCGCGGGAAGGTCTCGGCGAAGAGGCCGTCGAAATGCGGCGCGGTCGGGGCGAAGACCTGGCCCGTGGCGACAAGGTACATGGCCCGCGAGTAGCCGATCAGACGGGGCAGGAAGTACGCCGAGCACGATTCCATGGTGATGCCGCGGCGGGCGAAGACGAAGCCGTATTTGCTCTCTTGGTGGGCGAGTCTTTTTTTTTTTTTTCGACCTGTTAACGGGGGGTGTCTACCTTGTGGTGGGGAAGGGGTTTTGTGGCGGTTTACCTGATGGTCGCAGGGAGGGTCATGGTCATGCCGACGCCCACGGCGGAGCCTTGCATGGCGGCGATGGTGGTTTTGCGGCATCGGTGGATGGCGAGGGCGACTCTGCCGCCGCTGGTGGGGGTATTAGTGGGTTCTTCGATCGGACGCTGTGTCGTGTCTGCCATCCAAGGGGTCATGGATATCCTACATACCTGTCCCGATGATCAATCGGCCGCTCCTGCTTGTTGTCCGGGAACCCGATGTCCAGGTCGGCGCCCGCGCAGAAGGTGTCGCCTGCGCCGGTCAGGACGATGACCTTGACGCGCTCGTCGCGGTCGAGGGTCGTGAAGGCCCATTCCAGCTCCGTGGCCATGGTGCCCGTGAACGCATTGCGCTTCTCGGGTCGGTTCAGCGTGACGAGGATGACGGGGGTTGCGGTGGATGAGCCTGCGGGATGGTGCGAGAGCTTGATGTGTTGCGTGGGCTGGGTCTCGTAGGACGCGGGGATTGTGATGGCGGTAGACATGGTAGTTTTAGTCAGATAGCTACAAGCTTGATGGCTGAACAGCTGTTCTGATTTCTTGGTATGCTGAAGTACTGCGTATCTAGAACTGGAAATAACGCTGGCGTCGACATCCACCTCTACCCTGACAGTCCATCTATAAGTTGCCTCGGCCAGATCGGTTAACGTTCTTTGTTACCCCGCATCCAAGCACCGTGCTGTGATACGAATCTCTTTTGGATATTCTCATCATTGGGGTGCCATTGCTTTTGATGTATACTTATTGCCTGAATGGATTGGACGTGTTGTTCATAGTCCTGAGCTATCCGCATATCCACGGGTGTTTGATGGACAGCCGAGGCAGTGGACCTTGGGTGCCTCCAGGCCAAGGCTGGCCTAGAGATTACATTATCTGACATGTGGTTTGCACCAGACCACTCCTTTCACTACTAGTCCTGTAGACCACCGACCATCAAAATCACGGAACCAGGGCAATAATCCATAACTGTTACATCATCCAAGACTTCCCCTCTCAATTGACTTGACACATGAGACATCTGGACTAAAGCGGAGAGTGGATGACCGTGATTGATAAAAATAAAGCGCCTCACCCTTTTTTTCCACTGGAGCTAAGCTTTTGCTCCCGCCCTTTTTTTAGCGATCGGTCATCGCCCCATCATTGGTCGGGGTTGCAAAAATTCACTGCCTATATTGGGTGGGGAGGGGGGAGGGAGGGGGGCAAAGGCTTTGAATCAAAATCCAATGGCCAATGCTCATATACTAGACGATCAGCTGCACGGCCTCAATCCTTCTTCGTAAAGTGAACACCGCTGCTGTGGTAGGAAATTCCTATTCGGGTAATTCCTGATTGTGGCCCAGCAGGAAGGCTGAGAAGTGTGAAGTGTGGGTCAGGAACCGAGAAGGAAAAACAGACAGAGAAAAGAAACCTTGGAAGAAGTCTTGGAAATGGGAGTCCACTCAGCACTGTTAGCACTGTTTAACACGAAGCTGGGCGAAGACAGGAAAGCAAAACAGGCCCGAGACAAGCACTAAACTAGGCGCTTATCAGGACTAGTGCTTCTTAAGCGATGGACGGACCCTGGCTTAGTCTGTTGCTGCTGCTGTTGTTGCTGCTGCTGCTGCTGCTGCTTATCTGCAACTCGCGGCAGCCATGGCTGACTGACCTGACTCTTCTTCTTCCTCTTCCTCTTTTTCATCCTTTTAATTCTTCTTCCATCCTCACATTCCTCTCTGTTTCACTGCAATTGTTGTCTGTGTGTCCCCTCGTCCTCGCGGTCTCGCTCTCTTCCACTTTGGTCGCCTCTAATATACACCCTTCGCCAAATTCCCTCCTCTCCTCCCCACCACCACCACCACCACCACCACCGTCGACTGACATCCCTCTCGTGGCTTCAATTCCTCCCAGCATGTGACCAATGGCTTTCCACCATTTCAACAGGAAGCAGAGGCTTCTGCTGACCACCTACGCCATCCTCTTCTCATTCCTCCTCCTCCTTTGCCGCTTCTGGTCCCTCCGCGACCCGGGCTCCCTCTTCTTCGAATCCACCGAAGGCTATCGCCCCAAATACAGCCTGACCCGCATCCAGGAATCGCTCGACTACCTGTCCGTCTACAACCAGACCGGTATCAGCTACCCCTACCCGCCCAGCGACTACCAGCCGCCGAAGGACAAGACCGCCTGCGTGGGGATCGTGACGGTGAAACGGCCGCTGCAGCAGAATCTCGGCACGACGGTCGCCTCGATCCAGGACACGCTGACGCCGGAGCAGCGGCGCGCGCTGAACATCCAGGTGCTGTTCGCGCTCAGCGATCCCGCCGACCACCCGGACTACAACCAGACGTGGCTGTCGACGATCGTGGACCAGGTGCTCACGTACGAGACGGTGGACGCGCCGCACGTGACGATCGCCCGCCTCGAGAAGCAGAAGGACATCAAGCGCAAGTCGCTGCTGGACTACCGCCTGGGCCTGCAGGCCTGCTACGACCGCAGCGACGCCCCCTGGATCATCATGCTGGAGGACGACGTGGTCGCCCAGCGCAACTGGTACGAGCACACCATGCAGAGCGTGCGCCGCATCGAGGACGGCCGCCAGCGCGGCCTCCTCCCCACGGACTGGCTGTACGTGCGCCTGTTCTACACGGAGAAGTTCCTGGGCTGGAACTCGGAGAGCTGGCCCGTCTACCTCTTCTGGAGCGCGGTGACCGTCGCCTGCGTCGCCTGGGTGGCCCTCGTCACCCGTCGCAAGGTTCGCGCTACCCAGGGCGTGCTCACCAATCCTTTTCTTCTGGTGGTCTGCTTCCTCTGCGTCCCCGCCCTCATCGGCCTCTTTTTCATGACCGGCCGCGTCACCTGGTTCCCGATGGAGCCCGGCGTGCACGTCATGAACGCGCACGGCTGCTGCTCCCAGGCCCTGCTCTACAACCGGGCCCACGTGCCGGAACTCCTGCGGTATCTGGCCGAACGGGAGGACAAAGTCCCCACCAAGGCGGTGGACAGCGTCATCGAGATGCTCGCCGGGAAGGAAGGGCTGGATCGGCTAGCCATCTCTCCCTCGCAGATGCAGCATGTCGGCGCCGTCTCGTACAAGGAGAAGAAGAAGACGTGGAAGTGGGAAGGCCCGTATCGTGTCAAGGGCGCCCACGGTGTCTGGAGCATAGGCTTCGAGGAGGCATATACACGAGACTCGTATCGGTGGTTCGATATGTGATACACCCATAACCACCTTCCCGCTTGATGGAAGGTGTTCACCAACCAAAACAAAAAGAGTATGGTCAAATGCAAGCATGGAGGAAGCTAACTTATAATGATATATGTGGGAATGACTTTTGCGTTTTTCTTATTGGGATTCGAATGTTAATATGGACATCAAGGATTTCTGTATATGATATGGGTGCCGCGTCGGGGGCAGGCACCATGTATGACTCTTTTTTTTTCCTCCGGCGATCTTTATTCTTGTGATACTACTCGAGCAGTTTTTCTAGATAGAGTCCAGACAGCAATTACATCGTTCATCCGGCGGGCATGGCATGCCATGTCAGGCGAATACACATAAAAACAAAAAGAAAGAAAAAAAAAGAAGAAGAAGAAGAAGAAGAAGAACAACGGTGTAGCATTTCCTATTCTCAATTGGTATATCTCTGCATTACACGGGTAATCCAAGTATCTAAGGCTTGATTTGCGCTGGCATCGAGCGACTGCTTGCTTCTGGTGGTGCTCTATCTATAAGAAGATCAGGCATCACACTACCACTGATCAGCATACTCTACCTAAGTTTTGCCTCGTGACAACCACAATTGAGGGCCATCTGCATGATGCAATACAGGACTTCTTCAGAACGTGCCCTCAGAAGGTAACCGATACAGATAACTTATGCACCTTGAATAATCCACGCTGCCTACGACCGACTTGTGCCGGGACTGAGTATTCGACCAAAGTCATCCATCTGACCCCTGACCCCTCAAAAGCAGTAAGCTTGTTGGGGTACATGTACTAGGGCAAAGGATCCACCAGACCTCGAAAGCAGTAACCGGCTAGAAGGAGATTTGGAGATGTGGAAGAGTGGAGGGTTCTAGAAAGAAAGCAAAGCGCGGGGGGTGGAAATTAATGCCCGGTACTGTATACAGACAGTATGCATCAGAAGGGGAAATTCCTTTGGTACAGTACAACTAAAGATCGGGTCACCTGGAAGGGCTGGAATATCAGTGAGGTAAGAGAAACTAAACTCCCCGAGAGAAGAGGGGAGAAAAAAGTATCAAAGTTAAAAAAATTCTGTAGCAATGAGGGGGAAAAATCAACACCTAACCTTTCATGGTGGGAACTATATCATGGCGTAAGTCATACTAAAACGTTATCTTATGAAGGCGTTCATTGATTATCCAGTTATCTGGGGCAAGAAACCAACTAGGCACAGTACGGAGTGAAAGAAAGAAAGAAAGGAAAAAAAGAAAGAAAGACGGAGGAGCATTTGCGTTGCGGGCAATTCGTTGCTTGCCAATTGCCCAACCCAAGAAAAAAAAAACGGACGTCATTTGACCCCGACGGGCAACTGCTGCTGCTGCTGCTGCTTCTTGGCTCTCATCGCATCATCCACCACTACCACCACCACTACTGACTCTGTTCTTCTCTTCTTTCTTCGAATTTCTCTTTTCTCCCCTCTCTCGTGTTGTGTCTCACCGTTTCAATAATCAACTGCCTTGGTGGGGCAGTCTATCATCCTTCGTGTCCCCCTTCTCCATATCAGGTTCTCTCCCCTAAACCAGTTCGCCAGTTCGCCAGTTCGCCAGTTCGCCATTTTGAAAGCTGAGTCAAGAGCCACCAGCAGCAACCCGTCCGGACAATTCAATCTCAATCTCCAACCGAGTTCAAGCCGATCGCAACTTCGTTTCCCGTCTCTTTGCAATTAATCTCTTGCGTTCGCAACCGGACGATTGAGCGCCTGGTCTTTCGTCCCCCGTCACCAACTCATTTCTCCCCCCAATCTTCCACAGTATCGTCCGCCAGAGAACCTGCCAAAAAGTCATGGGCAGGAATATTTCTCATGGTCGCGGTGGCGCGGGTACGTCTTCAATTTCCGTTCCCCCCCCCCCCCCCCCCCCCCAAAAAAAGACCCCACTCACTACTTCCTGCCCCGGTCATCCCCCCCTCAGGGATATTGCAGGAAAGCAAGAAGTCGTTAGCTAAATCAAATTAATATCGACAGGGAACATCTTCTCCGGCACCGGCGAATCGCGCACCACCCCCAAGGACCTCGTCACCCCGACCATCAAACAAGATGTCTTTACCACCGGCCGCGGCGGCTCCGGCAACATGATGCAGAACGACCCGCAACATCCCGAACTGGCGCGCGAACTGCAGGACGTCGAGACCCCGCCGTTGCGCATGGAGGAGGCGCCGCATCATACCGGACGAGGTGGGTTGGAACCCTTCTTCTAGTTCTCGATTCGTCACCCTTCTTTTTGTTCCTGATTATAGTCGAGATGAAATCCTCCGTGCCAAAAGCTAACAAACCTATGCTCCATCTCTCACAGGCGGTGTCGCAAACGCATATTTCCCCACCCCTGAAGAAGAGAAGCGCATGCGCGAACAAGGCGAGGCGCAGTTGGCGCGCGTCAAGACCCAAGAGGCCCAACTGGCCCGCGTGAGAACCCAGTCCAAAGATCGCCGGAAGGATCTCGAGCACACGGCCGGGGCGGCGGCGGTGGCCTCGGGCGCTCTCAGCGGTAGCGAGAGTCGCCCGGCCAGCGAGGAGCGACAACCCTCGTCCAGTTGACTAGCACACGTTTGGAGTTGATTCACTCAAAACTCGATATGCTTTTTTTTTTCGTTGGCAGTCGGTACTTGGCAACTACTGGCGGACGAGGGCGCTGTGGGACAGGTATGGAAGCGTCCGACACGGAACGCTCCTAATTCTCCTTGTCCCCGGTCGGGTTTTCTGGTTCTTCTCCAAACATGACTACATATTTGGTAACCCTCGGTGGTTGATGCGGGGGGTGATAGATTTGTGATCGACTCTGGTCACTAATGGGCAGCTTCGACTCTTTGTCCAGGAGGGGAGTTTGAACAAAAATGCTGCGTGGTGGTGGCGATAGTGGTGATGATGGTGTCAGTGGCACAAATGTCGCTGATGCTGCTGATGATCCTGAAGAGGCCTCTCGGGTTTCTTATCTCCTTTCGACTCTCTCAATCTCTGGTCCCTTCTTCGTCATACCGTGGTGGAGAGGTTTCGCAAGGCAGCAGCAGTAGCTTGTCTTGTCTCGATTCGCTTCCGGTCCCCTTTTCCTTTCCTTTCCTTTCCTTTCCTTTCCTTTCTTCTTTTTCGCCTTCTCACACATATGTTTATTTAATCAATACCCATGTAGACTTACGTCAAAACTAGGAAACAGGCGCCGGTGTATGGTTTGGTTTGGTCAAGGTGTTTGTGTTGTTTTATTCACAGATGTTGTTCTGATCCGCCCGCAACAGCGGAGGATGGGCCGCTTCTTCCTTTGTGTTGCTGTCATGTTCATAAATCCTGCATGCTTACCTTTCAAGAAAATAACCATAGGTTCTGCTGCGCGTCGTCGGCTTTTTGTATGCTTGTCGCTTGTGACGGCACTAAAACGGAGACAGAAAGGATCCAATGAGAATGCATGGGCTTATCAGGAGTAGCCTCCCCCCCTCCTTCCTCCCCAGAAATCTCCTTAATATAATAAATTATAACAACTTTAGCGAAATCATCTTACCCTTGTCCATCCCATTTTGCCCCACGAGGAATAAAGAAAATAAAACTACACCGGCACGGGACCGTAATTCGAGCACGAGAAATGTATCTTCCTGTCGCATGATTGTATGCATGCCGAGTAGTGATATTCTATCCAAAAAAAAAGTCTTATAGATGATGCGGTCGCTATGAAAACGAAGAAGGCCAAAATGTATGCTATAAGAGGAGTGCGCGCGGAAAACACCGCTGGGGAAGGCTAGTTAGTAGTGATCACGCTGTTCCATCTCAACAAAAACTTAAAAAGAAACATCTTCGTATATGTGTCATGGCCGTTCCGTTAAGATGTCCAGCACCCTTGATTCTATTTTGCGATTGAGCGCGTGTCGGGTTGGGGTGGGGGACTGGTGGGGGACAGGCTGGCTGTCATGGCGGGATCCAGTGGTGTTTTGTTCTCATAACAGAGCGGCTCAGCTGGTGAGGAGTTGGAAGTTGATGGCGCGTCAAAGATTCAATGATCAGCTTCCCGGGGGAATATTGGCAGAACAAATATATGATTCTGATCATTGAATGAGTGGGGCTGGGTAGCGGGATACCAGAGTCGATCGCGGAAAGGATGAGTAGCGCAGTGTTCAGTGTGGTAGTAGCCCACGCTAGTTGCTGAGAATCTATACACCCCCGAGACAGACTGTGGATTTGCTGCAATTTGCCCATACTGCGGGAAGTGCATCCGCTTCGCTGGATGCAGCCTAGCAGATTTTGTGTAGTACTATGGTGACATGCGTCGTGGAGGGGACATCGCTTCAGAGTGCGATTCAGGCGAACATCCGTGGTGGTCGTCGAGAAAAATGCGGGTGGGCTTGTTCAGACTGGAGGGATATAACAGCCTGTGGCGTCAATGACCCAACTGATCGACTCTCTCCAGCCGGCATCCAGATGCTGGCCGATATCCCGAATCAGTCGAGTCCCCCATTCGCCAATCCACCAATGTCCTCGCAACGAGTGGATGATGACAGCGTAGTGGGCGAGAATCGCCAATGCGAACGGTTTTCGCTCCCGGACCAATTCCACATATCGCGACGGGATGCGGAATATCCATTGAAAGGCGATGATCATGGTCTCCCCTCCGCGCGCGAGCTTGTCCAGGGAGAATCCGAGGTGGTTGATGGTCGCATCGTACACATCCTTTTCGTGCGTCGGATCCTTGATCGCTAAGTTAGTATTTCGCCTGGAGAGAGACATAATGGCCAGGCGCGAAGTATCCGGCATCTTGGGCTGAGAGTTGTCGTATTCTAGGAGAGCGCTGAACTCTCCGTCAGCGACCCATTCGATAATCTCGCCCTGCACATCGATGGAGCCCCTGGTGAACTGGAAAATGTCCATGAGCGCATCCAAGGCATTGGATTGCGTGTTGACGGTGGGAATTGGGTTTCCCTGGAAAGCAAACGCGAAGACGACCATGATGCTGGAGAGGGCAAACGCCGCGTTGCAATTGGACCGGTCTAGATGGTCCGCGACCTTGGCCAGGCCCGCAACGGCCTGTTGCTGATGACTCTTGGCGGTGCGCAGATAATCCTCTTTGCTGGCGCCGGTGTTGGAAGAGGTGGCGGAGGCCAGATGTAGGGCTGACAGGGCCAGAATGCCATGCATGAGGAATGGGTGGCGCATTGCCTCGCGCGGGACCACGCCCTGCCATATGCCTTCCACGGTGCTATTGCGCGAGACGGATCGGTAAGTGGTGGTGCACCACTGCATCATTAGTTCCAAGTCCTGGATGTTGAGTTCGCCTCCCGGAGGAGGGCATGGACTGATGGAGTGGTCCATTACGAGGCGATACTGGGCATAAATCCTGGTGTTGGGTTGCGATTGAGACGTTGTTGTCCGTGCTGGCGGGATGGTTGGAGTAGTGGAGCGGGACTTGACCCTGGGCCACACCAGTGAGCTAGACGAGGAGATATATTGGCATATTATGTTGTCACTGGTGCAATGGGAGCACTGGGGGTGTTCTTTTGGGCACTGCATCTGCCAATCAGTAACGGAAAGGAGATATCAAGACCATCCGGCCACAATTGAAGCTCAAGCGTGGAGGAAACAGAAAGGGGGGATTGAGGAAACGACGGCGGGGGCAAGGCCGGTGGGATAGATTCAAGTTTGAGTTAAAGGTTCCGGGTTGGGGAAATGGTTATGCATCAAACGCCGACACGCGACACACGGTAAGGTGCCTGAAGGATGAGGATCACTGCATTCTAAGGCATTCGGGCATTGAAAACCAAAAGGGGGAAGAGGGAAGGGGAGGGGAGGGGGTAAGGCAGGCCTGGGGGAGTGGAAGCAAGAGGGGGGAGAGTGACAACCACCACGAACATTTGAGAAGAAAGAGGAGGAATAGAAGCAAAGAAAGTCAGAACAACAAAAGAGAAAGAAGAAAGAAGAAAGAAAGAAAGAAAGAAAGAAAGAGGGGAGGGAAAGGCTGAAGAAAAGAAGCGCGACCAATATTCGAAGGACAACCGCAGGCAGGAACATCAACTTTACTTAAACTTTAGCGAGCCTACCTTGATCTGCCGGTTCCTGCACCCATAGCAGCCATTCCGTGATGAGGCTCTATAACTGCGCCGTGCAGGCATTGTCGAACCTTTCCTCTGGATGTTGGTGTAACTTGGCGCAAGGTATGTTTCATAACAAACCGACAGGCATCGCACCTGCTCTGCCTGGTACAAGAGACAGGGGAAAGGGGAAAAGGCCAAGTGGGTGGGGGGAGGGTGTTTATAGGAGGAGGAGTGATAGTAGGAATGGTAGGAATAGTAGAAGGAAGTAGGGTTGGAGATTGTCTCGCAGGGGAAAAGGGAATATAGAGTAAGAGAGGAGAGAGGAGAGAGGGTTAGAGAGAGACAGAACAAGTGAAAGGCAGCTTGCAGTCTGATAATGCCAACAAGACAGCTGGAAGTCAGAATAAGGATAAGAGTAATAATTAGAATGATAATAAGTAATTTCTCCTGCACCAAACACTCGAAAACAAACACATCCACATATAAAACCTGAGATATCCTGTTGGCACGCCATGTTCGAGGTCTGGTCTTTTAATACTCTAGCATAATTTAATAGAATTTCCCTGCCTACCCGCGCACCTCTTTTTTTATTTTTCCTTTTTTCCCATTTGCCTTTTTTATTTTTTTTTATTAATTCTTCATTTTCTTTTTGTCTTTCTTTGCCCCTTCCGGGCGCCCCCTTCAGTGGACACTACTTTTGGCATTCGGTCTCCAACTAACCGATAGATCGTTGTTCGGAGTGGGTCTTGGAACAACAGAGTGGGAAACATTGACCCAGAAAGATACACTATCCATTCTGATACACTCTGCAGCACTCAGCATGGCTGTTCGACTGTACTGTAGACTTGTACGGCAGGACTCGTAGCTCTCTGAACATTACCCAGTAGCTAACTAAACTTCTCAACGTTTGATCACTTCTTTAGATTGTCAATTGTAGCATTGTATTTGCTTCTATTCTTTTTTTTCTTGTTCCAAATTCTTCCTCCCCCTCCCCTGAATCAATGAACCAGTTCGAAATGTCTGACTGCCAGTGCCGCGGCATGTGCACACCAAACCAGTAAATGCGGAGTGGCCTCTTGCCTAAACCTGCAGGACTACCTCACCTACTTGAGTTACTATCTACATAGTACTACGATCTCCATCATTCATTGCCCCTACAACGGTGGTATGAAAGCATCGATACTGACCGATTGGCATGGAGGGTTGCCGGTCTCAGGCAGGACCCTCGAACGAGTCGACGAAGATTGACGGGCGTCGGGATCTCCGTTCCCCAGCCAAGTCATGATTGTCCAGTACTTCCCCCTCCAAGAACGACTACCGTTGAGATGGACGAAAAAAATTGGACGATCCATCATTGAAAAGCAACAGCTTGTGCTCGACTACAGTCCATTTCCAGTTAGTCCTGCCGAGAGAGGGGAGAGTTCCGCGATTTGTGGATGCTTTTTGACTGCTTGACTATTTGGCTATGCGACTATTCAATTCTTCCGCTATTAATACCGACTGCATCCTGACGTTCCAAACTTTCAACATCCATCTATCCATCCATCCATCCATCCATTCATCCATCATCGATCGCGACTTTTCCTTAACTGGATTCTCGTTGACGTGACCTCCACATAATCCCGAACGAGCCACCCAATCAGGCGATTGGCTTTTTTCTCTGGGCTTGATCCTCATAAATATTTTCTGTTTCTTCTATCGCATCTTGGATGAACGGACGGAGAACGGAGGAGGTAGCTACCTCCTTCCCGGGATTCCAAGACAGTCCACCCCCTGAAACAATCTGCAGGATGCATCCTCATCAACATCATCAGGTTCACTTTGTTCGCTGGGATCCCAGTTTCTCATGAAAGCATGGGTTCATCCAGGTGGAGATGCACCCTGTGGGAAGAGTACACAAACCAAAGAGGGAAAAGGGGAGGTTGCATTGACCAGTACTCCGTACTGCTGCTGAGGGACTCCAACTTTTGCAGTCCGTGCAGAGCGAGTGACTGACGTAAGTCATGGATTCGTCAGGTTACCTCCGTGGTAGGACAACCATTCCTACTAGGGCTGGAGAACACTTCTTTTTTCCTATCCGTGATACAGTTGAAAGAGTCATGAAGCAACGAGACCCAATCTCGGGATCTCTGGATGAATCATGATTCTGGCCAGCGAAGCATTGCACACCCGCACCCTCTCTCCTCCATTCTCCTCTGGATTCACTGGATGGATCTCAGTCTCTCCTCGTCATGCCGTCTTGGGACAAAAATCATCCACGCCGCGCCCGCCCGCCCGCCTGCCCACCCCGGGGTGGACCCCGGCCACTTACAGGCCAAACCCAAAACAGTATTTTCTCAAATCCCAAACCCATCCCCCCGTCGCCCTCCCCCGCCCCCTTCCCTATCGCAGTCTAGCCCCACCAAGTGATGAACCCTGCTTTTGCCATTTAGGGTAATCAAGATTCTTGGTGTTTTCCCCTCGTGTGATTGGGCGCAGCACTCAGGACTTTCTGTCCTCTTCCTGATCAGGCATAAGGTTGAGCTCGGCCCGTGGTACGGCACAGTCAACTTTGAATCTTTGATTATCGGACCGCTAGCCTTATGAATATGAAGGTGGTAGATCTGGCTTTGATATGGACCATGGCTTGCGCGGAACTCATTGAAATGGTTTACATTTGATTCACCATGTCTGTATCAATCCCATCGATCTTGTCCTTGGAAGGGCAAGGGAAACCTTGTTGGTTGTTCGTTCACAATAGTGCCTAGTAGTGGGCCTCCTCTCCCGACGGATCTCTCTTCCTGAATGGGAGAACAATCTCTCATACCTTAGCTTGATGATGCAACAACACAGACTCACAGAGTCTATCTAGGCCCCTAGGGACATTCACTGGGCTCGACCATTACTCAATCAATACTATGGATCAAGACACATTGACTGCGCTACTGCGATCCAACATTCTATTTTCGAGGACTAACTTGTGAATAGGACTAGAACGTGAGCACCAAACCTAGATCTAGTGAATTATACGAAGACCTGCACAACGAACCCACTCATCGACTTCGTAGCTTGTATCCAGTACTGTTTTATGAGGGTACTAAGTACTTTACCAACGATCGCAGAGATGTCGACGAGAAAGATCGCCCTCCAGGAGCCGACACGATCGCGATCGGGTTATCGCATTTTTCCGGAAAAGGAGCACCTTTCGTCCTCAGGCATACATCGCAGGTTACTGTCATGTTGGAATCCAGTTGCCATTATTGTTACATATGTACTGTACTTGCTTCTTTATGGGTCGACAGTCAGCGAACTCTGTCGCAGACTACTGCTCACGTAAGTTTTTGTGTACAAACATCAGTGGTCTTTTTCAAGGTAACTACCTAGCTTCCCACCAACCCCCTGCGCTCGGAGCCAGGGAAAACTATCGCCCACAGTGAATACTGTCGGTCGAAGTCTATCACTATTTGTCTATCTAATCCCATTCAATCAATGTCACAAATACCACAAAAAAGTCTTTACTCTCACACGATGATTTCCCGTATCATTGCTATACTAGTCACTTGTCTCAGTTCCCTCGCTTCAACACCGGATACCGCTTAACTTGTCTTCCTTTAAAAAAAGGCTTCTAAGATCAGGCAAGAGAACCAGGGGGGGAGGTCACCAAGAATAGTGATGACATGGTATATCCAGGTCATGCTCGCCTCCGTGTCTCAGTGGACTACGCAAATCATTCGAACATTCGGATGGGATGATATCTTAATGCTATGCATCCGAGGAATTACAATCAAGATAGATAGACAGACAATCAACAAACGGAAGCTGCTCACGTAACGTTAGGCCGACCCCACGTCTAAGTTATCGGCTGTAAATGATCGAGAAGGAACTCCTAAGCCACCAATCTATTACCTTCGATTCGAATAGAACCTTCGAAATCTGGCAGCAATGTGGCTAACCCCCATCCATCCATCCATCGGGATCCCTTTTAAAGTACATATGACGACTACATACAGGACAGCAAAAAAAAAAAAAAAAAGGAAAAGAAAAGAAAGGAATCTAGATTAAAGTCCCGAAGCCCCGACCGTCCCGATCCTGGTCAACCACACTTGCGGGCCGTGCTCGTGGCCTCCATCTATGATTGCATCCATCCAGCCAGGTTTGGAGAAAACTAAGGAGAATTTAGAGTGGGCGGCGGCGGCGGCGGCGGCGGCGATGGGGGCACGTTTCGGCCGGAGCGGAGGAAAGAAAGAGGATCAGGATCAGGGAGAGCCGAGATAAAATTAAATCATAACACTGAACCCGGCCGCGGTGGGTCCCAGGACTGCTGCGAAGGAGGGAGATTGAGATTGAGGGAGGGACTGAGATAGTCACCCATCCACATTTCTCCGCCCCAGAGAACATTTTACTCCAAGATCCTGGGCTTCTAGCGTTGTCCCCTTCCGTCTTTTCACTCTGACTTGACCGATCATCCATCCATCGGCTTTGGATTCGGTTTCGCTTACAGCTAGCTACGTACAATTGATGGCATTGATGGCATTGATGACATTGCGTTCGGATCCTGTTTTGTTTCTTTTACTGTATCAGGGAAAGCGTAGCGAAACCCATCAGGCAGCCTCGAAGCATCTGACCGTGAGATGGCATGAGTCGGGGGGTGGGATAAAGAAGTGACCGATGTATGGAGTGTGTGTCATCTGGCGATGAATAGATCAATGGAATCAGTTTGCAACTACGTGGGTATTCGCCGTTGAGTCCGTAGTATCAGCATCGTAGCGGCTTATTCTTCTAGTCTCCGAATGGATTTGACCTTCTTTCTTGTCCTTTCAGCAACGTTGGCAAAACGTCGGAGCCATTCCCGAGTAGGAATATGCAATGCTTGTGCGCTTGAACTTCGCGCGGCGTGGCATGGGGGTTCTCCGATTTCTTGGACGGCTTTTTTGACGCTTTGATCTACTGTATGAACGAACTAGCCAGTCGGATCATTTCGATCATCGACTGATCGAGGCGGGGCCAAGATGAAGGACATATCAGGGATAGCAACGTGGCGTGTGCGTCTTGCATGTCAGTGCAGTGATGAGGGACATATCAGTGTTCTCTACGCTTGGTGTCTATGAATAGGTTGACTTCCGCTCCGCGGAGGCATGGCTCGAGCCCCCGTTGGACTTATCGTAATAGTATCTTGGCGCTAAAGTGAGGGCTGGGCATGCTGTACATGACTCCATGATGATAGCGAAGCATGTGAGAGGAAGACTAACAGCTCATATGCTGTTGCTTTGGATGTAGTATGGGGCCATGTTTTCTTGGATCGTTGCCCATCCTCGATCGGGTGTCGGTTGCATCATGCATCCAGAGCTGGTTTGCCTCATTGTTCTTCTTTTGGGTGCAGTGCAATGACTTGCCCTGGAGGCTACCTCTCTCTGATAGTTGCAGGTGCATATGATGAATGTAGGGAACGCAAGACTATGGGCCCTGTATACTGGTCGTGGTGAGGTCGACACCAAAGAGATAGATACTACTTACTTGCCAAAAGGCGGACTGTCTTAGGTTGCTATTGCTTTCCATAGTTCTCAAACACTTATCTATAATTCTTCGCTCACTGTGTGCTATTCCTAGTTCAATTGCGGCAAGTCGGCAGTTCGACTGTTAAAAATACATGCTATCCGGGACGAGAAAGCTCTCTTCCAACTGCGCACAATGGATCGATTCTCCCGAGAGTAAGTCTCTTGTCGTCCTTAACGGCTTCGAGCACATGGCCTGATGTTTGCCCCCGAGTCCAAACTGGCAACCAGAATACATCGAACGGATGCTCCCGCGCGCCCCGTCCTGACTACAATAGATGGGGTGCGAGCATTTCTTCAGTGGAACCCCAATCAATGTCTTGATTGTTCTTTCAGTAACTCTCACTCCTGGGCAGAGGTAAAAGCAGTGGTAGCCTTTTGAGATATATGTTTTGAGAGCGGAAGAACATGTGAGAAGAAACAGACATTCCCGGAGAATCATCAACAACTAAGTGCACTTTTAGCAGACCCAGCAAGACATCATAACCCGGTAAAAACGAAGCATGGACTGAGGGCAGTGGAGACTCTGCCACCGCATCCACAGAGCTATATGGATCTTCGATCTTCTGGGTCTAATCAGCGGAGAATACGAAATTTCCAGACGATCAAATGAGCTTGGAAGGTTCGTGGAAGCGGAGTTTGCTCTGTTGCATCGAATGGGGTGGAGTAGGCGATGAGATGTCTCATCCACACCCAAGAAACGGAGACTATTAAGCTGCTAATGTTGCATTATACTCCCAGCTTGTAGGACGCTCGTTAAAGGACAGATGATGATAGCACATGCCGTTCCTCCGTGCTGTCATTAGAGATGTACCGAATCGAAGTCGATTTCGCTCTTTTCAGCTCGGGTGCACTTCCAGCGCCATGACATAAAGACTGTACCCGAGTAGATCCACATGGCTCACAGCAGCTCTGCTTCTCGATAGCTACTGTCGCGGGAAAAGATATGGTGAGCTTTTGCTCTTTGGTATCCCATCTCTGTCCTAATCGTTCTTCCCAGTGCGGTCTTAAACATGCGGCCTTGACATTTCCAGAAAGAAGGTAGCATCAACGAAGGGCGATGAAGCGCGATTCTTGCGACCAGATGGGATTCACCTACGCAGAACGGATTGATTTCAAGAAGCACTGAGGACAAGACCGAAGGCTCTAGTGGGAAAGGTAGACATATGATCTGTTTTGAGATCTGGGGCGATCGTCCCTTTCTACATTTGCTGTCACCCCGGCCACGACTGCAATGCTCTTGCAGGAGGTCATGGCGTGTATGGCATATGATATGATAAACTTGTTACAGCACTCAGTACGAAAGACAAACTCTTGCGGGCCGGATGGAGGAATGTATGGCGACCTTTCCGGGCACCATAAGGACGAGAGCTTCCATGTCGATTGAGCTCGCTTGGCAGGGAACACCATGCCTCAGAGCGCCTCTAGTGTCTGTTATTGTAACATGCTCTCCAACGAGTATTCTGAGAGATGACTATGTCAATGATGGCCAGAGTAGGAGGTTTGCACAGACAATAGCGACTCACGATCAAAAATCCGTCTCGGTGTTGTTTGCAGGTGGAAATGGTAGACGGGATTTCGAGTGCCATATGTTCATGTAGTACGTTCATGTAGCTTGTTCACGAAGATTATGAGCTTATGACAGACAAGTCTAGAGCCAGGATAATGCTTACAAGGAACTGAGGACTAAGAGAAGCCAACGATGTTGCGTTGTGTAGCAATGAACACCTGCAGAGAGCGTATCTCGGATACTCTACCAACCTCCAGGCTAAGCAACGGAAAGTGGAAGCCCTGGGTGAGTTACCAGGCACTAGCCAAAGGAGGGCACCAATCAAGAAGCGGTAGTGCTTAGCTCTGCGGATAAAGCAGCCCGCTCGGGCCCGCTAGGCAAGCGCATCCCGGGTAATACCAGCATAGCCCTGAGGACGGTTTACATTGACATAGATATACTGTACTCTGTTGAATCCAAGATCTCCGGCCCGTATCTGGATCCTTGATAGGACCCTTTGCTTTGAAGAGCGGTATCAGTTTCCTGATTTTATCTGTATGTAAGCCAATCAATTATCAGGATGAGCTTGTATCGGCTATTGATCATTCTGCAAACATGTTAAATGATCCTTTAGTAGATGGAAGAACACATTGAGGATTCTGTCTCAACTGTCGTTCGTCATTCCTTCTCCAGTTTACACCAACAATGAGCTAGATTTATGCGCATCACAGGCTCGTAAGAAACGTGAAGAATTGCTTAGCTGTTCTGTACAAAAGAGTATTCTACTTCTGTCCCCAAAAATCCCGGATTGAAACATTGATCAAACCGATGTAAGATATTGCATAGACGGCATTGGCGAAGGAGTCGAAGACACGGCCACTCGAGGTACTGCCTCGATAGAGATAAGACGATATAGCATCATGCACGCAAGCGTCCCGAATCGGCAAAGGCACTATTATTAAAACGCCCCATTGGCTCAGGCCGGCAGCAAGACCAAGCCCAGTCGCTGATTTCGACACCGTGAACGGCCTTATCACCGACATGAATCGACTGCAGCCATCTCGAATGGGTGGAGGAGAGGTCAGTTCTGCGTCGGGCGTCGGCTTCTATCGACCCAACGCAGAGGAACGAAAATGCCTGCAGGAGGGCATACGGGAATGAGATTGGCTGCTAGAGTGGACGTCGGGCCCACTGTATGCCTGATAAGGTATAGTCGGGCCCGGGGAATTGCCGCAGTCGGTTAATTAAAAATCTCATTTGTCGAATGCCTTCCCCCTCTTCCGGTGTTACATTCTGACAACCACCGACGACTTACTGGCAGTGTGCAGCAGCAGTGACATTACTGTACACGGACAGACCGGAGTGACAGCGCCCCGGGCGCACACAGCAATATGCTGCAGCATGCCAAAAACAAAAGACTACGGGGATAGGGAATACTCAAAGAAATAAAATAAGTAGTGGATCAACAGTGAAGGATGTGAACTGAGGAAGTACTGTATTGTACGGAGTACACTATGCATGAAATTAGGGTTCTAGGCGATGAGCGATTAACAGCATCCCCCAGTAGGATGCACACGGCAAGCAAAGCTCCGGACTGGGCAAGAGGCCGAACCCGACTGTCTGGGTCCAGGTTCCTGCGCCGGCTTGAGTGCTGATCGCCTCCTGATCCGTGACGCGACTAAAACCTATCGGTTCTGGCGCTAGTAACATCTCGGGTCTGGGCGTGCAGCGAGCGGTTTCAGCCGGGTACAGAATAGTGAGGTCGCGGGGAGGGATTTGGTAACAGAGTGTAACTTTGCTGGCCCAGTCAACCCTCTAAACCTCACGCTGCACCGGTATTCTTCTGGTATTCCTCTGGTATCTCTCGGGTACCCTCCACGCCCAGTTCATCCCCAAAATACCCAGCTAAAACGTTAGCGGGCAGTCCGTGGGTGTTCTAGCAATATTACAGCTCCGTAACCCGGGATGCCCCTAACCAACAGAAGCTGAAGCCTGACGCCCACAGACCCGTGGGATCCTCAGGAGCCCCGACGTATGGATCACAAGCAAATACCTTATTCTTTCCATCAGTCAAGTATCAAATTCTGAATTGATTAGCAACTTGCTAAACTATCTAGTATCACATCCCAATCAGCTGTGTTTCTGAAGAGAAAAAACGAAAAGGAATGACGGGCATGAAGCAAAGAGAGCAAAAGAAATGAGCTCATACTCCGTACAGATCTGGAACTCCAAAAAAGCTGCCCGTGACTCCGCCCACACTGCCCACTGACTGACTGCTCTCTGCTCTCTCTTCTCTTCTCTTCCTGACTTTCTCTTTTCTCTCCCCGCTACTCCAAAATTAACTACCTTTAGCCTTTTTTTTATTCCCTCTTCTTACTCCCTCTCCAATCTGCCTCCTTCTTTGCTTTTTCTTTTAGTCTCTTCTTACATTTCCCCCCTCATCGTCAGCCAGTTTCCTCACCACGCGCACCGCGCTCGTATGCAACCCCGCCTTTTTCAGCTTCACCCTCCTCCGCTTGGCTGAACCCGCGCTATTCAAGACAAGCCACGAGCTCACTTTTCCCCCTCCTGTCTCACTTCATGGATCGTATTCCTCCGCCACCGCTCGCCATGGATCGAATTCCGCCCTCTTCTTCCTACCCCACGCCTGGGTCCGCCGGCCCAGTGCCCCCCGCCATGACCTCCGCAGCCCATCTCGCTCCGCTCTCCACCGTGCACGAGGGTCGCATTTGGTCTCTACAAGTGGTACAGCAGCCGATTCGCGCCCGCATGTGCGGCTTTGGTGACAAGGTCAGTCTTGTCGATACCCGCAAGCTCTCTCGGGCTGGCGCATGGATCTGAGTTTTCCGTTTGTCGCATTGTGCTCGAATTCCTCTTTAGGCGTGGGAAAGACCGGAGACATTGGATCCATGCGACTCGGATATTGGTCCGGATGTAGTTCCGTTGGCAAGGCAATCGCTAGGCAGAGGCATGGAGTCCGATTGGGTTATCGCCATACCTGCATGGCTCGGATGGTTCGTGAAGCTCGGGGACGTTGAGTCGCGAACGCATTGAATCTCAGCTCTTGTCTGCAATTGGCTGCTTCGGATTGCTAGCGCTCTTTTGAAGAGATTCGAAGTCGCATGGATCTGAGTCTTGGGTTTGACATGAAGAGAATTCCGCACGTGACAGAAGTTCTGAACCCAGAGCCAGTCGCTGCGTTCTTGTCAAATCCCCTTTACCATTGCTGACCATCTTCAGGATCGACGACCCATTACGCCTCCTCCATGCATCCGTCTAATTGTCCGGGATGCTCAAACAGAAAAGGAAATCGATATCAAGTAAGTCGACGTCCCCGGTCGCCGATGGTCATGCGACAGCACACTGATCAAATGGAACCAGTGAGATCGATACGTCCTTTTATGTACTCATGGTCGATCTGTGGAATGCCGAGGGAACGAGCGAAGTCAACCTGGTGAAGCACTCGGCTACATCTCCGTCGATATCTACCGCCATGTCCTCCTCATACCCACCCCCGTTGCAGAACGTCTCACCCTCGTACCCTCCGTACGCGCAAAATGCCTATGGTCAGCCTGTCGGTTACCCGCACATGAATAACTACTACGCCGGAAACCCGCAACTTCAATACCAAAACCCCTATGGAGCGAATCCGCAAGCCCAACCTTACTACCCCTACTACGCCGGGGGTCACATGCCACCCGCCAACATCTCCCCAGCGCAGCCTGTTACCGCCGCTCCAGGTGCTGGCATGTTCACGCGAAATCTCATCGGCAGTTTGAGCGCCAGCGCATTCCGGCTGACGGATCCGGAGAACAAGATTGGTGTCTGGTTCATTCTGCAGGATCTCAGTGTACGGACAGAGGGTTCCTTCCGGTACGTGCTTTCAACAGTAACCCCCTGCCATGCTACTGCTTAGCTGACTGTTCCCCCGCAGCCTGAAAATGAGCTTTATCAACGTGGGCACTCAATCCGGAGAATCTCCCAACGGCGTGTCGGTGATCAACCACGGGTCGGCGCCCGTACTGGCATCGGTATTCTCCGAACCCTTCCATGTATACTCCGCCAAGAAGTTCCCTGGCGTCATCGAAAGCACATCTCTCAGCAAATGCTTCGCGCTCCAAGGCATCAAAATCCCGATCCGAAAGGACGGCGTGAAGGGATCGCGCGGGCGGCACAGTGACAACGATGACGGCGGAGACGACTACGACTAGAAAGCCGATGATGCGCTGTCTGGTCTGTGAGATTGGCCTTTCCTTGATTTGCTTCTGTTTGCTGTTTGCCTAATACCTCCTCTGGCGCAACGTTTTATGGGTTCTGGTAATATGACCTGGGTTCCTGGGAATGCGGTGTTTCTCTAAAGGGACTGGTTCGGGGGGTTGGGGAAGGGGTTTGTTTTCATCAAACGGATTGGGTGTATTGGTATCGGGACCGGTGTCGCGGGCTTATTATTATTTTTTTTTTCTGTTCCATTAGTCTTCTGGTTTTTCTTCTTTGCTCTATATCTCTTCCAGTACCTTATTCGCTTTCCTCAATTTTTTTTTCTTTGCCTTATTAATTTTACCCCCAATGCTTCCGAGTCTGTGTTTCTGCCCTCTGTGCGAATAGTGCTCTTCTTTTTTTTTTTTTCCTTTTACCTGCGTGTCCCCCCCCCACCCGTGTATAACGTGGGTAGAAGACAGTCCGTCGAATGTCTAAACTGGATCAATCCTTCATCGTCAGCAGCCTGGTCTTCTAGTATGTTTATGTCTATGCCAAAGGCAAAGGGCGGGGTCATATGGGCCATCAATCTGACACTGGTGGGTGAGCCTCGTGGTGCACATCCACCACCGCATCCCATTCTCATAACTTATATGTACTGTACTTCTCTCTGCGCCTCTTCGCTTCTTCACAGGCTCATAGTGAAACGCACCGCACGCAACGACCTGTTTGGCTTGTCTCTTGAAGATTCGAGTTCCGGAGTGTACTTCACCGGCTGGTGGAAAATAGCAAATCGCACTCCCTACTACGCTTGGCTCTCGACTGTATCGCTGCTCCAATTGATTCCTTGGGTGTCCAGGACTCCGTCTTTGGTCCTTTGCCAGATTGGAACACCGGGTTACTCGGAATTGGACAGCATCGGCAAGAACAGCGCCCGCGGTTATCCGGACGTACCCAGATAGGTAGGGTGATATACTGTATGTACTGTACAGTACATCTCAGGTGGTTTAAGGTTGACACACTGAACCCGCGCCATGCGTGCAACAAGAGCGAGCACGTGGGGTAGAACCCCCGAGGCTGGCTAGGATCAGCCATGTCTCAGAGCAGCAGATGATACTATTGCAGTCGCCTTGACTACTGACTACTGACCGCCAATTCGAACGCTCCTCCAGTTGATAGTTTCTAGACTATCACGATCAGCTTCCTGGGTAGGGGGTGCTTCCACTGCGGCCTTGAGTTAGTGAAGTAGGTGCTCAACTAGAGTCCTCACGGATTCGCAGTCGAGCATGGGTCAAGTGTGGAGAGAGGGTACGCAGGGTCAGCTTATCCATTGCCCCAATTAATTGTTCATCTTACGACCAAACGAAAGTAGCGGCAAGCACGTAGCACATACTGTCCAGGGTAAAAACAGGGTATCTGGTTCTATATACGTTGTTCATCACGACAAACCGACAAGAAAACAAAGAGCTTTTTTTTTCTCCCGCGACATTAGTTGCGCCATATCCGTACGGCCTTGTCCTTGCCACCACTGCCCACCTTCTGTCCGTCGGGACTCCAATCCACCGCGAACACTTCATCCTTGTGTCCCGGCAGATCCTCAGAGAGCTTACCCGTGCGGACGTTCCACACCTTCAGGGTGGTGTCTTTCGACGAGGAGACGAGCATGCGGGAGTCGGCGGAGAAGCAGCATTGGTAGACGGCTCCGACGTGGCCGCGGAGGGTCGTGATGAACCTGTGGGGGAGCATTGGTTAGTGTCGAAGTCTGAATGAGACGCGGAACTCAAGGGTGCACTCACTTTCCGTCCCGGGCATTCCAGAGCTTGACGTGGTTGTCGAAGCCCGCCGAGGCGATGTATGCCATATCCGGCGAGAATGTGACGTGGTTAACCTCCTTCTGGTGGCCGAGCAGGCGCGCAACGGGCTTGCTGGAGTTCTCCGGCTCCCAGAGATACATGGTGAAGTCGTCGCTGGCCGAGACGAGCTTCTCGACGATCTTGTTGTTGATGGTGGCGGCGTGCTGGTACCGCTGCTTCGCGGCGGCGACCTTCTCGGTGTCGGCTTGCGGGACCTGGCCCGTGTGGTCGTGGTAGGCGGTCCGGAGAACGAAGTCCGTGGACAGCGCCAGGTGGTTCACGCGGTGAGCGTGGGCGGACAGGGTCTGGATCAGGGTGCCGTTCTCCGCGTTCCACACCTTGACCGTCTTGTCGTGGGAGGCCGTGTAGATCTTGCCCGTGCCGCCCCACTTGACGCAGGTGACCGAGCCCTTGTGGCCGGTGAGGACCATGTCGATGCGCTTGCTGACGACGTCCCAGACGCGGACCGTCGAGTCCTTGGAGGCGGACGCCAGGCGCGGCCGCCCCGGCTGCTGTAGGTGGTAGGGCTCCCACGCCAGGCTGGTGATCCACTTCGCATGGCCCTTCAACGGGGCCCCGAGCGCTGTGCCCTTCTTCGCGTCCCACACCCGCACTGTGTTGTCCATGCTTCCGGTCGCGATCATCGCGCCGTTGGGGGAGTAGCTGACCGCCAGCACCCAGCTCGTGTGACCCTTCAAGGTATGCAGGGGGGTTCCGGTGTCGCAGTCCCAGATGCGGGCCGTCGAGTCACCGCTGCCGGTGACCATGGTGGACGAGTTGACGGGGGAGAAGGATGTGGCCAGAATCGCTTCACCGTGTCCGGCGATGGAAGCAGAGCATCGCGAGACCGCCTTGACTCGGAAAACCGCCTGCGGCGTGTAGTAGAGGTGAACGGTATCTTCGGTCGTCTTGAGGCCGGGCTTGAGCAGGGAGTGGTACAGATGTGCTAGGATGTCGATCGTCTGATTGTCCTTATCGTCCGACTGGTAGGTAAACCGGTATGGCACCCGCTCATCATCTTCCTGTGTTTTTTTGCGGGGGAGCGGAGTTAGTATCTCTGGTATGAGGTCACCGTCTTTGCATGTGTCGCGTACCTACATTGCCTTGTAAGGTGTTGAGAAGCGTCTCCAAGTTCTTTATGTTGGCATCGGCCACGGGGACGGACACTGCTGGCCCGGTTGGCGCTCCTGTCGCTTGGTCGAAAAACTGCACTCGGACACTGCCCAGGTTCTCCGGGATGCTCTCGATCTCTTGCTGAAGACGGGCCTTTTCGGCAATCTCCGTCTTCTGACGCTTGGTAGGAGGAGGCAGAAGAGTCGCCATTGTGAGAGTGATTGGGGGGGGTTTGTTGTGTGAAGGTCTTCTAGCCTTTCGAAAAAAAATCGATAAAGAATCCCGTCCGGACTTATCGCTGCGGTGGGGGAAGATCGACACTAACCCGCTTTCGGACATTAGAGCATCACGGATCCCTTCCAGTTGCTTGCATTTAAATGCCTTCCTTCATCCAAGTATCTCTATGAAACTGCTCATGATTGCAAGATATTAATCCCTGTTTATGTTCTTCGCCTATCCAAAAGACAGCCCACGATTCTTCGAAAACCGGAGCTGGATGCAACAGTCGCTAAGGTTCTTCGGAACATGCACAATCTTCATGGCCAGGAACCCTCTACCTTGATTTGACAACCACTATGATGCGAATCTTCAATACCCCAAGCCCCGCCGCCCGCAATTTGAGTACTGAGTCGATCTCGCGACTGTCTTCTGGAGGTCAAAACCTGTCCCATGTGGACAGAGAACGGTATCGTCATTAGCGAAGGATTCTGTTAGTGTAGGTGGACTTAGAGGTGGCATGGTAGATCCTCGAGAAGTATGGATAGCAGCCATACTTCGTAGTCTGACCGTGAGGCCTCCGGGAGATGCTAGCTTAGCGGTGGAAATTGGGATTCTAGACGTTGCCTCCAGGCTGCACAAACACTTGCAATTGCAATTCCCAAATGATACACCCATCGAATACATGAGGCGAATTTGTAGGCCAACCAACCAATGGACTAAAATCTTCCAATTCCAAATCCCTCGACTACCTGGCTCTATTGGGTAAATCGAGTCTGCGGACAACATCACTAACAGGGGTGCGCCGGATCACGTGTAGCCCTTATAGAAGCGGCGGCATCTGAATCGGGCAATCGGGCGAGTTCACCTACTGCACTGCATAGACTTATATTTCAAGACTTCCGCGTAAAGACTGCATACCTCTTCTGGCAACCACTATGGCTTCCTCGGTGGGAGCTTCAGATTCCTTCGTCGCCCTCACCCGAGCAAGTAGTTCACGGCCTCGAACAGCAACACGACCGACAACATCGGCGACGAGCGTCGCATCTCAAGACATTGTCTGTGCTGTCAGCGAGTCTCGCGGTGTCTCTGCAACGGTTGGCTTGGCCTTCGTCAATCTGTCTACTGCAGAGGCGGTGCTATGTCAGATTTGCGACAACCAGACCTATGTCAAGACCGTCACGAAGATCGGCGTGTATGAGCCAACGGAGATTCTCCTAATGAACAGCGCCCAGGAATCCAAGCTCGCCTACATACTGAAGGAGAACATCTCAGACACAACGTTCACCCCAGTGGATCGGAAGTTCTGGTCTGAAACAACAGGCCACGAATACGTGGAGAGGCTGGCTTTCGCAGAAGATGTCGAACCGATCAAGATGGTCCTCGAGGGGAACTATTTTGCTTCTTGCTGTTTTGCTGCCGTATGCGCTTACAGAAGTGTCGAGAATGAGCGAGACAGCCATTAACCTTTGACAGGTTCTGAAATACGTCGAAGTAGAACTCAACAAGGCTTTCACCTGCCATTCTCTGCGAATCAAATACGAGCCATCTCAGGGTTCAATGTCGATTGACTTGTCTACTATTGTATCCCTGGAGCTCACTCAGAACTTACAGGCTGCAAGGTCAAAGGAGAGTCTTTTTGGGCTACTCAACGAGACACTGACTCCCATGGGCATGCGGCTGCTCAGAGCTAACATTCTGCAGCCTTCTACCGATGAATCGCAGCTACTGACCCGCTACGACGCAGTCGAGGACTTGACCACGAAAGAGGATATGTTTGTTTCAATTAGACAGGGTTAGTCATTGGCTGCTCAAATTCTCTTTGTGCTGACATAGCCGCGGGAAAAGCCCTCAAGGGTTACCTTGACGTTGACAAGGCTTTGACTTCAGTGAGTGGAGTTCGAGTCGATCTTACATGCAAGAAATAACCGCCTAGCTTATCCTTGTCCCCACCAAACGAGCAATCGGATACGTCGAGCAATCCGTAAACAATGTCATCATGGTGAAGACATATGTCTCGTCCGTCAAGTCGATATACAAGGCACTTGCCCCGGCTCAGAGCAATCTGCTCCTGAACATCAGAGAGGTAGACCCTAGTCGGCTCCATGAAAGATCAGGCTAATCATAGTCTCCAGTTATGCGCACCGGAAGGTCATCAAGCACTGGAGCAGCTGATCGACGAAACTCTAAATGAAGAAGTCGCCTATCAGACAAAGCCACTCGACCTCAGGAACCAGAGGATATACTGCGTCAGGGTAACGGTCCTTTCCCGTGCTCCAGTGTCTGAGCTGACCACTTCGATCTCCAATCCGGGTCCCAGGCCGGGGTAAATAGCTTGCTTGATGTCGCAAGACAGGCTTATAAAGAGGCCAATACAGATGCTACAGAGTTGGTCACAGCGTTAGCGGGCAAGTGCCACCCCCCAAGTTATCTCGCATCAGGTAATCTCTCTAACGCCTGTAGAATGCCATGGCCTTGCGCTCGATCTGAAGTATGACAGAGCCCGCCAATACTACATCAGCATCCCTACGACAGAGACTCATACCCTACCCGAGGTCTTCATCAATGTTTACCGCAAGAAGAACCGCATCGAATGCCAGACGCTCGATCTCGTCAAACTGAACCACAAGATCCGAGACGCACACAACGAAGTGATCAACATGAGCGACAAGACAGTACAAGATCTGATCACGAGCATCTGCTCCGAGATATCGAGTTTGTTCAAGATCAGCGAAGCCATTGCCATCCTTGACATGCTAGCCTCCTTCGCACAGCTAGCCACGAGCCACGAGTACATTCGCCCGGAGATCACCAACGTGCTCGCCATCAAAGCCGGCCGCCACCCCATCCGCGAGAAGATCCACGCGAAGAAATTCATCCCGAACGACGTCTACGCCACGCCGCAGACGCGGTTCAACGTCATCACGGGCTGCAATATGAGCGGCAAATCGACCTACATCCGCTCCATCGCCCTGATGACCGTCATGGCGCAGATCGGCTGCTTCGTGCCCGCGGAGTATGCCTCGTTCCCGGTCATCCGCCAGCTGTTCGCGCGGGTCTCCACGGCGGACGACATCGAGGCCAATGTCTCCACCTTTGCCGCCGAGATGCGCGAGATGGCGTGCATCCTGCGGAACGTCCAGCCCGAGCAGCCGAGCATGGTGACCGTCGACGAGCTCGGCCGCGGCACCAGCACCGCCGACGGCCTGGCCATCGCCATCGCCATCGCCGAGGCGCTGGTCGAGAGCCACGCCCTGGTCTGGTTCGTGACGCACTTCCGCGATCTGGCGGTGATCATGGGCCAGCGCAACGGCGTCGCCAGCCTCCACCTGGCCGCCAAGATCAGCCCCGACGCGTCCAAGATGACCATGCTCTACAAGGTCGCCGAAGGGCCCGATACCACCCGCTTCTACGGCCTGGCCCTGGCCAAGCTGGTCGACTTCCCGCCGGGAGTCCTCGAAACGGCGCAGGAGGTCGCTGAGAACTTGGACCGGATGGCCCGGCGTCGGTACGCGAAGACCAGCGCATTGGCCGTCACACGCAAACGCAATCTGATCCTTTCGCTCAGGGAGCAGTTGCTGTTGGCGCGTGATGGGGCACTGGGTAATAAGGCTCTTTGGCGGTGGCTGAAGGGTCTCCAGGATGAGTTTCTCCTGCGCATGGCAGCGATTAACGGGGAGACGGCGGAGAGTGGTGGTGATGATGATGGCGCGGAAGACGACGCTGAAGACGATGCTGAAGACGATTATACCAATGATACTGAAGACGACGATACTGATGATCCTGAAGATGACGACAGCGAGGATGATAAAGGTGAGAGTCCCGAACCACCGATGGATCCAGAAGCGCCCGAGGACAGCCTGAGCTGGTCGGAATGATGCGTTCCCTTTGGCCCTCCCGGCATACTTATATCGCAAGTGATGTTATTCTTAACATGTAGATATTAGCATTGTAGACCTACCGCACTTGCTGTCCAGTCTAATATAGGATGAAGTATGTCCAGGGCGAGGGAAATAGTAACATATACGAATAGTAGCCGGTAGCATCTCCTAGTAGTCTCCAGGCATCGAGCCACTGCCCTTTCAGGGCGGATTCGAGAACTGTCTACTTCTCGTCCGGCGCCTGGTAGTATCACATCGAGCTTTCTAGTCGCCTAACAAGGTCTGGCTCGTCATTCACTCGCAACAATAGGGCCACTATAGACAGACAGCTTTTCGCAAACAGAAGGACAGTCAGTCTCTTTGGCCTCCAGTCTTGATCGTCCTACTTTTTCAAGCAGAGCAGTATGGGTAATTGTATCCGGAAAACAATATACAACATGAAACCTCTACTTTTATTGTATTCTTAAACAAGTCCCCGAGCCAACTCTGAGTGAAACAAACACGCTTAAAAACAGGCTCAAACATGACAAAAGACTTCTTCAGAAGAGGAGGGGATCACAGAGCTCGTGGGTGTAAATCGTCTATGTAGATTGATACTGCTTGTTGTATCAAATTTCGGAGAAAGACGGAAATTCCCTCCCTCATTTAACCGAAATGAAACAAGGTCTGTTTGCCCTTTTTGCCTTTGCCCTTTTTGCCTCCGACGGCGGGGAAGTCCTCGTCCTCCGCAGTGGAGTTGGCACCGGAGTCGTTCCGGGACGAGGAGCTCCAGGCGTTCACCTGCGGTGCGCGGTTATCCCAGCGGACGGTGCCGCGTGTGAGACCTGCCATGAGGACGTTGGGTTTTTGAGCTGCAGGGAGAGCAGGGAAGGCGTCGGCACTGTTTGTCTGGGCCGGCCGGGAGGTGGCGGGAGCGGCGGAGCGAGTGGAGTAGGTGCGGGGGGTGATGGAGGGTGAGGGGGCGGCGGAACCGGAAGTGGGTGCTGCTGATGAGCTCGCCCACGGTGTGGATGAAGCTGGCGTGGATCGCGGAGCGGAGCGAGCAGTCGCAGAGGAAAGGGGAGGGAAAGCACTGGTCGAAGAGGATGCGGAGGGCATGGCACCACTCCTGCCAACGGCGGATCGGGAGGACTGAGCAGTGGAGGATTTGAGACGCAGAACACGCTTTCCTCCCACGCCGCTGCCGTTGACGGTTCCTGGCGACATGCCGGGGATCGTACCGCCAGGGCCGGGAAGGGCAGGATAGTCTTCGTTGATCGCACGCCAGTCATTCCAGGACTTCAGCAATGCATTGCGCTGGCTGTCGTCCTCGTAAATCTCAGCGAGCTCTTTGATCAATTTACCGAGCTCCGTGCTGGAGGTGTCAAAGAGGGAGAAAAAGGCGTCGATTAGCTCGGTGGCCGAGATGGAGGAAGTGCGGTAGCTGGAAACTCTGCTGCGGAATTCGTTGAGTTTGTTCTTATCATTACCGAGCAGATTCGACGCGCGCTCTACGACGGCAGCATGGCGCAGGCGGCGTGCTTGTTCCTGAGGGGAAACGGGGCCCGCATCTGCGTTCAGACTGAGATCGTTCATCTCAGCAACGGGAGTGGATGCGGCCGGAGGCGTCTGCACAGGCGTGGCAGCCGCAGATCGAGCGGGGGCGCGCACAGGCTGAGTGTCGCTGCGTGTGAGCTGGCCGCCGAAACTCCGGGTGGAAACAGATTGTGCACTTTGAATGGCCATCTGTCGTTGATAGGCAATCTCGTCTCGTCTCAGGGGCTGTGCGCTCGAGACAGGCAGAGGCTCTGAGTTGGGATCGCGTCCGCGACCTGCACCACGGCGTTGTCGTTGAGGCTGGTACGGAGCTCTGTAGTCAAATGTGGAGAGGTCGACCGTACGGGCGTCGCGTCTTGCATCCTTCGAGAGTCCGTTGGGATGGTTTTCTAGCTGGTGGGCTTTAAGATCCATCTGAGACTCGAAGACCACGAACTTCTTCTCCAAGCACTCCTGGTCTAAGCAGAGAAAATGATCTTTTTGGAAGTGGTCCTCCAGCGCGTTGTAGTCAATGTAGTACTGTTGTTGACGGTTGCTTGATTGTCGATCGCAGATGTGGCACCGCTCATGACGGTCACGACAGTGAGCGTAAAGTTCGTCATCGCCGTAGAAACGCTGCCGACAGAAACCACACTCTGGATGTCCTTTGAATCCACTTTGGTCAATCGCACCAGGAACATCGTCTCCATGTCTCTCGTGCCGGCGCAATTCCTGATTAGTGAAGAGCTCATGCTCGTGGGTAAAAACCTTCTTGTTTCGTGTGCAAAGATCACTAGAGGTGGAAACGTTTGTAAGTCAATGCACAAATGCTCACTCGAGAGCTAAGGTACTCACCACATCACTCTGCCATGCTTGGTCTTAACATGGCGATGCAGGTCAGGCCATCCCAAACAGGCGACATCACAGCTCCGTTCGGGACAATTGTACCGCAGTAATAAAACAGTGTCCTCGAAGATCTCGCCACTCTCATACTTGATTCCAAGGTTGTCATCCTTCTGGGAGAAATCTGCTTCTGTGAAGTCCTCGAAGCGCTTGGCATGGTCATCTGTGAAGATCACAAAGCTGGATTCCGTCTGCCGCAGCACCCAATCATTAGCGCATGGCCAAATAACGGCATGGGGGCAAAGCAGAAGCACATACCCGACAGTGTGCACAAGCTTTGTTCTTATACAATGCTCTCAACCGCAACGCGCAGATATGACAGGTCCGGTGGTTGCAAGGTGAGACGGAAGTATGCTCAACCTTTGACGCACAGATGAAGCAAAGCTCCCCATCGTCCGCGTCGTCGGAATCCTCTGCGACCGGCTGCTTCCCTTTACTCTCAGGTGTGGTTGTGGTTGTGGATTTGGCATCAATCGTGTTCGCGGCGGACTTCTGTTTGTCGCGACCTCCCCCACCGCCGCCGCCGCCGCGGCGGGGTCCATGACCTCTAGATCTTGATACTTTTCCTGGGCCGTCGTTTGGTTGTTGCGAGGCTTCCGCCTGTCCAGGTTGGCGAGCAGCTCCGAATCCTCCCCCTCGTCCGCGCCGACGGCCGCCTCGGTTTGAGCCTTGCGGTCCGGAGGGGGCCTGGGCAGGTTGAGTCTCAGACATCGGGAGGTAGTGGAGAACTAGTGAATGAAATTGGCGAAGCCAGTTGAAGAGATCAGAGTTTAGCAGGAACTCTGAGTGACAAGAAGAGCTCTGGCTCCCTGGAGCCTTTGCGACCAAGCGTTTATTGCGACGGAGGGGTTGCTGCTAATGACCAGCTTTCCAGTGCAAGCGGCGGCGGGCAAAAAAGTCGGGTTTGCGGCATGCTTAGTGAGCAAATAAGCATCATCGATGACATCCCCCTCCTTCCCCCCTTTTCCTCCTTAATTCACTGGGATTGACGATGCAAATTCGCCCAGTTCATGGGATGACTCATCTCGACTCATGATAACTCATCAACAACATTAAAAGAAAGCCGAGTCGAGGTTGTGTTTCATGTTCATATTCCCCCCAAAAAGCCCCATGGCCTACTATCCTTCAATGTGAGGGGGGAGGCAATTCAATTGCTGATGCACACTCAGATGGATTTCTGGCATTTTTGACTAATGCCTACGCTGTAAGGCAACAGGCTATACGAGCCCACCATCAGAATCATATATGATCTCTAAATAGAATTATCCATCGCGCCTAGTTCAAAGGCAGCACCAACTCCCGCTGGAGAGAAACTATCAAATCAACAAAAGGAAACATGAGGCAAGCATCTCGCCAATGACAATATCAGTAAATAAAACCAAGAGAATGGGAAAAGCCAGGGATGAGACACTATGAGAGGGCAATGAGAGAATAAATAATAAACAAAGCAATGTAGCGCCGGGTCTCCTTATGCGGTGCAATGAGTGGAAATAAGATAGTCGTAAAGTGCAGCAAGATATTCGCCGCAGGCTGCCCTGTCCTGAAGGCAACTGGTCACCGTAATTCTCGATCAACGGCAACAGGTCATTCGTCGGGGCTATATAAGTTTTGACTCAGGATTTTGGTCATGGTAAACATATGTATACGGTCTTGTTTGAAGACTGCCCGCATGGCGTCGTCGCAGCAGATCTGTCGCCTATCACTAGGGTCTTGGAGATCATGCTCGTGAATATACTGCCAGAGTCGCTTGACTGTCTGCGGACGAGAGAGCTGTGGTCTAGTCAGCAACAACGCCAGAGGATGAGAAAAAAAACATAACAGACAAGGGGTAAACATACAGTAACCTCGCCACCCAACAGGGCGGAAAGCGCTGGTGAAAGAGTGAGTGGTTTCTGAGGTAGTGTTAGCGAATATATCAGACTTGAAAGAGTAATCTGAAGCTCACATGAAAACCGCCTGACCGGTTGACTTTCTTCCCCGATTCTGAACCCGACTCAACGTCAGAATCATCTTCCGCCTTGACTTTCTTAGATGTCTTCGCCTTGGTCGTCTTCTTCTTCACGGGAGGAGCTCTGCGCGCATTGCCCCCACGGGTTTGACGAGCGCGCATATTCTCCTCGGCCTGTAGCTTTGCAGCGTACAGGGCATCCGCATCAATGTCATTATCCGGCTTTTTCTTCTTTGCTGGGGGCGTCTTGCTCGAAAGGTCCGAATTATCCTCACTATCCGCTTGGCGTTTGTGGGAGATTGAGGACTGTGCAGGAGACGATGGTTCCGCAGGAGGAGTGTCGGAGCCATGGCTAGGACCATGGCCATTGGTAGTTGGGACAGCAGTCACAGCCGGCTCGGGTGCAGCTACAATGCCCCCTTTTGCCGCGAAGATGTCGAAACGCTCCATGATAAGCTGCTTGACGGCAGCCTGAATACAAGAACGAGGTTAGCAGTATGATACGCTGACGCCGGCAGTATAAAAGCAGGGTGTCGCGAGGAGAGTCCAAGTCCGGGGAGCTGACCTTTTGCGGGGTAAGGTCATATCCGATCTCTTCCTGAAGGCCTTTGCGAATGCGCTTCTCGGAAATGGTATTCAGGTCGCTTTTTGCTAAGATCGAATCAATGATCGGAGTGAACTGAAGACGAGCTTCTGGGGAGACTGGCGCAAAAATAAGGTGATGTCAGTTGAGAGCGATCTCGGCACTGCTGCATGACCCGGGAACATCAGACTCCGAACTTACGCGACATTTTGTTCCAGTGGCTTCGCTATCCGCGTTAATTCCAAAGCAAATGTGGACGGAGACTCGAAAAGATGCCAATTGCTGGCCAGAAGCTGAATGGAGGCTAATAGGGCAGCAAATGGCAGGGTCTAGGGCGCGGGTGGTGGTGCTCTGGGAGGAGGGAGCGTCTAGATCTGGGCGTAGCGCTGGCGCTTAGGACCGGCGGGGCATAAGAGGGAGGACGATAGAGAAATCCCCGGAGGATGCAATGCAAGACGAGGGATTGGGTGATGAACAACGAGGAAAAGAGATAATGACTGGAAGATGGCCGGTCCAGGACTACCAACAGCTCTCACCCACACGAACAAGACGGAAGACGAGGCGGGGAGGGGGACGATACGTGGGATCGCGATTGTTATGATGTCCGCTAGGCCAAGCCGATGTACAGGTCGGGTCGGTTAGAGTGACAATCATCATCAGCCGGTCGAGAAGCTGGGGGGACTCGGCTTAGTTAAGCCAGATCACGTGCCCAGCACTAGTCCCCGACTTCCCCCACTCCTTCTCCTTTCCTTTCCAGTTCCCGCCCAGCCACACCGGATTATCAGGTGATTAACGGTCACCTGATCTACCGCTGACTCAGCTCCTTCGCACACAGAAGCGCTTGCGGTTTGGGATTTGCTCTTTTTGCCCTAAAATCAGCCAAAACGGGGTCGACCAGCAGAAAATCCAGAACAGGATCTTTCCTCCTCCGTATCAACGCTCTCCACCCCGTTCCCCTCCCCCCTCTTTATCGCCGTCCGCTGTGAGTGCAAATATGGCGCCCAGTTTCGACACCCTCTCCGAGCAGGACCTCCACGAAGAGGAGGAGGAGGAGATTGACTTCTCCGGTGAGTGCGACCCCGACTCGCGTCCTTTGTCCTGGCCTGGCCTATTCCCCGTGCCCCTCGTCACTGACCGCGATCGGGTTTTGGTCTCGCAGACCTGAAGGAACAATTCGAAGTGAAACTTGATGAGGGTTTGGATACATTCGTTGTCATCGATGGGCTTCCGATCGTGCCCGAGGAGAGCAGGCAGAAGCTCATTAAGTTCTTGTTGAGGAAGCTCACCACCGCCGGCAACACCTCCGAAGATGCTGTTTTCATGCCCATCAACGACAAGAACATGTCCGAAGGGTATGTACTAGGAACTCGGACTGGAACTGCAGGCAAGAATTAACGTTGGGTCGCAGTTTCGCCTTCGTCGAATATGAGACTCCCGAACAAGCCGTCGCTGCCGTGAAGGCCCTGCACGGTGTCCCCCTCGACAAGAAGCACACTCTCGCTGTCAACAAACTGATGGATATTGACCGCTACGGTCGTGAAGGACGTGTCGACGAGGAATACAAGCCCCCCACTATCGAACCCTTCAAGGAGAAGGAGCACCTCCGCTCGTGGCTCGCCGACCCCAATGCTCGCGACCAGTTCGCCCTCTACCGTGGCGACAAGGTCGGCGTTTTCTGGAACAACAAGAACCACCCGCCCGAGAATGTTGTCGATCGTGCCCACTGGACGCAGCTGTTCGTCCAGTGGTCCCCCAAGGGTACCTACCTCGCCTCCGTCCACCCTCAGGGTATTCAACTCTGGGGTGGCCCGGCTTTCTCGAAGCAAAAGCAGTTCCCTCACCCGTTTGTGCAGTTGGTTGAGTTCTCGCCCGGCGAAAACTACCTCACCACCTGGTCCGCGCGCCCCATTCAGGTTGAGGAGGGTCACCCTGTTTTGACCTACGAGGAAGAAGGAAAGAACATCATCATCTGGGATATCGTTACCGGAAAGCCCCTGCGTTCGTTCGTTTCCAACGATCTCGCCGCTGGCCCTGGTGCCGAGGGTGATGCCCAGCCCAAGAAGAAGGTTCAGTGGCCCGCTTTCAAGTGGTCTGCTGATGAGAAGTACGTTGCGAGAATGCAGCAATCCCAGTCGATCTCCATCTACGAACTTCCCCGGATGAACTTGCTGGGCAAGACCTCCGTCAAGATCGATGGTGTTATGGACTTCGAATGGTCCCCCGCCACCGTTAACCGCGAAGGCGTGAAGCAATACGAACAGCTGCTCTGCTTCTGGACTCCCGAAATTGGCAGCAACCCCGCTCGTGTCGCCCTGATGAGCGTTCCCTCGAAAGAAATCGTTCGTACCCGTAACCTTTTCAACGTCTCCGATGTCAAGCTGCACTGGCAATCACAAGGTACCTACGTCTGTGTGAAGGTGGATCGTCACTCCAAGTCCAAGAAATCCATGGCCACCAACCTGGAGATTTTCCGCATCCGCGAGAAGGGTGTTCCGGTCGAGGTTGTTGACAGTCTCAAGGATACCGTGATCAACTTCGCCTGGGAGCCGAATGGAGGACGTTTCGTCCTGATCACGAACGGTGAGGCTGCCGGCGGTGCTGGCGCTCCCCCCAAGACGGCAGTTTCCTTCTTCGCCCCCGAGAAGAAGGGTGTTTCGGCCGGTAACTTCAAGCTTGTGCGCACCATTGAGAAGAAGACGAGCAATGCCATCTACTGGTCGCCCAAGGGTCGCTTCGTTGTCGTTGCCACGGTTCACTCTCAATCGAGCTTCGACATCGACTTCTGGGATATGGATTTCGAGGGTGAGAAGCCCGAGGGTGAGAAGGATTTGGCCGCCAATCTGCAGCTGATGAAGACGGTCGAGCACTACGGTGTTACGGACATTGACTGGGATCCCACCGGTCGTTACGTTGTCACCAGTGCTAGTGTGTGGACCCACTCGGTACGTTCATATTTGAATTTTAAAGCCTTCCTACTCGCTGAGACACCATTGCTAACCTGTACCTGTAGATGGAAAACGGCTGGAACATCCACACTTTCGCTGGTCAGACCCTCTCCGAGAACCCGACCGAAAAGTTCAAGCAGTTCGTCTGGCGCCCTCGCCCCCCCACTCTTCTCAGCAAGGAGGAGCAGAAGCAGGTGCGCAAGAACCTGCGCGAATACTCCAAGGAGTTCGACGAGGAGGACAAGTACGCTGTCGACATTGCCAACACCGCGGTGGTGGAGACGCGCAAGCGCGTTCTCAACGAGTGGGTTGCCTGGATGCGTCGGGAGAAGGAGCTCTTGGCCGAAGAGCGCGAGGCCTACGGCCTTTCCGAGGAGGTCGATACTCCCAAGCTGGCCAAGGATGCCTCCGCGGTCTCCAACGAACAGGGCGACACCGTCGTCGAGGAGATTGTCGAGGAGATCATCGAGGAGAGCGAGGAGATCATCGGTTGATTGGGGTTCCTTTTTTGCCGTATTTAATGTGTTCCATTTCCATCCCATTTCCCATTTTTTCTCTTTTCTCCATTCCTGCATCTTGTCTGTCGATATCCTCCTCTATTTTTTCCTCCCTCTACCTCTCCCTCTCTCTTTGAAGTCTTCACATTTTCCTCCTGTGAGCTTCCTTCCATGATACGCCCCTTGGCTCGGTTCCAGATTCCAAAAGCAGTGGGGAGCAGACTTTTTGCTGGAACATCGAACCCCAAAGAAAAAAAAAAGCGAATAGATCTGTATTGCATATTTCACTTTACCCCCAAGCGTGTGGGGGAGACTAAATGATATGCGTGACGTTCGGTAGTATGAGAGATGACAGACAATGATGAAACCCAAAGCAGTTCTTGCAACTATGATTAAGTGATTGATTACGTGCTTCCTTTCGGACCTGCACCAGAACTATCAAACTATAGACTAAACATCCAGACAATCCAACACCCACTGACCCAATCCCCCAGACCCCAGAACAACCAGCCCATACCCAACCCACGCCCAACCCTTGCCCCCCAAAGTCGCACCAGCAGCAGGCGCAGCCCCCGACGTCCCCGACGCCACCGAAGTCCTACTCCCCCCATTATCATTATTCCCGGCGGTCTGCCACGGCCCGGCATACGTACTCGCCGCCTGCACATTGATGCGAAAGAACGCCTTGTCGCCCAGTTTCTCATTGCCGCCCAGCACGTTCCCGGGGGGCGCATACTCGCACACCACGTACCAGCCCTGCGGCCGCTGGATGCCATTGATCCCCTCGCTGCTCCCACCACCGTCCTTAGCCTTGTTGTCCCCATTCTTCGTCCCCTGCGAGCTCTTCCCGTCGTTCACATCCACCCCGCAGTCCACGGCCGCGCAGCCCACCTCCGTCGTCGCCCGCCACACCAGCTGCGTGAAGTGGCCCGTCTCCTCGGTGAATCCCGTCGGGTCCCGGAAGTTGTAGCGCAGGCCCTCGTCGCCCCACGCGGCCACCGCGGCCGTCGCGTTCAGGAACCCGAAGGCGAGGTTCTCGCCGTGAGGGCCGTGCTTTCACCCTTTCGTCAACAAGTTGCGTAGATGCTTGGGAGGGGGGGGGGGGGAGGGGAGAAGCGCTGTGGAAGCAATAGCACATGACCTACCGAATGCGCCCATTTACACCCTTCGGCCCATTTCTTCGCGTATTCGGCGAGGCTCTTGTTCCAGATGAGGTTGCTGGCGTTGTGGGCTTGGCGGTAGGTGTTGGTGACGCTGAGGATGGTGTTCTCGAAGAGGTCGAGTGAGGTGTACGAGGCTGGGTGGGGGACGGTGGGCGTTGCGACGGTGGTGGCTGTCACCGTGACGACGATGATGGTCGTCGTTTGCTGGGGGGCGAGGGCGGCTTCAGCGGCGCTTAGGGTTGCGAGGAGGAGGATGGTGATGGAGAGCCAGCGGAGGAAGAGGGTGGTGGTGGTGGTGGCTGATGTTGTTGTCGATGGTAGTAGGTTGTTGGTGGGCATCTTGGTGGTCAGTTATCATTCAGGTAACTGTCATGGTGGTATCGTTAGGTCGTTACTATGGGATGGGGAAAGGGCAGCACTGAGAGAAAGAGAGAAAGGAAGGAAGAATAGGTAGAACCGGGGTGAGAGGATGCAGGTCCAGATGTCAATCCACCAATTGTCCGTTTGCTCAATGTTTTCGGTACAAAAGCAGGATCTGCCAGACCACCAAGACATCCTGAAATGGAGAGACTCTTTGGATATTCCGATACATTATGACTGCATGATGCAACGGCGCCTCGAAGAAGCAGGGTCTATGACTAAGTGTAGATCTAGAATATAGGATCGACCCTTCGGACCGTCCCGGATGCTACCTGGCGACCCAAATTACGTCTCGAACTGCGCTCCAAGTTCTCTCAAGGGGTATTCATGGCTCTCTATATACATGGTATTTTCATGGTTCACATAATACTACATCCGATGCCATACATGGCTCGTTCCACATCCCGCTTGACCAGCAGCCAGTCTGCTCGTCGCTCGGCGAATTCGTACACTTCCTCCACCCGCCAGATCCCATAGAACCGATCCGCATCAGCAATGATCGTGGCTAACTCTTTGGCATCGGACGAGTCAATCAGGTAAATCTGTGACAACTCCCGTAACGCCTTGAAATAGATCAGGAGGTCCTGGTTCTTGAATCCTTGAATGAATTTGAAATAGTGGGTCATGTCGCTTGAGAGGTGGTTAGCTGGGTTCAATCATGTAGTTGAAACAGGGGAGAGCGCTTACCTGATAAGCTTCAAAGATCCCTCGATGCTGATCCGCTGTCGCTTGAGGTGCTTGCACAAGGCGGCAAAAAGGCGCAGTCCAACCTCCTGATTGAAGACATCCAGCATGCTCTTGTCTGTGCTGCCCACAAGCATCTGGGTATGCGAGGATACCACATCTACTACGGCAGCCGCCGCCTCAGTGATGCTCACGTCCATCGTCTTCCGATACGGGTCCTGGGAAACACTGGGGTTGAAGTCTGTCGCTAACTGTCGTGTCGCGAGGATATAATCCACTTCCTCCATGAGCACGTCAATGCCTTTGTTCAGTCCAGCAGCCACCCGCTCATCGAGGTTCTGCTCGAACTTCTTCTTTTCCTTTACGGCCGGGTCGAGGAAGTCGTTCCGGTCAGTTAACTTAGCGCCAACAAGCTCCTGCTCGTAGAAAACATCGATCATCTGCAAGATAAGATCGCCAACATTGACCAACTCCAGAAAAGTCACCAACGGTTCAACCCCGGACTGATCCCGTTCTCCCTGTTCGCGGGGCCGATAATTGGATAAATGGCTAACAGCCTTGTCAAAGCCGCCGATCAGATGGCGGTGCCCAAGAATGCGCACTAAAGTTACAAAAATGGCCTCGCACTGCTGTTTGGCTGCACTTCCATATTCGCCTCCCACGTTGACAAACTGCGCAGCTCGTTCTAGGCTGGATTTCGCAGCGTGCACAAGGCTTAGGGCGATCTCAATACTGAACAGAGATCGAATTCCTTCTAGCTTGGATTTCATTACTGCAGCCTTTGCTGCAAGTTCTGTGGTCGGTGCTTCCGTCACTGGAGGTGTGGCAGGTGAACCGATCGTGGAAAATCGGTTTGGGCTCTTCAAGGATGACGCATCATCAGGAGAGGGATCTGGCTTCGACTTGGTTTCTGCTGTCTTGCTCCCTGAAAAGCTGGGGAGGATATTAACAGGCGCCATAATCACTTTTTTGAACGAGGTCAGAAAATCCCGTTTGTCAGCCTGTCGGTTGACGTTGGACATCAGAAACAGCTCGGTTGATGCAGCCTGCTCTGAGAGTTGCCGATCCCATTCCCCCACTGCTGCTTCAGACTTTTTCCGGAAATGGTCTAATTCTTCTGCAAAATACAAATCCAAGTGAGGTTCGTATGTTTTCGCAATAACGTGCTGCAAGAACTCGTCGAATGTATCGGGTGAGTTTTGAATGGGCAGCAGTGTATCCGATAGATTGAGACATTGTGCGAATGTTCCCGATACTGCTGTGAGGTAAGACTCAATATTCGTGCGATGTAATTCGTCAAAGATGGCTGTCAAGTACGGGAATAGTACATCTTGTCCAACTTTTTCGATAAATGGCGTGCCGACCTGTAATTGCGGGGGGAAAGCACGGTTGATAATCGAGACCTCCTCGTTGTAGGCGACACTCATCCGGGTAAAGAAAGCCTGGGTATGTTCCAACTTAACACTTCCTGCTAAAGTGTCGATACAGTCGGTCACACTTCCAAAATCCGATTTGAGCGTAACCAGGTGGTTGTGGTGGATGAAGAGCTCGATTGCTGCGCCACCACCGTTCAACGTATATAGCACGTGGGCATATTCCCGCATTCTATTTTCGATGTCTTCAGTCTCGTAGCCGTGTCGAAACTCTTTGACCGCGTTTGTTTCGAAGGCCGACACAGCTGACTGCAGCTGTTGGGTTCGTTCATGCCAACCATCCGTACAATCACTGTTGGAGAACGCCTGCAACTGAGAGAGTATTTGTGCCTGGTGTTGCGGATTGCTGTAGTCTCGAAACAGCAGACTGTCGGCCGAAGCTCCTGAGGTCACGATGTCATTGTAATACGGTGCCAGCGCCGCGTGTATCTTTCCATACTCTTGACGAGCTTCTCCGCGCACTGATTTGACCTGTCTCAACACGCCCAAGACGGGATCGTCCTCCGAACTATCTTGGACATTGGTAGCAGCAGGGGTAGACAGTTGAATTTGGTCGAAGCCATCCGCGAGCGAACCCAAGGCGTGGTCAGGTTTGCGCTGAGTCGCATCAACTGCTTCTTGGAGATCCACCGCCTCTTTGTGCTCGATGGTTTTCATGTCGGCTATGGTTCCAAAGGTGTCTTCGACATGTTTGCGAGCCTCCAACTCATCCCAGCACCCAATTTGTTTCAGCTTCTGCACCCATCTAGTGTCATCGTATGCCATTTCGCGCAAGAGTTTCGATGACCGAGCGACTCGGATGAGGTCGACAGGGGAGAGATAATCAAGGATGGACGACATGATCTCTGGATCGCGATCGGTCAACATTAGAATCCCAAGCAAACTTCCTTAGATTCTGGCCCAAGCCGCAGCTTATGGAACATACCTGCTGGAAGGGCCGCCCTGGAGATCTCCTCCATGGAGGCCATTCTGAGTGAAGCCAAAACATCTCTGCGGGGCTTCTGTTTGTTCCCTGGCCCATTCCTGGCGTTCTGCATATTGATCAACTGCGATTTGGCATCGGGAGATAAATTGTGGTTCAGTGAGCACCGGCGCAGCTGAAGTCCGGCCGGGCAAGTCGGTCAGGGTCCCAGTGGGCGGTGCCCACCAAGAAGCTACTAGTAGTAAGTAGTTCGCTCCGCGGGGCGGCCCCAAATTCAGGTCAGGATAAGAGGGAGCTCGAATCCAGGGTAGTCTGGGATCATAATGTTGATAAGTCACCTGCACGGCTGCACATGTGAAAAGAAAATCTGTTTTGTATCAAATAAAGAGGTTGTGAGCACCTAATGGCACTCCTCAACGGTCCGTGTCAACCGCCAACCCCAGGAAACGGGCTATGGGAATGGGATCAGCCGGATGTTTTTCCCTTCCGGCCCAAGCCGCCGGTTCGATCATGCTTTATCAACATCAACAACCCACGACGTGGATGAATGGCATCAATTTGAGATAGTGACCTAAGCTAGCTCAAACCAATCAGTGAATCTTTATTCTAGATTTGGACAATGGAATCATACAAAGTGAAGTACCTCCCATCAATTATGATCCATTCGTGGTTCCCGAAACCTCAAGGATGTATATATTTTAAGTAGAGGGGTTTCGCACAGGAAAGGCCAGCTTCCACTTAGGCTCCTAGCAACCTTCGCTTCTTGAGACCCGTGCTACTAATCTAAAGACTGAGATTAAGATGATGGTGAATATATGGCAACTATGAAATGATATTGATGCTTTCGTGAATCTCGGAGAGGACATTAAGCCACGGACAGTTACGGATCGGAAGGTGCCCTAAGACCACATGGCATGCTGAGTACCTGCTCTTTTCGTCGACTTCCTGATCACTAGCATCTCATGTCTACTGTACTTCATATCTGCCCAACAATGAATGGTGCTACATGTGTCGCCAGTCACACAGGATCTTGAGCTGAAAATGGGCTCTACCAGCTGCATCTCACGTACGATGGAAGTGCAACAGCCAGTTCTCCACATTGAAGCTCGTGTCAAGTCCAACAATGACGGCATCATCATCCGCACGGACTTAGTACGCAACCAGAAGAATGGATCAATCCCCCCCACTGACCCCTGAATAGATCCGAGACGAACTCAGCAAGTGGCTGACTGATAAGTTCGTGGTTCTCTCTCTCGGACAAGAGATCATCTCCTTCGGCAAGTCAAGCACAGCCAAGGGAACCAGACAAAACTGTTAATAGTTGATCAGATGGGCTGAGTAACTCCCACGCTCAGGCTCTGGATTCCGTGCTCATCTGCGAATGCACTGGTGGTACCATGGAATCCGGAGCATATCCGCTGGATCAGGTGAGGTTGGATGTGCAAGCATACCAGCTCCATACGCAACTGGAGCCCGAAGACCCTCACCTCGCCCAGACTCTCAATGGTCACACCGAGAATAGTATGAAATTAACGAGGGCGAGGGTCATGGCCTTGCCCAACTCAGATCTGAATGGACTCTGGGAATCGTACGGAAGCTCTACTCTCATCTTCAGCTCCATGCTCGCGTGTTAATCTAATATATGCTTGGTAGCTTGCACTTCGATGAGCCTATCCAGTTAACGCTCCTTACTGCTATCAGCAGAATGCGTACGTGATCTACGACACAGGCATATGCTCCGCGGTTTCCTAATTACAGACGTCCAGTCTCGTTCTCTGCCTGCAAGCTCGACAGATGGACTGTTAACTGGAACAAGCTGGTTCTCCTATGGGGGCCACCTGGGACTGGCAAAACAAGCTTGTGGTGCGTTCCAGCATGAGACCATGAGTCCAAACACTAAAAGTATTCCAGCCGCGGTCTAGCTCAGAAGCTTGCAATACGCCTGGGGAAAGACTATCCCCAGAGTAAAATGTTCGAGATCAACGCGCACGCGCTAGGAAGTAAGTTCTTCAGCGAAGGAGCGAAATTAGTGGATCAGATGTTTGAGCGCATAGATCTACTGCTTGAAGAGGAGGACGAAACGCTCGTTTGCGTATTCATCGATGAAATCGAGACGCTCGCTGCCCGCAGAGATCGAGCGTTGAGTAGCAACGAACCATTTGATGCCATTCGAGCCGTGAACGCTCTGTTGACAGGCCTCGACAAAATCAAGGCTCATCCAAATGTGATTGTGGTCTGTACGAGCAACTTGTTGACGGCACTGGTAAGCATTCGACTATAGCACAGTATGGAAGCGGCTGATAAGCGTCGTCGTCCTGTGTAGGACCCGGCGTTTCTCGACCGCGTCGATATCAAGCAATGTGTACCGAATCTATCCAGTCGTTCGATTTATCGCATCTACAAAGATTGCCTCGAGGAAATGAGTCGTAATCGTATCATCGAAGGCGCGACATTTGACGTGAAACTGAGTCAACCGGATGATCCTCAAACGCAATTGTCGTACATGGAAGAGCCAGCCGAGCAGCTCATGTTACCGACGTATGATGAGATGATTGTCAACTACCCGATGTTTTCAGAGGCCGTCCCCACACTGCTGGCCGAGGCGGTGTCGGAGAGTCTGGTCAGTGCATTCTCTCGAGTTTAGTGAGCACAACGCTGACTCGTGACTTCTTAACGAAGGGACTCAGCGGCCGAACGGTTCGTCGGCTACCCATACTATCGCTAGTAATGTATGGCGAGGAAGGAAGAAGTGATATTCACAAGGCCATACGTGCGCTGAGAAAGGGCATTGCGGCGGAAAGACTGACTAGTCAACCAATTAGAGCAGGCCGATTGCAACCCGGAAGTCAGTAAGCTGAACCGAAGGGGGGTAAGGGGAGGGATCAACAGCCATTGAGGGCCGTAGACCAGGACATGGAGATATAGGGATTAAGAAGTCTGTAATGCCTCAAAGAGCATCAAATCGAGTAGTGGTCCGAGGAAGTGACGGTGCAGTTCATCAGACCAAGTGATTCCGGCCTCGAAAATTGTTTGTTCCGAAAAGTCGCGGTTTTCACCGAAGCCAGTTAGCACCCGGTCAGCAGCCAATCAGCGGGAGGGTTTAGGCAATTCCAAGCCCAAGAGAAACTTGACCCGTTCGACCAACCTCGACTTCAATTGAACCTCCAAAAGCACATTCTCCCACTGCGCTCCAGCCTTGTCTCCCCCCCCTCCCCTCCTCCTCCCCCCACCCCTTCTTGTGGCTATTGTGCCGTCCTAATTACCCATCGTTCGGAGGGTTATACATATCGTCAGTATGCTGGGCCGTACTGTTTTGCGCAGCGTGCCCTTCCGGGGTGTCGCACGTCAGACCTTGAGCAAGACCTCCACGGTACGCTATTCCCGGACTTCGACGCCAATTGACCCCAATTCATGAGGTCAATCGATGTGCCATCGATCATCAAGCCTTCAGCAAGACCGTTTGACTGACTTGCTGAACAGCGTGCGTCTTCCTCTGCCGCCGGTCCCGAGTCCGCCAGCTCCCCCTTCAACCTCACACTCACTGCCACCGCCGCCACCGCCGTCGCTATCGGTTCGGCCGCCTATCTCTATGGCCAAGAGGCTCACGCCATGACGCCTGCTGAGGAGGGGTGAGTAACACTCTAGAAAGAATCCTGAATTGGCCTTCGACCAGACCAGCTCCGCTACCCCGGAACGATGGCTCGTCCCAGCCCGGCCAATCACACCACCACAAAGCTAACAGCATCGAAATACAGTCTGCACGCTACCGCATACCCTTGGGAGCACGCCAAGTGGAACAAGACATTCGATCACGCCGCGTGAGTAACCTCTTTACCTTGTCTGCCGACACCAGGAAGCCCACCCTGGACCTCACTGGCGACTCCCGCAACCTCGGCAATTATGCTCATATTAAAATACAGTCTCCGCCGTGGTTTCCAGGTCTACCGTGAAGTCTGCGCCAGCTGCCACTCCCTGACTCGTGTGCCCTGGCGCTCGTTCGTCGGTGTCCTCCACACCGTCGATGAGATGAAGGCCATGGCCGAAGAGAACGAGTACGACACCGAGCCCAACGACCAGGGTGAGATCGAGAAGCGTCCCGGAAAGCTGTCCGACTACATCCCCGCCCCCTACCCCAACGAGGAGGCCGCCCGTGCTGCCAACGGTGGTGCTCTGCCCCCGGACCTCAGCTTGATCGTCAAGGGCCGTCACGGTGGCTGCAACTACATCTTCAGTCTGTTGACTGGTTACCCCGATGAGCCCCCAGCTGGTGTTGTCCTCGGTGAGGGCATGAACTTCAACCCCTACTTCCCCGGTACCGGTATGTATCCGATTGGAATCTGATCGACGATTGTTCTCATCTGACTTGGCTTCCAGGTATTGCCATGGGTCGTGTTCTCTTCGACGGTGTCGTCGAGTACGAGGATGGCACCCCCGCCACCACCTCCCAGATGGCCAAGGACGTCGTCGAGTTCCTCAACTGGGCCGCCGAGCCCGAGATGGACGACCGCAAGAAGATGGGTGTCAAGGCTATCACCCTTCTGACCGGTCTCTTCGCCCTGAGCGTCTGGGTCAAGCGTTACAAGTGGTCCCCGATTAAGACGAGAAAGATCGTGTACAGCCCCCCCGTTTCCCGGCGCTAGAAGGAGGAGAGGCCTCGCAAAAAGCGGAAACGACCTCCATCCGAAGATGCTTATGACAAACACCCGAAAACCAAGTGAAATCGGGAGGCTGCCAGAAAGGGAGATGAAAGAAAAATCAAAGAACAATTTCCGGCGACGGGCGAAAGCTTTTTTGATATAAATGCCTGTATCATAACAACCTGGGAGTCGTCCTCACGTGTTTCTGCTTTTTCTTTCCTTTCTGCAAAGACTTTTGCTGTTTCACGGACATTTATTCGGTGTGGTCTCTCTGCTTTATGTTTTGTTAGAAGTGTGTGTGTGTTGTTTTTTCCTACCTACTCCACAGGACACCTGTATCTTGTATCCTAGATATTTATTCTCCTTTGAAAATGTTGTTTTTTTTTTGAAGGTTCCCCCCCGCAATGTCACAATTTTCTTATGTTTGGATTCGATCTCGTGATCTTCGGTATGGACAGTTTCTGCGTGTTGTGGTTGTGATCGTGGTTGTGGCTGGTGTGGGATAAGTTATAAGCTTTCACTCTTCCCTCGCTCTCGGATACATGTAGAAAAAAGGGTGGGAGCTATGTAGCTGCTGATTATCCCAGATTGTATGTATGGTGAGCGTTGAGACATGTACTAGAATGTTCTTTCAGGCACTGTAGTCTTGCATCTAGAGCACAAATACCTCTATTCCTCCGTAGACCCACCCCATCCCACATCATTACATTACGCCTCATATCCTTTACCTCTAGCCAATGACCACCTCGAGCTAGTAACGGACTATATTCTAACAACGGGTAGCATCAACAAACCCCCTTCCCCTCTTCTACGTTCACCACCCCGTCCACATCCTCAGGAACAGCCACACCCCCCACCGTCCGCTCCCCATCCCCAAACACCCCCACAAAAAACGAATCATACGACCGCCACATGGCCCCAAACACCGCGTCCTGCGCCCGCACCAACCACCCAGGATGCCGCCCATCCGGGCCGGCCAGCGCGCGCCCCAGCCCGATCAGCCCCATCACCACGGGCCCCCACGCCGCCAGGAACGCGACCTGCCCGGCCCGCTGCCGCAGCGTCGTGATCCGGTACGGCCGGATCCCGGCCAGATAGGCGCGGTACGCGCGGGGCAGGTTGTGCTCGGCGGCGCCGGCGCGGATGAGGCCCAGGTAGCGGGCCGAGGGCTGGGCGTAGAAGGGATTGGGGCGGGTGGGGGTTTTGGATTTGGATGCTGGCGTTGGGGTTGTGGTTGTGGTTGTGGTTGTGGTGATAGCGGCGGCAGCACCAGGGGACAGTAACGTGTGGGCTTGGAAGGGCACGGTGCCGGGGTGTTCGGGGACCGGGTCCGTTTGGGGGTTGTAGGTCGTGGGGAAGGCGTAGCAGTCGATCACGGTGTCGATGTAGCCGCGGCCGCCGCCTTCGGTGGCGATGATGCGCGCGTAGTCGGCGAGGGTGACTTCGTAGACGACGCCGACGAGCGGCATGCGCGGGCTGTAGTCTGGTTCTCCTCCTGTGGGAGATTTGTGGGTGGTGGTGGTGGTGGTGGGGAGGAGGGGGAGGGAGGGGTCTGTTTCCTTCTGCTGGGGCCTTGTCGAGGGGTTGTCGGTGTCGGTGTCGGTGTCGCTGCGCTCCTCATCCCGGGACCTGCTCTCCTCAATGCCCTCTGTAGCACCCCGACGGTACCTCGTCGCCGCGAAACACGGCTCCGCGTACGGTATGCCCGGGAGATCGAAGGTGAGCCACAGACTGGGGACGACGACGTTCGTCTGCGAGAGAGGGCGGATGCCCCGCATGCCGAGGAAGGTTTGCGAGTTCAGGTTCGAGCCGTAGGCGAGGTAGAGGACGGATTCGTCGGAGGCCGGGAGCGATTGCGCGCTGACGCCGTGGGCTTGTAGCGCGGCGAGCTTTTCGGCGAGGTGGGTGTCTCTGTTGAAGGCGGGGTTCGCCATGCTGGTGGTGAGGGGGGAGCTGGGCTGCTGCTGCTGCTGCTGCTGCTGCTGGGGTGCATCCCCCATGCCTGAAGCATCCATGTGAACCATCGTGGAATCCTCCGCGCTCGTATGTACTGTACAATCGAGCGCTTGCTGAGAACAACGCCGAAACTCAATCACTGGAATCGGTGTAACGAAGGAAGACCACCTCAGTAAACCCCGTAATCATGGACATGACTTGCTGGCAGCCTGTGAGCCACATGATGGGGTTTATATGGGAACTGGAACTTGCTAAACCAGGTTTCTGGGTCGCTCGGTTGGTTGTTGGTCGGCGAAGCCGGGGTTATCGGAACGGATCCTCGACCAGCCGGGGCTGATTACCAATACTTCACATCCGATAGAATGAGAGAGTTGCAACTGCTGCTGCTACTGTTCTTGTTTCGTTTGGGGATAATTCTGTTCATGTACCTTGAGCATCACTCACGATGCGGCTCTGATATAAGCTCATGGTCCCTAGCTGTGACCATCGAGCAGCAAGCAGCGGGTAGTGGATGTGGATTGCGCAATCCCGCAGTTGAATGCAGTAATGGTAATTACTCCGTACCGCATAGCTCTCGGTGCCTGCAGCGCGGAGATTAGATCGGATCGGATCGCCCTCATCATGAGCCATAATGGGGCATACTTCCTCACTTTCCCATCATCGTTGCTAATTTAACCTACGTATCACTATTGATCCGGACTTATCACTGCGAGACATTTTGCCCATGATCTATACCAATGCTCAACGACAACGTAGTCAGCGATCTGACGTCGAATTGGCGCTCTGAGGCGCGGTGCTCTCTTTACCTCTTGGGTCTGCGCAATGGGCTGCTACTTGTTAGTGCAAGGAGGGTTCCCTAAAACCCTGGTTAACTGCCTGTCAGAATGCATCTATTCTTAAACTTGCCTATACCTCATGAATGCCGTGCAAGCATCCTGGCCCTTTTTATCGCTATGGTTGCAAGCGCCGCCCTCTTGTCTTCATCAAGGCAACGTGGCCGAGTGGTTAAGGCGACAGCCTCGAATGCTATCTGATAGCACTGCAAGCTGTTGGGTTCGCCCGCGCGCGTTCAAATCGCGTCGTTGTCGTTAGCTTTTTGTTTTGGTCCATCATCAATAATGGGGAATTCGGTAGGCTAAGATACTCACTAGCTTACCTCGGCCAAGCTCCGTCCGCATCGGAGGACACATAGAGGCAGTGAACATGGGTGCCGCCTGGCGAGTGCCTAGGTGAAAAAGCTACTTGGAATAGTATTCATTGATATTCATTACCTAGCTTATTACCCGCCGCAAGGGCGTAGAAGATCCAATACAATCGAAACCATAGAATCACTTTTGTGTTTACCCCCGCTCCCCAGACCCGATTATAGTCGTGCCGTGGCTACAGTAACATCGAAGAACAAAACGAAACCCAACGAGCCGCTCACTGGGAAGAGGTCAATTTTTCTCTGCGAGTGCGCACAGCCTGGGCCAGGTTCTCCAGCACCAGCTCCGTGTCCTCCCAGTGAATGCAGGCGTCGGTGATACTGACACCGTACTTCAGGCCGGCCTTGCCCTCGGGAGGGACCTTCTGGTTACCTGCAAAACAAAGCATTAGCAAACGAACCAGACATGAGAAAAATCCTACATACCCTCGTTGATGTTGCTTTCGATCATCACGCCCATGATCGCGGTCTCTCCCGCAGCGATCTGCTCCGCCAGAACGGCAGCGACCTTGGGCTGGTTCTTGTGGTTCTTCTGCGAGTTGCCGTGGCTACAGTCCACCATCAGACGGGGTGGCAGTCCCTGAGCCGCCAGCTTCGCCTTGGCCTCCGTGATGCTCTGCGCGTCGTAGTTAGGCCCCTTGGTGCCACCGCGGAGGATGACGAAGCAATCCGGGTTGCCGACGGTGCCGACGATGGCGGCGACACCGGGCTTGGTGACGGACAGGAAGTGATGGGGGTGCTTGACGGAGCCAATGGCATCGACCGCCACGCCCAGCGAGCCATCGGTGCCGTTCTTGAACCCGACGGGGAAGGACAGACCCGAGGCCAGCTCCCGGTGGACCTGCGACTCCGTGGTGCGAGCGCCCACGGCTCCGACCGACAGGCAGTCAGCCAGGAACTGCGGGGAGATGGTATCGAGCATCTCGCTGGCAATCGGCATGCCCTTGTTGGTGAGGTCGACGAAGAGCTGGCGAGAGACGCGCAGGCCCTTGTTGATCTTGAAGCTGTTGTCGATGTCGGGGTCATTGATCAGACCCTTCCAGCCGACAGTAGTCCGGGGCTTCTCGAGGTAAGAGCGCATGACAATCAGCAGCTCGTCCTGGTACTTCTCCTTCAACTTCAACAGCCGATCGCAGTATTCGAGGGCCATCTCCGGGTCGTGGATCGAGCATGGTCCGATGACGACCATCAAGCGGTGCCGGTCGGTGTCCGTGCCTTGAACGATGGCCGTGGCCTCCTCACGGCCTTCGAGGACCGTTTGTCTCGACTTATCCGTCAAGGCGATCTCATGTTGTAGAAGGTTGGGGGGAGTGAGGGGGTTGTATCCTCGAACTGTGGCGGAAGAACGCAGGTTGTTAGTCACAATGGCATGGTAAATGAAGAAAATGGGGCAACACATACTTCTCGAGTCTTCCAACGAGGTTCTATCTCCAACATTAGGGTTTTCAATGAAGAACTGTATAGGTTATGGTGAGCATGGGATCCAAAACATCGTGGGTGGCCGCAGGTGACTCACCGACATAGTGGGCGGCGGCGGGGTGGGAAGAGATGGCGATAGAGAGAGAGATAGGCTGATAGTATGCCCGATGGATGGACTATAAGAGGGGGAGGGAGATGATAGGGCTGGTTTAAACGAAAGCAACCAAGTTTAAGATAGGGGAGGAAAACGGCAAGGGGAATCAATTGCACAAAAATGACAAGGTTGTAGTTCAATTGACTCTTATAAGAAATTGTCAAACCTGCTTGTTCTGGGAGGGGCAAACCTCGTCACTCGCTCTGGCCGGCTCCTTAAGTCGGCGGCGGGCGCATTTCCATTCGAGTCATAATCTTTCGATCCACGTGACTTCGGTGTGGTGTGCGGACAAATGCCCAACACTGTGCTTCCCATTGGCTGTGTCCCCTGGAATGCCTCGCCCACTAGGTGGAAACATCCTACGTACGTACTACTACTAGGTACGCACAGCACAGCTAAGCACGTTCGGCAGCTGTACTGCTTGGAGCTCAGTAGTCAATTACTACAAGTTGTCATCGTTGATCCATTTTGCTCATTGTTGGCTGATACTGGAAGGAAGTCCGATCGACCTGCGACGGCTGTAGGACTCGTGCTTGGGAGCTTGTTCAGGAAAGTCAATACTCAAGATCGCTCACAACATGCGCTTCTGGAAACCAGGCAGTCCTAGGTATTGCTGCTCCCTGCCATTTCGGGTACTGAGGCATACCTTTCATGAGGCATTGGCATTCCGGACTAGATGTACTCTGAACTCAATCAATTTGGAACAAACAATCCATTACTTGAGTTGGCCGCGGGCATGAATGCGGTATTCATAGATTGTCAATCACCTCACCCTCGTCAACTCTAATTGGCACAAGTAGCTGAATATGTAGAATCAAAGCTTCTCTCCCATCGTGAGCTTCTTGCTGGCGTCAGATGCCATATACAAGATCGCTTGAAAGTATATCTAGAAGGTTAAGTGATGTCGAGGAGCTTCTGGAATCGCTGCTCGTCTCTTTCCATCCGGTGAACCAGTTCCTCGCAGATCTTGGAATGATGTTTGCGAATGCCTTCCATCTGTTGCTGGCATAATCTAATCCGTGCCTCCTGGGCTTCTGATAGCTGGTCAAGCATGTCATGGCAGCTCTTCCGGAATGACTCAAACACCTCGCTTATAGTAGTGTTCTCGCTCTCGATGTGGCGGTTGAGGGACTTGGCACAATCGTCGCAGTCAGCACAAGCAACACTCTTCCGTAATTCCGCGCTCGTAGAGTGCTTGACCCACCTCGCTAGTCTCCAACAGCATTTTCTGCACGGCAGTTTTCTGGATAGGTCCGGATATTTCCGGCCGGTCGTCTCTAGCTGCGCATAATTTCAGCCGGTTAGCAAAGGAAGCTGGCCCTTCCCCGGTCGTATGGCCTCTGTAGAACTCAGACGGGGATGCCGCGTCGTCTAGAACAAGTATCTGGGTCTTATAATGTTCCTTATATTTTTCTGAAAGGAGGCGGGGGCTTCCATTGGTATCGACTATTGTGTTTCTAGGGGTCCTCTGAGGAGAACAGCGGGAAATACTGACAGCCTCTGCGCTTAGACTCTCCTGAGAGCTCGACTGGGTACGATGCTCTCTCAATGGAGTCTCGTCCGATGTCACGGACGGTGATGTGCTTAATGAGCTGGAAATCCCCTCTGGATCACTCTCAATCGACATAGGTCCGTGATGGATTATCTCGGTTCCTATCCCTTGAGCTTTCCAGCTTCTGTCCTCCAGGAATGCCATGCTTGACTCGGGGTGTATGGGAGGACTGTTGTCATTGCTTGTCAAGTTCTCGAGTTCATCACTCTTGTTGTGAAGAGATTTGTCTGTCATCGTACCAATCGTATATATTGCTGCGGACGACCCTTCAACTGGGTGAGCTTGTCCCTCTCCAAGGCATTCGAGTGATTGGCTGCGAGTTATAGGAGCTATTATGCCTTCAATGCTCTCACCTTGGAGGCCAGAACGATGGAGCTCTATCCCGTCACTGCCGTCAAACCCCGGTATTTGAACGATAGACAGGATTGAGTTCATGTTCTCCTTGTCGGACAAAAGAGTTTCGAGGTGCTTCTCTGTAACCGCAGGGCTTAACATAGCATCAACAGACGCTTTATCACCCAGAAGAGCCCGAGGGGATTCGGTGCCGGCACTACGGGAGCTACCAACATGTCGCAGGGTCACAATCAGCCTCTTTCGCCGGTTTCCAAGCTTCTTGTCCTTTCCCGCTTCATCGGACTCAGGAGCTCCGCGTTTCTTCGGGTTGGTCTTCTTCGACACAGTCCGTTGGGCTGTTGTAGAAAGTCTTCCTGTCGACGGCTTCTTCCGTTTCGCCTTCCCTTTGGACGCACTCGTGGCTCCACGAGGTTTGTGGCTGTCATTGAAGGTATAGGTATCCCCAGGTAAGGGCGATGGGACCGAAGTGGCTTCTGTGCTTCCCCGGTATGCCGTCACTTCGCCTGGCTCGTTGCTGGGCCTCAAATCCTCATCCCAATCTACCGTATTGGAGACACACCTTGCCACACGCTTGTTGACCGGTCTGCTGGCCGGACTATCAGGCATTTCAATAGACGGTTGAAGTCCGAGGTCTATGACGGTTTGCTCGTCTTGGGGAATCTCGCATTTGGGACTGTGGTGTAATTCCGCTTCAGGGTATTCTAGCTTCAGGCTTGGTCCAAGTTTCTATCCCCGATCAACTAATTAGAATGCTATGGCTTACTCGAAGGTTCAAGAAAAAGACAATGGGAGGTACCGATGGGTCAATGTCAGTTTGAATACAAGGTTCCTCGGCGGTGCTCTTGCGGAAGTGCTCAGATGACTTATCGATGATCTCGTCTCTGGTATACAATGAGACCAGGACAGCGGATATTTTCGTGACAGTCACACTCCTCACCGTACTTGGACTGCTCAGCTGGGACATATCCTTCAAGTTTGGTCGTGGTGTGATGGAGCTGTGGGTGGGATGATGCGTAGAGGGGAAGGGTTCATGTGGACGTGCCGCGTCGCTGCTAAGTACCCATACAGTCACGTCTTCTAGCGGATCGCGCATGGTTGACATGTGTTAGCCTGAGTATGATCTGAGCGAAATTAGTAAAAGCAGTGTAAGCTTGCTCACATTCTCGCTGCGTCTAGCGGCAGTCAAACCAATATTGTCAGATGAACCATTGGACATACTCGAGGGGTAAAGTAAATTGCATAATTATACCTCCCAGCGGATCGCTTCGACATCGGAGGAGATCTGCACCTGCAATGGGCATTGCACTGGTTTGGGTACTTCCCTAATAAAACGATACGTGATTCGGTGGGTGTTGGGAGGTTCAGTAAGGAAGGCGCTACTCGCTTAAGGTTTGCCACCTGCCTACACTTAAATACATCTTTACATCCAACACATCAACTGAAATCTTGTCACAAAATGGTGTTACATATTAGTATGGCCCTCGACGGGAAACAGCTCCTGGTATCAATAAAACGAGAGATCAATGTACAGAAAAGCAAGACATGCTGACGGACTGTGGACAAAGCCCCCCACCTCAACAATATGTCTATAAACGCGGTTGATACATATAATATGAAAACATGAAAGTTCAAAGTCAGAGAATATGGCTATCTCGTACATATTGTGGGCGTAGCATCATAGATCATCAAGCGTCATCCACAAGGAGAGGAATGAGAGACGAGCCGTGGAAATATAACAAGGTATAGGGAGGTCGTATGTGCAGGAGGCATGATTGAAACAGGGTAAGGCATACTGCCAAGATGGGGTTGCTCGCGGGGCCCTTAGACACTCTCGTCGGCTGCGACATTTGGCGTTTCCTGGACACCAGAATCATGCTGGTATCCTGGGGCTGTGCTGCGTCCCGGAAGCCAAGCGTCATGAAGGGGCAAAATGAGACTCGGATTCACATATTTCTTGAGTCTAAGCCCCAGTTCTTGACCACCAATTCGGATCGGGAAGGCATCACGCTCGAGACCAGATGGCGGCGAGAAAGTCGACGATGGAGAAGGCGAGATATCTCCTCCACCAGGACGTTCACGGTCGATACTCTTCAGCGCGATGAACTTCATCAGGGGCTCGTAGTTGCGCGAGAAGAAATAGCTGAACCACACAGTTGCCATCAAGAGGGGAACGATGAGTAGAGAGCGGGTGATTGCTCGGCGCAATGCCAGGACGCCAATCATCGCGAGTTGAAAGACGATCAAGCCCATCAAAACACGGCTACAAATCATCGGCCACGCTCGCCCGGTTGAATGCTGTTGGTGGTCCATGGCATAGAGAAGCTGGTACTTGTAGATGAATTTGCCGATGGTGAAATAGATCAGTCCGAAAAGACAGATTAACCACGAGCTGGGGAAGACACTATAAACCACACAGATGATCAAGCTGAGAATCGTCTGTGGAATAGAGTAGCCGTAGCTGAACACAGGGGGCGTGTTGAGCTCGGCGTAGTCGCGGGGTGTCTTCGCTGTGAGAAAGTTTATAGGATACATCGCCACGCTCCCAAATTCCAAAAGACGGAATGGAAGCAATCCTATGCCCTGTAGACACAGGAAATTGATGTAGAAAGGGGCGAAGTTTTCCAACGTTTTGGCCAGTGCGAAGGCAATGGTGGTGGCATCCTTGAATGCATCTCTGAGATTCTCCCAGAAACCGAAGAATGTTGTTGCAGTTCCGAACACGGTAAAAACAAGGAAGAGGTTGAAAAAGGAGAAGAAGAAGGTCTTCGAAATAACGGACAACTCAATATCACCGCGAGACATCATGCCTTGCTGATGCGACAGCCCTGAGTAGCTGATCAGTTCCCGTAGCGATAAAAGACAAGAAACAGTGACTTACAGCTGTAGAGGTACGGCACCGCGATGGTCAACAGCGAGAGGACCAAAGTGGGAAGACCAGTTTGAACCAAGGATTTGGCAAGAGGGTTCCGTGACAAAGCATCCGCCAGCTGGGGGAACACCTTGTGAAGGGTTTCATACTCGAGCAAGTACGCCACAGGAATCAAAAGCACAGACCAGAACACTGTCAGGAAGCCGATGACAACTGTGATGGACCAGGATTGCATCATTCGTCTCGAGCGAGGGATATAGGTGTTCTTCCATACGACATCGGCAGGAGCTGGTGCCAAACGAGCAAGAAGCTGCATTGGCTGCGGATCAAGGATGGCCTGAACAACCATCTGCGACGCGGCAATAGACTCCATTGTGACGAATGCAATCTCGGTGGGAGGGTACTCCTTTTGGCGTGCAAGCTGGATCTGCTCGTCGATCCTCCGCAGCTTCTCTTCGTAATAGTCGATAGCATCCACATTCCGGTAGCGCAGCTTGAATGGTCCATACCAGATGCGGGTAGTCGGTCGTTTGTGAGTATAATCAAGGACGTGATCTTGCATACTGTCAGAGAGAAGTTGGATGCGCTCGCTATCCTCCTCCGAAACAATGCTGGATCCACGCGCATGTTGCTGCAACAATGGCAATCGATTTGCATTGGCCTTGACACGTTTATAGCCTAGGTGCTTCGTCCATGCCCACTCCAGATTGCGAAGGATCTTGAGCCGCTCATCAATCAGCCGGTCCAGTTCGCGCCAGTCTTTGCACAAGGTAACGCTTTGCACTTTTCCAATTTGCAGACCTTCTATGAACTCTCTGATCTTCTCCTCCGACCCCATGTCTTGAGGAATACCAGAGAGGCGAATCGTCCTATCTGTCGTGCTTGTCTGGCTCCCGAGATATTGCTGCCGGATGCGAATGACCTTGTTTGTATCCTGCACGAGCATGTAGACGGCGAGTCCAGTGAAGATGTACGTGAATACCACATACATCCACAGGTAATTCGGGTCCGATATAATCTTCTTATCCTTATCGTCATCGTCGTCCCAGCCCGGGACGCCCGATTGACCGGTATTCCTGTAATGCATAGGGAGGATAATGACCAGGGCGAAGAAGAATACGCCGGAGAGGAACCGAATCGCGAATTTGAGGAAGGTCAAGAACTGAATCAGACATCGGGATTGTCAGCCACCAAAATCACGAACAAGCTGACGGGGAGCACGCATCAGCACTTACGACAAATGCATCTAAGCCCGCCGACTCGAGCACCTGCTCTTCAGTGATGCGATACAGCACCGGTATCCAACCAAAGAAGCTATCAGGGAGTTCGGGTAAGTGGGATGCAGCGCAGCGCTGTCTTCTCCGCGCGGCATAGAGCTCGGTCCATTTCGGTCGCAAAACCTATGCCAATTTGACTAGTCAGAGACGAAGGCATTCCAAGTGGCTGCCAGGTACTTACGCAGAAAGCAAGGAAAGCGCCCAGGCCGATAGTCAAACTAATGACAAACTGAGTTAAGAAGTCGCGAGGGTTCGTTTGGTCCCCCCAACTCGGCTGATGTACTTCAATGGGCGCATCAACCACGGTCAGCATCGCTGCCGCGGCAGATTGCGTGAGCGACATGACTCTGGTGAAGTCGTGTTCTGCGCTTGGGTGCGTTTGACGGATGTCTCGGATTATCAATGCATATGGGCACGCGGAGCTCTTTCTGTACGGGGAGGAATGCGCAGCTTAAAAACAACTGACGTCAGGGGGCCAGATTACACGTAGTACACAGCGTCACAGCCTCGAGGTTGTTGCAAGGCGAAGTGTAAAGCAGAAGAACCAAAAAAATCCACGTCAGGCAACATTCGAAGCAAGGGACCTACACCGCAATCTCTGCGCTAAAATGCGATCTTCGCCGTGTCGGGCATCGCTTCACTTCGATGGGCGTCTCAACAAACCCAAACTCAAACCGTTCTCGTTCACAAATTTGTGCGGCTGGCTGACTCAGCACACTTTTATGCCTCGCTTACAGTACTTCATCTTGTACGGCGTTGAACCTTAAAAGAAACTTATTACACATCGATTAATAGTCAAGAGACGTGAAGTTATGGCTGTCTGGCAAAGGGATATATGCTAAAGAGTGGTTATGTGGCCTGTTATCTGCATCGAGTGAGAAATCTTGTCCAGTCCACCAGTAGATGACTTTGATTTGTCCGTCAAGGCATGAATTGAAAGCGCTCACTCATCCTGAGTGTGCTGGGAGGCATCGTAGTACAGATCAAGCAGGCATCCAGCGGACCATGCTTGCGTGGGTGACTATTGGAAACATTATAGTTAGTGACGTGATTTTGATGGGTAGTCTGTTGGGGCTCACCGAGTCAGCGCAGTATGCACCGTCCTTGTTAGAAAGTTCCGTGAGCCCTCTCCACGGGCTTTCTTTAAGAGCCCTTTTGCAGCCTTCCAGTCGTCGAGTAACCTGCTGGTAGGCCTCAGTTCGCTCCTCGCGGGTCGTTCTGCGAGCTAGATCAAAGTGCAGAAACGCACGGAGGAAGTATCCGCGCTGCCACACCCATTCCGGACCTTGATGATAGTTTCGACCCTTGGCGGTAGCAAAATCCTCGGAATCCTCGGAGTTGTTGTAGTTTGGTCGGTAATTGAGGTCAGAAGGATCAAGAGTAGCCATGCCGACCGGGCCGACCAGGACCTCATCGGCAAGTGCCAGGGCCGACAATGCTTTTGAAGGTGTGAACAAATCCGGTGCAACCGTCATGGCAATCGGGAAATTCGAACGAAGCTGGTAATCTTCGTATGGCTTTCCTGATTTGTAGAGATCCTTGTAGATTCCACGCCGGTTGACCACATTCCGATCAACAACGTGATTGGCATCCTCCTCCGGATTTGATGGAATATAGTAGCAGCGCTCGAAATTCTCCTTGATCTTCGCCGCCCATGACTTGAAAGTCACCGACTTTCCTTCCCCAAGGTCAACCCCAGAGTGCTGATAGACTCCCCGCTCATGTAGCTTCGCTACCCAGTTCAATGCACTGTAGACAAGACCTGTGATTTCAATGGCAGCTCCGTCACGCGGCGTTCCAGGGACTCCCTTGTTCTTGGCTTTCTCGCTTTCTCCCATCTTGTCTTGCCATGTTCCACAGTTGAACTGACTACCACCAAAGATCAGGCCCGTATCCCAGTCAACCTGGACATTTATATCGAACCCCTCCGGCTTCATCTGTACGTCAAGGTCAGGCCCTGCATTGTATTCTCGGAATGACAGGCCCCGAGCGTGTCGTTGGAACACTTCCTGAATCACTTCGGATATAGTTGAGTGCTTCGAGTAGGCTCGCGGATCGTCGAATGGGAACCACGTATCGTCATAAGGAAGAAACCTTCTGGGCACTTTCTCGTCCAAGAGTGTGATTCCGTCCGGTGCCATCACGGTGTAATCCTGAATAGATTGAAGAAAGAACCAAACTGAATCACGAGAGTTATACCGTGGTAGCCTTCCACTACTAAGTAGATTCGGAATCATTCCGTGTTTGAGGACGCTCGCAAATGCGAATATATGCTCCCTGGCATCATCAAACCGACTGGTGCAGAGTAGAAGACCTCGCAGGGAGATGAAAACATCGCGACCCCAGCATCTTGCCCAATCAACTGCAAAATGCGGCAAGCCAGCTGCAAGACTAGGCACCCTCTTTGTCGGCCATAGGGATGCAGAATTAACATATCCAGTCATTTGCACACTCACCATGCCCAGCTGGTGGATGAACTCTTGTCCTTTCTGTATATTGCCACCGAGGAGCTGAATGCCGCGCTTCCACGCTGCGTTGTAGGCAGTTTGAACTATGATGGCGAAATATCTGGGAAGTAGGAAGCTTGGCAAACTGCGCACAGCATCAAACTTCTCCCGCAACCAGGCTGCAGGCTTGTATAACGCAGAATATCCTTCTGTCTTAGCCACCTTCTCCAGTCTTCCAACAATGTAGTCAAGAGCCCACTGGCCGTTGCGCAAGTGATCACAAAGAGGATGACCCAGTTCGTTGTACTTGATGACATTCTCAAGTACACTCCACCAACCCTGGAGACCTGCATAGACTAGAGAGCCGTGGTCTGGAATGCTGTATACCCCGTCTTGGCCATTGCTAGAATCTCGCTCCTCTGCTTCGCATCGATAAAGCACAAAATTGAGATCAACCAAGCCAAGGTTTGAGAAAGCCTCGTCTACTCCTTCCGTAATATGAACATCAAGCCCAGACGCATGCTCAGCGCTGGGGATGGAAGTTTCATAGAGGGAGATAGATCCGGCAACAAGCGACTCCAGAACTGAGATGACTGTGTCGTTGCCGTCTTGTTCGGCCTTTGTGCCTTCGATAGCATGAACTTGGCTGGGTAAGCCCCGTAAGTAGGACTTGTCCTCTGAGACTTCCTTCCTAGTACTCTCGCTCGAGTCAACCTCCAACCGCCACGTCCCAATATGCTTTGCTCGAGTACCGACCAGGCGGGTGGGTGCCAATATCGCTTTGCTATCTTGCCCTGGGAACGCTGTGTGGGCGATCAGGAAAACTCCTTTCCGCGTTTTGGGGTGTACCCTGTGAACCGTGATGTACTCTCCATCGTGATGAATGTGAGTCTCGTCATAGCCCTCCGAACCCATAACAGTATGCAGTTCGTTGAGGAGTTTCTTGACGCCACCGATACCTCCTTCGAGCGAGTCCAAGTCAACCTTGGAGGACTCGGAGAATCTTGAAGAGTACAGACGAGTCTCATGAACAAGGTCGACAAGTTTGGGGTAGATCTCATCGTATCCAATGACGCTTCCGATCGCCGAGGCGCACATAGCTACTAGAGCTGCATTCGGAAGCGTGTCTATCGCAGTCCTCTTCTGGGCCGGCATTTCGTTGTCGTGAGTACAATCCATGAAGAGAGCCTGCACAGGATTGGGGCGAATGTGAGAAACCTTCTCCTTGCCAGCGTCGATCCCTGATGAAGCTATAGCATGACTACTTCCGGACGAAGGCAGATCAACCCCGAAGCTTCCAATCGGACGGCCTCCATGGCGATGCACAAGTCGGCTAAGCTCTCCGGTGCTCCAGGCTTGCATTGCCTCGCGAATGAGCGCGTTGATACCAAGTCGCTTAACGAAGATGTAATCCGCCTCTTCTGAACCGGTGAAGAGTTCTGCAAAGACTGTGAGGTTGGGCCGAACTTTTCGTGCCTCGTCCAGAAGGTATTCTGCCACTACCAACGGCGTAGAATGACAATTGTCGATGCGGAAACCCGAAAAATACTTAGCCATGAGACGGGTATATTTGGTCATGAATTCCCAGAGGAAGGGATTATCTTCAGGAGAGGATCCATATCTCAATTTCACACAGTCGCCCCAGACAATGACTTCCCGACGGAGATACGATTTGGAAAATGGCCCAGCGTTGTCCCGCAGCGCGTCAGCATTCCAAATCCAGCCGTTATTGACGAGAGCCAGAGCCTTGCTATCGTGCTTCTTAGTGGTATCGTTTAGCGGCAGCCTCGTAAAGTACGTCTCGATAAGTGGGTTCTGCTCCGTGACTGGACCAAGCTTAGGTCCGTGACTGTCAATCCGAAGGTATTTGATGCGATTGAAGAGCTGGTTCATGACTTCTGCAACATCTGCGTCGTATTCCTTGTAGAAAGGGAGATTCACCTCATCGAGTAGCTTTGAGATAGCTTTCTCGGCCGCAGTGGTATCCGAATTTGCGGCATCCGAGGGACCAAGCAGCACAGTCAGTATCGCTGCTCCAAACTTCGGCTCAATCGCTCTGCTGTACCGCCCAAGGAGTTGCTTTGATGTCGGAATAGCTTTTTCACGGACGAAGATCGCTTGCTCTTCCAGAGTCCAGTTGCCGAAGTCCTTCAGCTTGTGCTGCGACCATTCATCGCTCGTTATGTCAATGCTCTTGGAAGTTTGCCATTGCTGAATGACCTTCTGTGTATCCGCAGCAACGTTGACGACGTAGAACTCCCAAAGCTTGAGTTTGTGGATGACCTGCTCACGAATTGCATTCATGACGGCGACAAGATCGTCCACTGATTTGAAATCAGTCGGCAAACCGAGAGAAGCAAGGTTTTCTCCAAATTCCAACAAGGCATTGTCCAGATCTAAGGCAGATTCCAGCCATGGTGCAGTTTCAACGCTGTAGCCAGCTTCTGGATGTTCCTCAAGCCATTTGCTATTGTTGGCTGTGTGATTCCAGACAACATCTGTCAGTGATAAGAGCCCGTGTTTCTCCTCCATCTTCGCGACCAAGTTAGCGACGTCTGCCTCCCCGTTGGGAAAAACGGCATCGTCAAACTGCAACTGGTCAAATATACTGTACGGCGAGTTGGAGTCTCCGCGTTTCATCAGAGGAGTAAAATGGATCATGTTGTAATTGCGCTGGCTAATACCGTTAAGATGCTTGTCCCAATCTGTGGGATATTTACCCAAGAACTTGGAAATGACTGAATAGATGGAAAGAGCATTGAGTGGCAGATCGCGACCGCGGAGGGTCAGTTTGGGCGAGACGTCAATGTAGTAAGTTGGAGTCCTTGTCGGCTCCGGAGTTGCAGTCTGAGAAACCGAGAACTCAGGAAGCGGAGAGAAGGTCACGTAGAAGGCAAATGAGCCGGGAGATGTGATGGGAACGTCGATTTGAATATTCTTGTTGAAGTCCGGAGAGAGTCTGCCCAGGGTCTCAACAATTGGACTGTCACCAACAGAAGAGAAATCCAATTGTCTTCTTACCTGAAGCTGCGGAACGCAGACCGATCAAATGGGTGGCCATCTTCTGGGATGTTTACCCACAGTTGACCTTCCCTGCAAATCGAGCTCGTTCCCTCGATCACGAAGCGGAGAAGGTAGGACGGGTCGGAGGGTGCGGGGAGATAGATGTAGCCTCCCGGGACGTCTGGAGAGCCATCATCCTTGAGCGGCAGCAGATAGACCTGCCGGGGAGAAGACATAGTGTGATCCTAAGCAGATGTATGCGATCCTCCGATTGGCCTTGTATGATCACGGTCGGACAAGAGCGTTGCTGTGGTAAAGACCGTGGTGAGAGGAGAAACGCGCCTGCTGGAGCCACCGATGTCACTGGATAGGATGGGGTAGGTAGTAGGTAGGGGGGGCGGGGGGGGAACAATTGGGGGAAATCGATTGCAAGATGAGGAATCGGAGCAGTCGCGCACGAGCAGTGGGCCTTGAGGGGGTATTTAAATAAGTGTACTAAGTAAGAGAGGAGACAAGAGAAGAGATGGAATGATTGGAGACGCATCCAGGCCTGACCAAGTTTCTCTCATGTTCCTGGATTGCGCCTGAACCCAACCCCCGTGGCTGACTCCTCCCCGCGCGGGAACCCTGACATCATGATCATGGGCCACCGTTTGTTGTTGTTGGCAAGCCGTACAGTACTGTAGCTTAGCGGGGAAGCGCGGGAGCGGGTAAAAAAAAGTTCTAGGCCGGCCTTCGTGGTACTGTACGTATGATGGATACTAACTCCGGACTCCGTCATCGCCGAAATCCCCCCAACTCCTTTTTGGCAGACTGTAGGCAGACTGTAGTACAGAATCATTGTACAGTGCTCTGTCCTGTGTTTCATATTTAGTCATATTCAGCTGTATTGAGAAGCATCGTACACCGATTCAAGGTAAATATATAGAACAAGCCAGTGTCATAAAAGGTCTATGGTCATCTATCTATGTGCATGGAAAAATAACGGTGAAAACTTAACCACAGGCCAGAAAAAGGAATTAAATCCATTTTAGAACGCAGTGACTGGGAAGAGAAGAGAGCAAGAAGGGGTATGTCGTATGTGCGTGTGTCCTTCCGTCTTTACAACCGCGCGCTGAAGATAGCCTGGTTTGCGCCAACGCTCGTCGCTTCGCTCGTATCCGTGTATGTTGGAGTAATCGGCTTTCTGTTATATAATTGAAAGAAACAAGTCCCAGTGAATTAACAACAAAATCATAGCCAAAGGGAAATGTCATCAGGTCTCATTTACCGCTCGATGAATGATGGAATGTCTTCCACCGACATAGCTCCCGTGAGAACACCTACCAAAGGTTAGTCGTCTAGAAGTTTAAAGTGTCAGAACCTGAGAGAGGTGACTCACGGTAAACAGCAGTCAAAAGGGGGAATTCATCCTCCATGCCCTGCTTCTTCAGGAAGTTGTTGACTTCAATTGCAGTCAAGGTGCCCTGGAGCTTCTGGCCGTTCAGCTCAGTCTCTTCGACTTCTTCAATTGATTGCTTCCTTTCCACACTGAGCTTTGCGCAACGGAAGTTACGGCCACCACTGCAGCTGGTAATCAGATCGGCGACGCCTGCACTCTCCTCAGTGAAAGTTCGGGTCTCGATGGTCGCGCCAAAGAACTTCTCTCCGAATTTGACCATCTCAAGAAGTCCAACCCGCATGATAGCAGCCTTGGCGTTGTCGCCCCATCCCATGCCGACTACCCAGCCGGCAGCAACCGCGACGACGTTCTTCAAAGCACCACCAAGGGAGACTCCAGCAACGTCATTCACCACACGAATATGGAAATAAGGACGATGGAACAGGGATTTGAGAACAGCATGATCAACTGGGGGGAACTCGGACGGCAGGGCCTGCAGCTTCACCTGAGAGAGCTGGCCTGATACATCCTTGTGTTCGAAGTGAACAAGGTTCTCAGAAGATGCGGAGGGAGAGCGGTTGGGCGAAGGAGCCTTAGAATCCAGGTGTGGGGGGTCGTAGGCAATACTCGACTCGGACCATTTCTCTTGCGCGACTTCACTGGCGATGTTGGCACCCGAAAGCGCACCGCAATAGATCCCCAGAATTTTGCCAATTGTTTCTGAGAAAAGACTGATGCCTTCTTCGTTCACATCCACGCCCTTGATGCAGGAAATACCCCGTGCGTACGGCACGATCTTCCCCTTAATTTGTTCGCAAGTCTTGATGATAAATTGATGAGGGAGGTTGAAGACAAGGATCGTGCTGTCCTTGACAGCATCCACCACAGATGGGTTAGCGTGCAGGTTCTCCGGAAGAGTGATTCCAGGAAGGTATTTCACGTTCTCGTGAACGGTGTTGATGATATCCGTCAGGTTCTGTGGCCCTTGGCACAATGGAGAGGAGGCGTTGTAGTGGCGTGAGTCCTTGGCGATTTCGACCTTCTCCTCAAAGACCCACATCTGAACATCTTTCTCAAAGATGGCAGGGTTGCTGGCAGCGTTTTCGGCAACGATTTTGGCGATAGCGGTACCCCTTTTGCCTTGTTAGCACCCATTCACACCTACCTACTCTTGTCAAAAGGAGAACACATGTAGGTGTACATACCAGTTTCCTGAGCCGATCACAGCAACCCTGTGCTTGCGCTGGTAAGGTCCAAGAGAGCCCATTGTCGTGTGATTGCTTAGGGATTCACTAGAGAGTCGAGAACGTGTGTAGGAGAAGTGCCGAACGGGATGGGAAAATGAGGGATTAAAGTTTCTTGAAGGGGCAGAAAGCGGCGAGGCTCTCGGAGGCAATAAAGTAGGAAGGAGGCGCTGAGGTGTTTGGGACCGAGGTAGATTCACAAATGTCTTCCAGCAAGGTGGAGGAGACCAGCGTGATATAAGGCGGACTGGAGACTGCATCCACATGCAAAGGTCACAAATGAGATCAGTGAAGTTGGCCTGCCGACGTGTGGTGGGTGGCAGTGTGGCTCCCTGATGTAAGAGCAAGATAAAGAGACGGGTTCGATAGCCGTAATTGTGGATCTCCTCCCTTCCAATTGAAGATACGAAGGACCTCGGAGACTTGAGAAAAGTACTGAGTACTGATGGGAAGATGACGATCAAAAGCTTCCCTGGGAACTTTTGTACAACATCAACCCAGTTTTGGTATAGCAGTGGTGTAAGAACTTCCCCACCGGCGAGAGATCTGTATCAGGTGTTTGGCCAACGAGAAACGGGCTTGTTGGACAGAATCTGACCGAGGATTTGCCTCCGACCAGCCTAGAGGGAACCACGCTAATCATGTGCCAATGAAGTCCGAGGCCTTTACGGCTCTTCCGATTCGGGGGGGGAAGTCGGGGACTGACAACAACCCGGGCGGTGAGCGCAGGGGCTGGAACAATTTGGTGCACTATTCCACAAGAGGCTTAATCTCAAAAAATAGTCGGTAGTTTCAAAAAGTTATTATCATTATAGTCACGAGCACATGCGACTGAAGTCTTCCCTCTCTTTTCTAGTTCAGTAAAAGAATAAATTGCACAGCCATGGTCAGTCGTACCACTCTAGTATGCGCTATAGAATCGCCCCCCTGACGTGTCGAATTATCATTATAGGCCCCCATCAGACCGGCAAAGAAACAGGATGCTGTTAAGAAGCCTACCAGCGGGAGTGGCACCTTTCCTACACACTCGAGCCTCTTTGATGAGTTCCGCACGACAAAGAAAGACAAACGCTTGATCAAGCATGCCAGCTTCGTTTCAAAGATCGAGAAGAGCTCGAACAAGAACCACAAACGGCGACGTGCCTCGAAAAAACTCGTTACAAATCTGGACTCCCTGGCGGATGCTCTACCCGAAGCCGCGGAAGACTCGAACAATTCGAGCAACCAAGTGAACATCATCAAGCAGAAGACTTTGAAACATAAGAAGGGCGCCCAGAAGCGCAAAGAGAAACTAGAGAAGGTCGAACGAGACAGATTTGCAATGAACATGGCACAGCTGTCAAGCATGGATACGGCTGCTTCGTCCAACGCCAATGCGACCCCCGACACCAATGCAGGAACCAGTAGATGGGCAGCATTGCGAAACTTTATATCCCAGACAATGGAACAACAGCCTGCCTTCAAGACGAACCAATGAGAGCAATGGAGGGAGATATTGGAGGCACAGGCGTCTCGACAGCAGCTGGCTCGGAGAATCTGCTTCGCTTGGAATAAAGCGAACATGCAGTGGAGAGCTACTTGATGGAGGAAGCTAAAAATGCAGCTTTCTCCCTAAATCGTGATGATGATTCTTGGTTCATCTTCCTCAAAGCCATCCATAGGGTCTGCATCGAAACAGTGCAGACGTTCAAGTGGCCATGGCCATATATATTACTTCGGAGATCGTGCACTGTGATCTAACAAGGCTGGGATAAACTTATTCTCAGGCATTGAACGTTGTGTTTACATATCAGCTCGGCGCATCTCCGTCGTTCACCGAGCATGAAGATACTGGCGAAGGACAATCTATGCCGCAACTGTTTGTGTGCTTGAAATCCTTTTTCAATTGACTCAAACTTCCTACATGACTTCGATTTGGCCAAATCACGGATTAAAGAATCAGAGGTTCTCTATGTATCTCCAAAATACTTCTTTTTTGTCGATCCACTCGTTCAGTTCGTTGTCTGGAATGTGAAGGGAGAATATTATTGTCACTCGGTTTGGCGTATCCGTAGCCCGAGCCAGCATCTAAGGCAATCACACCAAAAGTCTTATATTGGCAGATATCACTTGATATCAACAAAATCCAGACACTATTCAGAAGATTGCTACTGTACTATCCAGACCACGTCATCAGCGGATAGCATCGGTTGATAAGCATCACGTGCTGCGGGGAAAGCTATCGGTCGGGTTGATTGTATCTTATCTGCCACCATCGGAAGCGACGTCTCCGAAAGCTCCTGTCCTACCTCTCCCTCTCCCATCTCCTCTATTCAAGCTTATCATGTTCATCTGGAGAGGATCATATAAGAATATCATCTATACTTGTCCCATTCTCACGGTCATGCTGCGGTCGCCTCTTCGGGCATGTGGTTCCCCTAGGGTGCACCGCTACTCTGTCCTCCGCTATCGGCATGCGCCGAACTCACCATACCAAGGCAATTGTCGCGGGTTCACAAATTCTTCAGCAACATATCCCACACTTTCTCAATTTGACCGATCGGATTTTACCAGTCAGCCATGGACTGGAAGTTATGAGGCAGGACTGCCAACAGCTGGGCCTCTCGGGTCTACTCCGGCCTTCGGTGCACCGCGGGTCACGCCGCGATCGTTGAAACAGTATCTAGATCAGTTCGTAGTGGGACAAGACCGTGCCAAGAGGATATTGAGCGTTGCTGTATTCAATCATTATCAGCGAGTGCAGGAGCTGCAAAGGCGAGAAGAGGAGAACGCAGAGTCACTGGCCAAGCGCGCACGCAGGGAGGCCCTTGAGCGCCACCCGGTCGAGGGTAAGACATCCGCAGTCACTTTACTAGCTAGGAATATTGGTCTTTCGATGGACTCTAACTTGCATACAGATGAATTTCCAGGTCAACAACGAACCGTGCCTCTCCCTCCGAACGCGGATCTGCTTGCGCCCACGACGGCCCCGGTTGAACTCGAAGACTCACCAGACTCGTCGCCACTGCAGCTAGAGAAGTCAAATATTCTACTATTGGGACCATCGGGTGTTGGCAAAACGTTGATGGCAAAGACATTAGCAAGGATCTTGTCGGTTCCATTCAGCATCTCCGATTGCACTCCGTTCACCCAGGCCGGTTACATTGGAGAAGATGCGGATGTATGCGTTCACCGGCTCTTAGCCGCGGCGAATTACGATGTGGAGCAGGCAGAACGAGGCATAATTGTCCTGGACGAGGTGGACAAGCTTGCAGCCACGAAGATCAGCCACGGCAAAGATGTCAGTGGCGAAGGAGTACAGCAAGCTCTTCTGAAGCTTATTGAGGGTACGACCGTCCAGGTCCAAGCGAAGCAGGAGAGGAGCGCGCCTCGCGTCAACAACACCCCGAACACATATCCATCGAACAGTCCTCTAGGCAACTCCCCGTTCACCCCATCTGGAGGCGGGCATAGTCCGCAGAAAGGAGAGGTCTACAATGTTCGTACCGATAACATCCTCTTCATCTTCTCAGGTGCCTTTGTCGGCTTGCACAAAGTCGTCATGGATAGGATAGCTCGTGGCTCAATCGGCTTCGGTCAGCCGGTTCGGGCGCAGTCAGGCTCATCCGAGCGTGCAAGGGATACAGGCTCGGCGAATAACCAGCCGGTTCCAATTCTCCCGGGCTCCGAAGAGGAAGCACTCTACCAAAAACACCTCCCCTTTTTCAATTCCGCCTCATCCGCATCACCCAACGGCGAGCCGGCCTATTTCAACGCCCTAGATCTTTTGAACCCAACAGACCTGCAGAATTACGGGTTCATCCCGGAGTTAGTGGGTCGGGTTCCGGTCACAGCGGCACTATCAGCGTTGACGGTGCCGCTACTCGTCCGCATTCTCACCGAACCTCGCAACTCCCTACTAGCCCAGTACACGACCCTCTTCTCTCTTTCCGGCATCGAGCTCCGCTTCACCACGCCCGCATTGCACAAGGTTGCCGCCAACGCGTTTAACATGGGGACGGGCGCCCGCGCGCTACGGACCGAGCTCGAGACGATCCTCAGCGACGCGATGTTCGAGACCCCGGGCTCCAGCGTCAAATTCGTTCTGGTCACCGAGTCGGTCGCGGAACGCAAGGAGAAGCCGATCTATCTGTCCCGCGGGCAAGGCGGACGGTTCCATTCCCTCATCGCAGCCGAGGAAAGCAAATGGGAGGAGAGGCTGCGGCGCGAGAAGAAAGCCAAGACCAAAGACAAACAGCCCAAGCCGCAGACTTCGCCGGAGATGCATGCAATCTCGAACTTCAAGGAATATCGTAACCGAGCAGCTGGCTTCTGAGGCGAGGTTGATGATCCCCGGTCTACAACTTTCTGCGTTATTTCTCATCTTCTATCCCCTATCTCCCTCTCCCGTGTAGGTTTTCCACATGCAGCGATTGGCCTTTGCTTTTTTGCTTTTTTGTTTGGTTCGTTTGGCGCTGGGGCAGCAGGGCTTGCACAGTTTTTATCCATAGTAGTCCTTTTTTTGGTATCTCTCATACGCGAACATGCATCCTCTTGTGAATATCATGATGACATTTGTACTGTTTTCCATCCCCTGGTGGGGAGGGGATCTTAAAACGAGAAACCCAACCGATGCTTAAACATATTTCAACAGTGTAAATAAAACAGACTTGTAAAGTTCATAGGGTATTCTAGCTTCCTCAGATATATTTGTATTTGTAACAAACTCCACGCTGTCATGTGTAACATGGGCCTTTTTGGGGTATTGGCATGAAATGGGGCTTTTTTTTTTTTTTTTTTTAAAGTTATTTCTGTTCAGATTAATGGAGCTTCCCGGAAAGTTGTGACCACAAATAAGGTTCACAATCACGATCGGCTTCAGCATCAACGCAGCCCACGCGCATCGTGGATGCTTCATTGGTAAGGCTCGGGGTAGTTATACGGAACCGCAGCCGCATTCTGGATTTGAGTGAGCCTCGACCCTTTGTCCGAACGGAGGCCGCCCGGAGTACGCGGCGTGTAAGGCGTTGCGGCCTGGTAGCTGTGGAGGTCCCTGCCTCCGGCCTGCGGAACGGACTTCTCGGTCAGTTTGTTCCAGTAGTATTTGTAGTCGATCTTGAAGGTTTCGATGAATTCCCTTGCGCTGTATTTCAGCTCAAGGTGGTGCCAGTCAGCCCACCGCGCGAGCTTCAGATTGGGGCTGGTGACGATCACGAATCGGCGGTAGAGGTGGCTATTGACCAGGCCCCACCCGGCGAAGAATTCGATGAGGTGGTCGGCGTCGAGGTGCGCGCGCGACAAACCCGCGGGGAGATCGGGGTTGTCTTTCTCGGTGCGGGACCCGTAGCCCTGGAGTTCGGGCGGGGAGATGGCGTAGCTTTCGAAGTATTCGTCGGTGGAGCCGGATAGGATTTGGCCGGAGGAGGTGTCGTAGGCGGAGGGGACGCAGAGTTGCGAGATCAGACGGTACATGGTCAACCAACTGGGTTTTGGAAATGATGGACAGTTAGCTCTTGCATGAAGCTGCTGCTGTTGGACGGAGGGGGGTAGGCCAGACTGGTTCTCAGAAACTCACTTTTCTTGATCCGCCTGTGGGCTGACTTCGCATTGCTGGAGAACCCAGTTCAGGACATTAGGGCGGAACATCAACTTCCAATACCCCGGGATCTTCTTCCTCATCCAATCGTTCATCCAGGCCAGTAAGACGATTGTCCCATGCTGCTCACGCTCCATGAAATCTTCGGTCATCAAGATGACGCAGCCGTGGGGAAATATGCGTTGAAAGTGAGTAGGATGGTCGACGGATTGCAGCTGCTTGGCCAACGAAACGCTCCAAAAACCAACGGAGGATTTGACGAGGAGCTGCTTGAGGAATGGAAGTGTGTGGAAGGCCGCAAAGCTCTGGTGGAACTATTGAACAGTCAGCTCAGAAGTGAAGTTGAAGTAAAACAGGTCTAGAGGACACATACGAAGACGACTCCGATAGTGACGGTCCGCGCAAACTTCTCCCAGTCCCCCTCATACTTGCTCGAAAATATGACTGGATTGTACTGGTTGAGGAACTCAGCCAACAGCTGGAATTCCTTACTATATTGGGGATCTTCCGGGTACATAAGGTATAGTGTCTTCGCCATTTGGGTTTTGGACCCTGCATTCACCTTGAGTAAAGTCTCAATATTCGTCCTGAATTGTGTCTTGAAGACAGTCTTCAAATCAAACCCATCATCAGCGGGACCTGTCTTCTGTTTAAGAGCGGGTGGTGAACCTTCATGATCGATATCCATTGCTTCATAAGCGGCTGGTTCTGATAGAGGTGGTCTGGTGGTGATGTCTTTGAGTATATTCGGTAGGCTGAGCGCGTTCACAGTAGCCTTTGCTGCGTGTTGGTCAGGGTGTTTTTCAGGGGATATGTGACTTTTTGGAGTGTGATTTGTCACGGTTTGATCTGCCACTTTAATGGACCTTGGAAACTCCTTTCTGGTCTCTTCATGCCCCTCTGTGGTTGACAAATGGTCGGATCTATTCACAATCTCGGTCGATTCGACGATCTCGGTTTCAGGATGTCGTGGGTTTGACTTTTGAGCGTGTGTGTTATGGTGAAGTTGGTCAATGGATTCCAGGGATTCTCTAACATGAACATGAAGATACACATCGGGGATGTCCCTGTGTGCATTGCTCAGACATTGAAAATCGAGTGAACCAGGAGGGTAAGCGAGAAACGCCAGCCCCGCTCTTTCAAGGTTGTATATGGCCACAGTATTTTCTTGCTTGAGATCTTGTGACATTGAGCGGATACCGGGTGAAGTATCATCATATCCTTCGATCCAACCAATATCATAGGCTCCGCCCATCGCCTGGAAGTTGATCAAAATCAGCTATCAAGCCATGCCATTCGACACAATAGATTTTAAAAAGGACAGGTGGGCACGAGATGAGGTCTTTTGAGACCAATGAACACGTAACACGACACTCACATTCGGAGCTATTGCTTGATATTGATCCAACGTACAGACATGTTGAAACCAGATGTCAAGGTTGTGGCCTTTCTTGAGCTTGATAAGCTGAGCTCTTACCCTATGCCCGAGGCCACAAAGCCTAGCAGTGCCTATTATCCTCCTATCCGGACCGTATAAAATCCGAACTAATAGCTCGTCCAGGCCTACCAGCCGGGGGCCTGACAGGGTCATGATTGTTTTTCTTCGAAGTGGTCTGCTCATAGATGGTTCATGGTTCCGTTTTCTGCGCAAGTCCGCTGGCTCAATAACTCGAGTAGTGTTTTCCTCCGGCTTTTCAGGAGACCTATTTCGAGCTGATTCAGAGGCTTCTGGTTCAGACACAGGTGCGGGCTGTATGTCTGAGATGCGCTCGGTGGTTCTAGTAGGGGCGACGGGAGGGTTTTCAGGCCACTCTGATGGTCGTCTCAGGTCCAAGCCGTCAAGGACCGGATCTAACTCTCTGGCCCTGGCCTTCTGGTGCCACCACTTCGATGATAGATTTGGAAACCATTTGCATGAGTTCATACTCGTGCTCGAGTTGAGAGAGCTCCGACGCTGTGGATGAGCTTGAGGTGGCCTGCCACTGCCGAACAAGACCGGAGGTACTTCCTGGGGAACGGGCCTCTGTGCCTGTACTCCTGGGCCGCTGGAATGGCGTCGAGACAAAGGTTTCTGTAGAGGTTGCTGCGAAGCAGTTTTCTGCGCATCCTTGCTTGTCCCAAATACTTCTCGGCGGTGATCATGAGCAGCTGATGCTCCTAGCCTTCGTCTCTTAGCTTCGCGTCTGCGCTTGCGGTCCTCTCTCTTTGTTTCAAAGTCTTCCATATATTGCATCCAGGCATCTACATCATAACCTTGGCACTTTCCAGCTGCAATATCTCTCTTTTTCCGATGCCAGTCGATCATCGTTTGCCTATCAGTGAAGGCATCGGAGGGTTCCCAGCTGTTCCTCTCAGGAGGGTAGCCTGCCCATTGCACCAGATACCTGATACCGTCGTCGAAGCACTGCTCAGCTAGGACTTCCTCGACATCGTACTCCGATTTCGGCTCACTCTCAACCGTGGAAGTGAGTGAGATGTCATCTTCATCGTCTTCATCGTCTTCATCTTGGCGGGGAACCATTTTACTTTTTGCGAAGCGAGGCCAGAATGAATACAGCGCTGGAACGTTTCAAGTGCATCTAGAGATGGTAGTTGTCAGTCCAACAAGCGAGGTGAGTTCCTAACATGGATCTAGCCGCATTGAGCAACCCTTGGAGTTGCTCGGTGGTGAAGAACCAGTCTCTTGTGGGGAATATAGATCCGTTCCCAATATGGCAGGCCAATGAGTAGTCGGAGAAAACCGTAGCTTATAGTTGTGGAGAGGTTGAGATCGCACTCTGTGAGTTGACGCGATCCCATTTATTGGGTGAGTAAGTGAATACTTCCGAGACCCCCCTGCGGCGTGCAGCACACTGCATCAATTTGATATTCTGGTATCAACAACCGGCGACGAGTCGCGAGTTTGTTGCTGGGGACGATGGAGATAAAGTGTCACGTGATCGAAACACTAATCCCGAAGAGGCGACAGTCCAGTCGGGAATCGGTAGGGGAGGAAGAGACGGACGGAGAGAGTGCGAGAGAGAGTCCAGTCCGTCTGCCGTCTGGATAACCTCCTAATCTCCCTTCCCCGGTGTCCACCCCTTAGACTTTCCCGGTAAGTTACTCTTCTTGCTCTCTGGATTTAAGACTCTTATCTGCGCATTCTGTTGTGTTTCTCTCTCTCTCTCTCTCCCTCTATCACTGCAGAATCTAGGTATTGAAGTACTAATCAGAGCATTGCTGCCCCTCGTTTCCAGAAAGTGAGATTCAACTGCTGTCGGTTTTCCCGTGAATCGCCTGCCACACACCCAACCCCCCCCCTTTGACTCGGCCACATCGAAAACCCTCTCCGTCCTATAAATCTTACCTGTAACAGAGCTTAGCGAGCTCACAAAATACCCATTATGGCTAACGACGAGTATGATGTGAGTGACCCCTTTCATCTATTCCTCAACTCGTTTGCAGACTTGTAACTGACGGATACCGCTGGCAGTTCCTCTTCAAAGGTAAAGTTGCCACTTTTATCCCCCCCGCAGTCGCCTCTCGTCACCGTTCACTATAAATCTCGGCTAACGTGCGACGACTTCCTTCGTTTCTCTGAACAGTTGTCCTCATTGGAGACTCCGGTGTTGGAAAGTCCAACCTCTTGAGTCGATTTACCCGCAACGAGTTCAACCTGGACTCCAAGTCCACCATCGGTGTTGAATTCGCGACCCGCTCCATCCAGGTCGATTCGAAGACGATCAAGGCGCAGATTTGGGATACTGCTGGTCAGGAACGTTACCGTGCCATTACGTCCGCTTACTACCGTGGTGCCGTTGGTGCCTTGCTCGTCTACGATATCAGCAAGCACCAAACCTACGACAATGTCAACCGGTGGCTGAAGGAACTTCGCGACCATGCCGACTCTAACATCGTGATCATGCTGGTCGGTAACAAGAGCGATTTGAGACACCTGCGCGCCGTGCCCACGGAAGAGGCCAAGCAATTTGCCAGTACGTGGATGTCCTTTGTCCATCTGGCTGGACGTGCTCCTTTGTCCAGCGGGTTAGTATGCTGATGATATCCTGGTAGGCGAGAACAACCTATCTTTCATTGAGACGTCCGCTCTCGACGCAAGCAACGTCGAGCTTGCTTTCCAGAATATCCTGACAGGTATGCTTTCGCCACCCAACCATGCGCCTGCATCTTCACGCTGACCTGACCCTCTTTGCAGAAATCTACCGCATTGTCTCCAGCAAGGCTCTGGAGGGCGGTGACGCGGGCCAGACCGTCCTGGGCGACCGTCGCGACATGGTGAGGATTGAGCAGTCGGATACCTCCGAGACCAAGCAGGGATGCTGTTAAAGAAACCATGATATCGGGGAATGTGTGACATGCCAACCGAAACGATTTTATTTTGTGATGTGATAATTGAACGGTCTTGAGCTCTCTTTCTGTCTGTTACTTAGCCTCCTGGAGATGATACACAAGAGGAACGTCGTTAGGAATGGCATTTGGGGTTATGGACATGGTATGGCGGTGTTTGCTGGACATCACAATACTCCCGACACCTTGTTTCTGGCACCTTTTTACGTCTTCGACTTATTTTTTTATTTGTTTCTGGTTCGAACCTCATGCTTTTCTTTCTATACTCTAAAGATGACGAAATTGAATATTCTTGTGAATCTTCCTTGCGTTCTGCCCCTTGCATGTTATCTGTCCCACCATGTTTGGGAGCCTAGATATGGCGTACCCCCTCAATGACGTGTAGATTTCCCAGAGCATGTGATGTTAGTCAAGGGAGGAGGAGAGGAAACAATTTTGGATGCAGAAAGCCATTGTCCGCCCTAGCTACCTACTTTTTCTTCTTTTTTTCCAAGAATTGTCACCCCAAGGACCGAAACCCTGGTCGAGAATTTCGCAGCATCGCGTTCCACCCGCCTATATTACGTCTTCTTATTCCCGGCCTCGCCAGTTGCCATTCCAAGTCGGTCGAACGAAGCGGCCCACATCTTCACCGCGGGAGCCCCACGAGGCATTTCCGTTCCTGCTCCATTTTCTCTAGCCGTATGCATTTATGCCTTCGGGTTATACTCAAATCCCAGCCTGCCTTCAATCCACTCCTACTAGGTACACACATTTCCCTACTCAAACTGAGCATCCCCTCGTAGAGTCATTCCTCTCAGAAACCTCTCACCATCTTTTACCTAAGGGTAGGCACAATAATCTCCCCCCCCCCCTCCCCGGGCCCAAAAACCAAACCGCCCCGTTTTTAACCACCCGCTATTCCCACACCCACACCCTCCCAAAAAAGAACACAGTACACAAAAAGCCTCCACTCCACTTGGGGGAATTTTAGCCCCCGGTTCCAGGCGGCTCAGCCTCTGCCCTTTTCTGCTCAATTTCATTTCCCCGTACGGTTTAGGGTGGGCTGATCAGGGGAAGGACGGGTTGGCCGTTGAACCGGTTACACATTCATATGGAGGTGTTCGAGTCGAGTCGCACGCGCGGGCTCTCCCCCGGGTTGTTAAGATATGTAGGTAGTGGATGTGATTCGTAGTGAGCTTAATTCTTGTTTTTATTGAAGTCGTTGTGTCGTGTGGGAAGTGGAAGGATCTATGGTTTAGAGTTTGGGATTTGGGATCGATGGATATAGTCTAGCAGATGGGTTGTCGAGGTTGAATGGGTTTGGGAGGTTGGTTGGATATCTTTGCCTTTTTTTACTTCTGGCTGATTCGCCCCCCCTTTGATTATGGGTTGGATGGGAAAAGGCCCGCCAGGTCTTATGGTGTCATGTATGGTCTAGATTCGTGCTGGAAGTTCTAGGGTTGCGTAGATGCTACATGGTCTTTGCTTGGCTCGGATGGAAGGGTGCTGTCTCAGGAGGCCATCTAGGGGGGAAGGGCCATATATGATAGAAAGTAAGTAGACCGTAGATGACAAGACACATACAGTAGTCTCTGTATTCGACAGCCAGACAGCACAGTCGCTAATCCCAGACGACCCCAATCCCACGATCGGCGATGGCGGCGCGGAACTCCCCGATATCCTCGCCTCGCTCCTTCATCACCCACTCCAGGGTGTCCCCGAATGTCTCCCCATTGTCCCGGAACCAGTCTCCCATGTCCCGAACATAGGCCTCGACCTGTTCCTTGAGCAGGGCGTGATCCCGCAGCCACAGGACCTGACCCGGATCAAGCTTCATCATGTCCTGCACGACGTAGTAGTGCGGGATCTCATCTCCCCACCCTTCAAACCCGGGGTCATGGAATAGATCGTTCCGGAAGCGGGATCTGTACTTGGCCGAAGATTCAAAGTTGCTCGGATGAGTAGTGTGAAAGTACCGCTCGGCCACGGGATCTGCAGGCTTCGCGAACAACCTCTGGGAACCAGTGGGAGATTCAGATGTTGTTGTTGTCGTCGTCGTCGTCGTCGTCGTCGTCGGATAATTGAGATGGATGTTGAACATCAACTGGTGAGTGCTCTCCGGGTATCGTTTCTTGAACTTACGCTGGATTGTCCCGTTGCTGGGGCAGATATGGTTCTGCACGACATCCCCGATGATCGCGCGCACATCCTCGATCTCAGCCAAGTCGGCGGTGGACCAGTTATGCAGCAGCTGGGCGCGTTCGCTGACGATATGGGGCAGGGTGCGAGTGAACCGGCTATGGTCGTGCGTGTGGAAGGCGCGATGATACAGCCACAGCCGGTAGATCGCGCGCCGGAGCCGGAATCGCTCCTCGTCGGAGAGCGTCCGGCGATTCTCGAAATCCAACTTCCATTTCTTGAGCGGGTATATGGCTTCCCATTTCTTGGCCACGCACCCGATATCGATGATCTGTCGGAGAAGGGGGTCGGTCAGAGGTGCGGTGCGCGACACGTGCGCTGCCTGGCTGGTGTTCTGAGTCACAATTTGGATGATATCATCCAGCGGGCCAAACTCGAGCTCCGCGACATTGTAGAGGATCTGTAGTTTATTGGATCGGTGGAAAACAGTGTGCAATCGACGGCACGTGGAGGCAAGGTTTATAACATCGCTGACACTTTCGCAGGAGCGGATTATATGGAGCAGAAGCTCCGCGGCTAGTATATTGAAGGACATGGTTCTGAACTATGGCTATCTTCATCCGATGTTAGCTGGATGTCATTAGAGCCGGTCTCTGCATTAGAAGATTCATACCTATTGTAATATTCTAAGAAAGTCTCAAGAGCGGATTGTAGAAGATTGCGTTGACAACTGTCGATGTCACGTACGGGGCTGTCGTCGCTGCAGGCTCAATACCCCTGCGGCCGCTGTCGCAATAGGAATTCGGACCTAGATCGCGACCCCACCCCTGGGGATTACCAAAACGGATGAACAACGGGTAGGGACTGTTGCCATAGAGTCAGAGACAGGACAAGCTCCAAGCAGCCACAAGGGGCTGGGGAGTGAAGCAGATGCCATGATGTCTGTCAAGGAATTGCAGTCGCGGCGATGGCGAAGCCGGCGAGGCGATAAGGAGAGCGGACGTCAGGTCACTTGACACAATCGCCTTCCTTCCCCTTCACCCTTTAGCTAAAACCCAACGCACTTCTACATATGAAGGTCAAAAGGAGACAGAGAATGAGTTAGGTACTCTACATTCTCAATTTATAAGCCACACATGATGTATATGCTCCCTTACTCCCTATCCTGAAGCAATTTGGCAATTATCGAAAAATCCAATATGATAGCTCTCTACACAATGACTGCTGGAACATGTATAGAAGGGTTACTAATGGCAACAGCCCGATAGAGCATGCCATGACATGCATTGGGGGTTCATTGAAATGAGCGCAAATTGAACGATAACGTCAAGTACTTTTATTATTGTCACACCAGACGCCTTGAAAGAGAACCATGAATGTACCCCCCCACATCAATACATATACATCCCTTCAGGATATCAGAGTCTACTAGGGCGTAGAAATAACAGAAGAAAGCGATGCAAAACAGAAAACCAACTATGCGAACAGGTGCCGTGTGTCCAGAGCACCGGGCTTCTTCTCGCCGTCACCCAATCCCAAGTTCGACCGCTTCGCGAACCGGTCCGTCTCCGCATCCCTGCGGTTGGCGTGGCGAGCGGCCTTGCCAATGCGGATGTCACGGCGGACCTGGTTGGGGCTCACGTATTCCTTGTTCTCGTAGATGACGGGACCGCCAAAGCTGCCCTCCAGGATCACAATCGGCGTCAAGACAAAGCGGGGTCCAATCTCAACGAGAGAGATCTCCGGCTGTCCATCCTTCTTCTTGGGAGCGGGCTTCGCGTCCTTGCCCTCCTCCTTCTTGCTTTCGCCCTCAGACTCCCGAATCTCATAGACGCGGATCCAGATCTTGCCATCCACACCAAAGACACCGATGATGCGGTCAACGAACGGCTTCATACCCTTCACACCACGCTTGGGAACGCAGAAGACACCGCGGATCATCTCCCTGATCAAACCCCGGTATTCGCTGCCGGGGGAGCTCATGAGCGGACCCTGCTCGTCGAACGAGCGGTCGAAGACCACGAGACCCCGACCGCCCTTCAAGCAGTTTCCGCTGAACCCGGCATTCAGCTCGGCCATGGTGTGCAGGTTGTTGACGTGGAATTTGATGGTAGGTCCATTGGGAGGGCGCGCAAGCCAGAGGTACAAATCTTGACCCTGCTTACGAGCCTCGAGGAAGAAGATAACGTTGCAAGAGTGAAGATCGGCGAGAGAGTTCAGGAGGAGGTTGTAGCCAGCGGTCTTCTTTTTCGTGTCGAGTTTGCTTTCCTTGTGAGTGTGGGGAAGAAGAGAGGCAAGGTCTGCGAGCAAGTGTCGGTGGCTAGAGAGGAAGTAAGAAAATCCACGGTCAGCAAACGGAATCTCGTCTCTCAACTCCCAGTTTCAGATGTAGGAGAACATACCGGTAGGTTACACCTCTGGAGGTCAGCATCAGGACGCGAGTCTTGGGCATGAATCCAGAAGCAAGCTGCTTCTTCGCCGCTTCGGTAGTGATTTCCTCGTCGTCTTCGCTGTCGCTCGAATCGTCGGCGTCAGCAAGGAGTTCCTCCATTTCGATATCCTCCTCGTCGAGCTCCTGCTCCCGAGCGATGCGCTGGGCGGCTTTCTTTGAAACGGTTTTGTAGACGGACGCCATGGTGAATGTGATATGCTGTGATTTGTGAAAGTCCGAATCTGTTGATCGCCCGCAAAATTCAGAAGATGCGGGCAGAATATTTTTTGGTCCACACCGCCTTTGATGATCCGCATCACGTGACTATGCTCACTTTCTCACCACTTTGTGGACCCCTGAAGCCTTATCTGGTTAGTCTACCTTGCGAAGCTATTCACGTTTCTATGCAGTGCTCTAAATTCTTTAATTGTATCATGTGGCTCTATACTCAATAGGTCATATCTCAAGTTTGATGATTCTCTTGTCACCATCTACTCCTTGAATTCATGATTGCTATCACTGCTCCCAATCCATTTAAGAAATGGCTGGCATCTTCTCCTCAGTACAATCGAGGTCAATTCCAGGCCCATCCTCTTGAACCCGACGGCACAATACCCAAGCTTCAATGCCATCCATCGCCCTGTGTATCGGCAACTTCTGCCTCTCTCTGTAGTGTCTCAAGTCCTCGCTCCATGTAATTCCTGTTCATACGGCCGGTTCAAGGCTGCCTTGAATGATTCCCTGTCGCTTTGCCGAACCATTGCGCCATGATGCAGATACCGCGCTAGTCAGAGACTCATCTCAATGTATGGACTCCAGTGCACGTTGAAGCCCTGAAAAGCCCTCTTGGGATACTTTCATTCCGGCCACGCGGTTTGCAAAGCTTAGCTTCTGCGACAGACTCCATTCATCACGCTGACACAGAAGCGCGTACAGCATGCCGGCATTGAAACTATCGCCAGCACCAATTGTACTAACCAGAGTCAGTGACCGACGCGATAAGTCTCATGCAGTAGTCGTGGCGCATTCAGCCACTTGATTTTCACTTACTCCATGATATGAAGGTCTGGCGCGGTGTATGCGGGCTGATAGATCACATCTTTGGTAGCAGTACTCAGGGCTACTGTTCCATGTTCACCCCATGTGCAGCACAAAAGGGAGCTGGTGTCAAAGATCAGTAATTGGGGCTCGAAAACGCTGATGGATCTTGGACCTACGCCTTCTTTGTTAGAGACGATTGTTCTTGAACACATTGCTCGGCCGATTTATATCCATTTCCCTACGGCGGTCAGCCTCAAATCGCGGCAGAAGGGTGGAAAAGTATGTACCTGAGCCCAGCTCTTCGAATAGAAAACAACATCGGCTTCCTCCGCGAGTTCCTGCAGCCCTGGCCGTCCTGGCTTCTCTACTTCGACGCTGATCGTGACCGAGGGGAAGTGTCTCCGCAGGTAGCGGATGCAAGATAGGGTGACTTCAGGAATCCGGCCCTATAGATAATGTCATTAGTCTCAAGCAGGAGGCCTCTAGATAATCTGCGAACCTCGTAATGGAACCACGAAACTGTTGGACCTAGAGTGTCAGCAATCGTGACAAATTCATCAACGGTCATCTCCGGAAGCTCATTGTAGTTCACGATGGTCCGGCTGCCCGTCGCCTGGCTTTTGAAGATGTAACTCGATGCAGGCTCTGTCAGCTCTTCCCGGTAGATGCAGTGATCCATGTTCACGTGCGGTTCGAATGCCGCCCGGATCTGCTGCGAAGCAGCTGATGACCGGGCTGGCAGGATTGCAACCAGGTTCAATGATAGTTGCGCGGTCGACGAGCCGTGAGCTACCAACTGCTGCAGAACCTCAAGTGTGTTGGGGCAGTTGCCCCCTCGCCGGCAAGAGATCTTGGAAGCACGAAGCTTTTCATCCTCGCCAGGGTAATGGGGAGTCCTGATACATTGACGTCAGAGTTGATTGGGCCTTTACAACGGAAGAGAATATCAATCCACCCACGTTAGAATCGTGTCTAGATAGCATGCGCCGACCGCAACGAGCGACATCCTGTTACTTGATTGTTTACTGTCGGGTATACAGAAGTGAGATTACACCGATAACTCGAGCCCAACAAGTACTGCACGAGCCTCGCCAGCGATGAGAGGAGCTTGACCTTGATTTGCTGTGGGATTAGTCATGACCCACTGTCGACATCATCGCAACTTCACCTAATGTGAGCCCGATCTTCCAGTCTCAAGGCACAAAAGCCGAGTGCGAGTCGCTTTTAAAAACAATGTCCAAGTGTTTCTCCCATAGCAACATGATTCCAGTTTGTCACAATAGTCTGATCGTGAGAAAGCGATTTCGAATTCCCTCAAAGCGACTCGAATCGAATTCAACGACAGAAAGGAAGTAACTGAGATACATGCGGAGTATGGAGAAGCAGAAGTACCAAGCTTTGAAAAAGAGGTTGTGATTGCAACAGAGACTGTTCGGAAATAGAGAGTTTGATCTGCATCAAGCCATAGTTGGTGGGTATATTCGTGCTGCTTGCAAGAGCCAGATAGAAAGTAGTTCCAATAAGACTAGAGAATGGCAGCAATCGACTGAGTAACATGCATGCTACGAAACCTATATCATATCGTCAGAAGCAATGGCTTGATATGCTTAGAGTAAGGACTTACCCCAACCAACGCGACCGACTTAAGTGTCGGCAGATTTTCCGGGCTCGAGATCGTCGTCTGCAGGCGGGCAATCCTCCCACTCATCATCGTCATCGTCATCAAGCATAGGTGTCTCGACGTCGGCAGATACAGCTGCAGAGCCGCCGGCTGAGGCGACTTCTCCGGCCTGAACGCCAACGTCCACAGACCCATCAGTCCTGGTCGAGTTGGTCGATAGCTTGGAACCACGTTTCCAACATGGAAAGCGCTTTCCCATCAGCGCACCGTACTGCAGCCTACATGTACTGTTAGACGCATGAGGAGCGATACAGAGCAGACATCTTCTGAGCACGGAAGGCGAGACTTACCGAGCGGCATTCCAAGTTGTACCGAGTTTGTTCGCGATGACGTGCCATTTTGCTTCTGAGAGGTGGATATCCTCTAGAAAGGCCATCTCCAGGAGCAGGGCCAGTCGCTTTTCGTCGTCCCAAGAGACTCGCGCGGGCGTAGCGGCTTTGGGGCGCCCGGAAGTGCGTTTCTTCTTCGAGGCATTAGCACTCTGGGGAGGGACAGATTTGCGCTTAACCATAGTGTACCAAGTCGGAACGGTGTCTTAAATAGAGTAGGTAGTTACTAATGTCAAGAATTATGGATTCTTTTGAATAAGTGAGGGGTGGTTTGCAGGTAGAGGTGGAAGCGCAAGAAGACTAGGACTAGTGCAGTTGCGCATAGAGTGACTAGGGTCTGCTGACTCTTGCGCATCGACAAGTGAATAACTCAGAATGTTATTCTCAGCGCAACCCAGCCTGTCTCACCCCCTTTTCATGTCGGCCTGCACGATGTCATCGACGTTTGCCGCTCCTTTTTCACAGTGGAGTAAAGTTGTGCAAATCGTGGTCGATGCCACTCACTGGAAATCTACCCGAGCTTCCTATGTAGGTTGTACAGAATAGCTTTCACGATTGAACTGGCTCGCTGGATGACGATGTTCTGTTTTTGACCTTCTTCTAGCCGGATAAGAACTGATCTACTCATATGGGGAATATTGGGCGTTACCGTGTGGGAGATAATGAGATGAAGACTATTTTGTTTTAATTAGGAGGACAATAACAAGAAGCATGCTGAAAGCGATTGCATTCTAGGAACCTGTTAAGCAGGGCGCCATACCCGAGAGTAGCTGCAGTAAAGATTTGGGCGTTGCTGTGCTTGACTAGGGAACCTTTGGGGATCAGCACCCAGGTAGTGTTTGATTGATGTTTAGCATGGAAAATTGGAGTGTAGTTGTGTACTTCTGGAGGGGTCTGTGTCGAAATTTTCTCCAAGGTTAGACTTCTGGACGAAATCTTATAAGGGAGAACATAGGTCTTTCTCCAGCTGATCCAGAAAGGCGACCTAATCCATGATTCTAAGAAAGCATGTGTCGGGCATACTGAACAACGCGCAGCCTTGCAGCCATCAACATACCCGCTATCTCTCAAAGTAAAAGCAATATATGGAAATTGACAACTAACGACTAGCTCAATTCAACGCAGCGTGGCTGAAGTTCCAAAGCTAAACAACTACATAGCAAGGAGAATCATGTTATCTGCGTAATCCCTTCAAATAGGATTCAGAAAATCTACTTTTGACCATATTAAGTCTGTTGAGTAAGATCATCCATCGGTTGACCCACTGGTAGGTTTGATAGATGGACAGATGAAAGGTGGCATTGATAGCTCGCTTGTCCATCACTCTGGTCAAGCCCTGGGTAGGACAAGAACCTTTGAACAAGACCCCCTAGTATCTATTTTAGCTCTTACAAACCATGCTGGTTGATCTGAAATGTTGAACCATCGGTTGTAGTCTTTATCCTCCGTCCATCGGCCAAAGGTGTGTTCAATCAGGGTATAACGAACCACGTGATCATCAGCTACCATTAGTGCAACCCTACTCGCATGCTGTAAGAAGGATGTGTGTAAAAATAAGGTCCTTGTCCAAGCTTTATTTGCGATTTCTCTACTCGAACGTGGGTTGTTATGCTCCATGCACGTTTAAACAATCTAGCGAATGAGGCTGCTGTCACCTGCAGCATGCCACTAGCCGGGATGCAAAAGCTCTACTGAACTTGCATCATCATTGGGCGAACTGTAGAGGCTCCACAAACTTCCAAATCCTTTCAGAGTGACCGGAATCTTTGTCGGTGATGCAGTATGATGGTGGCTGTGAGCCTAAATTATCTTGATGATGAAATCTACCCCAGGATCATGAATTATAAATTCCAGCCTTCTACGTGCATCAAGGTGCAAACTTCCCAGTCTGTTCTCCAGATTTCTAAGCATCATCTACATACTTCGTGTCCAGACTACCCTCCTACCACAGAAAGTCCCATCTCTTCTCTACTTCAAGCTCCACCATGCAGAACACAAAACGTGGCAAGGCCGTGCCGACTGACACCCCGGCGTCCAAATTCTTGTACGCCATCCTCAAACAGTTGGATCTTAGATCGGTTTGTACTTCAGCCTAGAAGGAAATATCCCATCTTAATGACAGTTTGCTAGGTTGATTGGAACCTAGTGGCCACTGATCTCGAAATCTCCAATGGCCACGCTGCACGGATGCGATACTCCCGCTTCAGACAGCAGATGGAGGGCAATGTTCCATCCACCCGAGCTCCTCGTGCTAAGAAAGACAACCCAAAGTCGAACAAGGGTGGTTTACCCAGCGAAAACGGCCAGAAGAGTCTTCCATCCCCTTCTCCCGAGCCGGTGACGAACCAGGGATTCTCAGCTCCCTACGGCGAGCATATTTCCTCCTTGATGATGCCGTCTCCTGGTCCTTCGCTCTCTCCTATGATGCCGTCCACTCATCCAGCTGCACGACTACCGTACCATCCTCCTTCCCTTCCTACACCCGAGGTAAAGCACGAGCCTCTGGAGGCTGCTTTCGAGCCTTGCCTGGAGAATATGTTCAAGCCCGAGCCCTACGACGAGCACGTCTCATCGCTGGTGGATATACCTCTTACTACCTCTTTCCCGATGTCGACAATCCCACCAGCTGTTGCCCCGTACACTTCTATGTTTACCGACCTCGGCAACCCGGTCATGTACGCATCTGCAGCAGCATTTCAACCCGGACTTCAAGCTGAGTTTCGACCTGCGTTCCAACCCGAGCCATTCTACCACGAGCCCGTCGGGGCCCAGCACCCGAATAGTTTCTGGTGGCCTAGGATTCAGCCGGAGCAGGTGATAGTGGGAGAGGATATGGAGATCGAAGAAACAATCAAGGGAGAGCAGCTAGAGGATGGTGATGCTACAGATGATTAGGGTAGGTTTGGATCTGGGAATTTGGTCTCGCGCTATGGCTATGGTTTTGTATGGTATCATGTTTGACTGCAACTGATGGAGCTCGTGGCCCAATTCATACATCATGTTTGCTGCGCTTGTTTCAATCTTCTGGTCGAATTACAATATTAACACATCACTGACAATATGAATTTTGTTTACTTCCTGTAGCAACTGCATCCTCCTGGAATCACAGCACATAAGTGCGGTATTCTGTAGTAGGGGTGTTACAACAGTTGGTTTACTGGATGTGATCGGAACCTACCTTGACTGAGACCGACACTCTCTTTACATCTGACCTTGCTTTGGACTGTTTCCATATTTTGCAATCCTCCCTCAACAACCATCTTATCGGTTCTAGCATCTCCCATTATCCCCACAAGTCATTAGCATTCGACTCTGATTAGAGCCAGTTCACTTGAGTAAGCCTATATTCGATTTCGTGTCTTCTCATCCAGCTAGAAGAGCGAGGATCGGGACTCTTCCCGCACTATCCGTTTTGCATACCCCCCTTCCCCCAGCAACCGTCCTCGTTTCATTGCACACACTCTCTCCTCATAACAGTCCTTCTACTTGAGTTTCACCATCCATCATCTAAGCTATCGTGTCAAACCCGATACTTCAGTCCAAATTAAAACCTGACTTCTAAGATCCAGTCTCCTCCACCTCAACCATCATGCCTGGCCCCAAGCAGGCAAAGTCCGAGGATGAGATTCCTCAGAGTGATGCTCAATTCATCGTACGCTGTGTGATGAACATGACATCTGACAGACAGGCAAGCATTCTTCTTCATCACATTTCCTCACTACTATCGCTAAGCATTCCAAACAGGTTGACCTGAACCGAGTGGCCGCTGCGCTTGGCTACACCAACGTTGCGTCCACCGCGAACCGATTCCGCGCCCTGCGCAAGCGCTACGGTTTTGAGCTCGAAGCCACCCAGACAAGTGGAAGCCCCACCAAGATAGATGCCGCGTTGGCCGGAGGCAATGGCTCCCTGGATGCTCAGAACGGGCAGGCCGGCCCTGAAGTCACTACCCCGACCAAACGCAAGGCGCCTGCCAAGAGGAACCCCCGAAAGAAAGCCAAGGCCAATGCTGAGGAGGCCGCTGTGTCGAACAACTCCGACGAAGCTCAGGCTGGGTCTGATGCCGATACCAAACCGACCACAAAGGGTCGCAAGAAGGGCGCTGCTGCCCGTGCCAAGTCTGCTCCCAAGGTGGAAGTTGTGGTTGCGCCTGAGACCCCAGATGAGGCCGATCTTCCAAGCGATGTCGTTTAAGTGTTTCTTGAATGATCTACGATACTGGTACGTTGCCTTGGAAGAGGATTTGCTTGCTTTGTAGCTGACTGGGTTTTGATATACAGGCAGATGGGTATCTGATCATCGTTGCTAGGATCTTAAATCTTCCGTTCTTATTTTATTTGTTGACTCTTTCGAGGGATTAGGTCCAGCAGCTTAAGGAGAATTCATTTTATGCGCAGTCCATTGATTTTCATTCTTGTCAAATATCCACACTGATAGCCTTGGGGAAGGAGCACTGATGCTCTTGGTCTCTGCAAATCGGACTCTGGATAGCAGATTGGAGGATTGAAAATCTGGGAGATGCTATACAAAACATACTTGACTGCCATTGCGCCTTCCTTCTCCTGCTCAGTAGATTGCTCCTCTAATCGTCCAAAAGTGATTTCTCAAGCACCGACCTCATACTCTCATGTCCCTGTGTTAGAAATCAGAACCGTGTTCCACCAGTGAATAAACGTCAAGCTGATACTTCATTCCCAGCTCCCCTAATTTGTTTGGACTCGCTCTTTTCTCCCCAATCTTGCTGCAACCTCTCAATTAACTGGGCTAGGCCATAAGGGGTTTTTCTCTCACTCACTTCTCAGACATCTTACCTTCATCTCTCCTCCGCTTCGCCTCTCTCTCATCTTGCCAATTTACACTCCCCTTCCTTCAAATCATTCCTCATCTCCACTCCACTATCAAAACCTTCACGACTCAAGACATCATCCACCCCTTTCCACCACGACCATACACCTCGAGGATAAACACACCGGTCATCCCAGCAGAAGATGGCTCCCAACACCCCCTCGAAACCGAGAGCGCCTCGCCTCACCGCGGATGATCAAGTGCAGTTTCTCCTGAGCTGCATCCGCAACGCCACAGGCGGCGGTAAAGTAAGTCCTCTACCTCCCCCCGTCCATCCCTGGGCCCATCCATCTGGCACTCTCAATACGACCCCTACACCATCATCCCCCAATCCCTACATCCCATCCGAGCAACACAAACCCAAGCACCAAAACCGATCCCCACAAATCCCAACTAACAAACCACCAACAACGATAGATCGACTTCGCCAACGTCGCCAAAGAGTGTGACATCGTGAGCAAAGGAGCCGCGTAAGTGATGCCGAGTTCCTTTCCCCTCTATCCTTCGCTGTCATCCCTCCCCAGAACCATTCCATCCCATTCGCCACCAACCACACAACGCATCATCTTTCCTGCAGACAGGGGGAGAGCTGAACTAACAGACGAACGAATGGGCCAGCGCAAAACGCTACGAGCGTCTCCTGAAAGCAAACAACATCGCTCCAGCGGGGAGCAGCAGCAATCTTACCTCGAAACCTACCACCGATGAGAACATTGATGAGGATGAAGTCGATGGACTCGAGGCCGCTAGGGCTGGAGGAGGAGCAGGCAAGGGTCGCAAGCGGACTGCGGCTGCTGCCTCTGGTCGAAAGGGGAAGACGAGTGGCCTGCTGGCGCGGAAGAAGACAAAGGGTCAGCTCATGAAGCAGATGGCCGTGGCGAGAGCGCATAGGTTGGTTGGGATGAGTGATTCCGAGGATGACACTGTTAAGCAGGAGGATGGGGAGGAGGATAAGGAGGAGGATGGCATGGCCATCAAGAAGGAGGATGTGGATGAGGAGGCGATGCTGATGGAAGACGAGAATGGAGAAGGGGAGATTGGAGCTCGCAGAGAGATGCTGGGCTTGGGCGAGGCTGGCTTCGACGATCGTGACCAGGAGGGGACGGTTTAGGGAACATGATGTGGTGAAAGCGATCTGAAGAACTCGGTTGGAGGTTAAGTATTCGAGGGTTGCAGAGCGTTCGTTCTATGCCGTCTCCAGGTCTTTTGTGGTTCGTTCTTGGACTGCGGTGACCTCCAACTTCCCTGTGCTTCAGTGAGGGGAATTTCAAGCTGGTTTCTTCATCTAATTGGACATTTTACGCGCGCGGCTTTCAAGATCGTCGGTAGACGGCGTGTGACAAGCCTTGCATTGGTCGACGCTTCTCTATGTGGATCCCGGGTTGATGGCAATATGGTTGAAGAGCAATGGATTCTTCTAATAGTTTATCTACGGGACAATATCATGAATGCATGAAGTCGATTGAAGCTGTTACATCACAGCATGCATTGATAAGTAGAGAAGTCAAGTTCTATAGTAAGGAGACGCATGTCGAGGTAAGTTTGCTCAAAGGGTATCAGTAAAACGAATGAACAGAACCCAAACAACAAAGAGTCATTCCGGCTTGTACCCGGAATATAAACGGCAGATGTATGTCCAAATAGCACAAAGCTCACAGGCAGTGTCGCCTGTCAAGGTTACATAATCTCGTAGGGTATCACGGTTGAGACCTAGCTGGGCTAAAGATGATTAAGGTGCGTCCGCTTAGAGGTCTGCCATTACAGACTCTAAGATCTTGCGCTTATAATTAGAGAGAGACCGTTCCTTTTTCTGCATCTGCGCACGAAGCTTGAGGTACCGCTGCCTCCATGTGGCTTCGGAGACGTTTCCGTCCGCGCCATCCACTTCGAATTCAGCATCGGTGACGCTGTCCAACTCAGCAGCACTGTTGTCCAGCTCGTCAGTCGCCCTGAATGAGCTTTCGAACTTGCTGCTGTCAGATCTTCCGATGTTAAGGTTTCCGTATGTCACCTTGGTCGAGAATCGTAGCCCGTGCTTGTACTCGTGAGTAATCGTATATACGTGATTTGAAGTGGTTCCATCAACGCTTGGCGCAGTGGAGGAAGCTGAAGGCATCATCTCGATGTGGATGGTCATCACACTTTCGGTGACTCCGGGATAGCCAAATTGGTGTCCCAGACCCAGGTGTAATGCGGACATGAGGGCTGCTGAGCCGGCTGGTGTTTTCGCGTATGTGGATGTGAGGCTTGAAACAACAGATGATGCCAGGCCCCGGCCCTCTTCCGCACTGAGAGGAGCGGACCGACCGACAACTCTACCACGGAGTAGCTCGCTTGCCAAAACACGTACAACGTCGTCTGCTGTAATCTCCGTTTGTTGCACAACGTTGCGGTTGGCATAAGAAGAGGGATTGGTGACACCCATATTACCAGCATAGTCGTAAAGAGGTGCCAGAGTCCCATTGCGCTGGTTATTCTCGGTTTTCATCATGCCAGAGGCGCCATGGACTCCGTTTACCGCCAAGGTGGGCGGTGTCGCCAGGCGCACAGGTCCCCCAGGATGCTGTGGAACCTGAAGCTGCAGCTTATTCGGCTTGGGGCCTAAATTGAATGGTGTAGGTGATTGCTGGTATGGTGAGTCACTGAACCGATTAGCGTGCTCCTGGTCGAAAACAATGGCAGGAGATGATCGGATCGCGGAATTCGGTTGGTGAGTAGATTCGGAGCGGGAAGGGTTTACTGGGAAGGATGAAAATGGGCCTGACACTGTTCCTCGATTTGGAGGTCGGCCCCGTGTCTTCCCATTGCTCCCATTGTTACTAGGCCAGGCGGATGACACAGCGGGGCCATGACGCCGTTTGGGGCGTGCTCTCTCGCCGGTGGATGGCGTCACTGCTGAGCGTGGTTCTGCAGGCTGAATGAAGATTTCCGACTGATGATTACTTCTGGGGATAATCGCAGATTGAGGATAGCCGTTGGGCGAAGCATCGCGTTCAACAGCTCTCCATCGTAGATCTTGACTTTGCTGGGGAGCATGAGTCACAGATGGACCCTCAGTTGAGAATGTGTGCGCATTCCCCATCCAAGGATCAGTCGACTCTATCTCATCAGGAAAGGCGCTGAACGGAATAGCGCTTGTTGGAAATGTTGAGGTCTGCCCAGAAAAGGGACCTGGGTGAATCACGTTCGGGGATGTGTCGAGTTGTGGTCGTTTGGCGGCCTTTTCCATCGCCTCGAGTTCGGCTCGCTTTCGCCCGCGTTTTGGCTTCCATTGAGGAACAAGTGCTCGCAAGGCAAGATCTTCTTCGAGTGGGACCCCGTCCCGGCTCTCGCTTATAATATCGCTAGGCGGGAGCTGAGTGTAATAAGGATGAGGGTGTCCTAGACAGTATTCGAAGAAGGCATCGACATGCATTGCACGCATCCAGCGCTGTCGGAAGTTAGCGCTCGAACTCATTCTTGGTATGGTACAAGACATCAGAGATAAAATGAACAAACGGACCTTCAGTCGCACTGCATATTGCTGAACTTTCTGCGTGCTTTGTTTCTTTTCCATGCAAGGTGGCTCTACCCCCAGCTCGATAGCCAGCTGAATCCAAGTCTTTAACTCTTTGCAATCGAGCTTCTTGATCAGTTCGTAAAGCGCAAATATACTGAAGCTCTTCCCATCACTTCGTGGAGGACATCTGAAGGTCTTTCGTAGCTCCGAAGTATCCATCGACAAAGGAACATTCGGGTTACAGTAGAATATAAACATAATGTATGCATCGTCGATGTTCGCATCCGTGATGTCGCGAGACGGAAGAGATCGGGTCTCAGGCGGTTCCATCTGTTCTCGAGTAGATCTCTGGCGCAAAGAGTCATAGTCAGGAGGAGACAATGAGGGTGCTTGGCGCACTGGTACTGGTACTGGTGCAGGTGCTGGTGCTGGAGTGGGTACCTGTGCCGGTGCTAGTGCTGGAGGCACGCCAGGGCGTGGAGCGGTTGGCGATGCCTGTAAGCTGCGCGGGGTAGCTTTGCGGTGAAGAGGGGGCGATTTGGAGGTGGCAATCTGACTGCGAGCACTACCTATTGAGGATGCGCTATGTAAGCCAGGCTCCGGGGCAGGATACCTGGCGTACTGCTGGATAATCATCGGCGGAGGCCCTAATTCCGCCCGGTCTGGCTGGACCGGTTGAACTGGCTGAACCGGCTGGTTCATTACATTTGGAAACGAAGCTTCCATCTTGAAAGGGCGCTGGTAAACGGTCTAGACCGAATTACCGCTGCTGAAATTTTTGGAAATCAATGAGACAAAGCGATGGAACTGACAAGATAAGATGGAATGCATAAGGTATAGGTAGTAAAGAAGCAGGAGGTCTCAGATCGAGGCCGGGGGCTGGAACGGGCCAAAATATAAAGTCAAGTCCTATTAGACGGTGGTTGTAAAGCACGGGTATTTCGGGGGCCAGCCCAATAATTGCAGTGCGCGATTGGAGGGATTCGGATCCTCGTGATAGGTTCACTCAAATCGGAGGAAGTACCTAGTTGGAGTTGGTGCAGTGAGGTGCAGTGGTATTGTTGATAACGTACAGTAGCTGTACGTGTATAAGTATATACAAACTTAACAAGCAATGGAAATTAGCGACACGGCATTGGAGCAATCAATGCAGGATCATCGCAACAGCGAAGGTAGAGATCAAACAACATTGTTGCGCAAGCGCTCGACGAGAAAGAGAGAGAGGAAAAGAGAGAGGAAAAGAGGGAAAAAGAGGAGAGGGTGGCTGGACGACGGCGGCGCTTTAAAGAAGGCCGATGATAGATTAGGAACTCGAGAGGAGCTGACTGTTTCTATTTCGGGGCTCCCCTCGATCCCTCTCCAGGCTTAGCGTTGTGGCCTCAGGGCGGGGGAAATTGATGCCTGGGCCAGCCTGGGCCAGTGCCTTTGGACGGGCTGCCGCCAATTTGCAATTCAATTGCATTGCATTCATTCACTTGCACTGCACTGTGCAATTCAATTGCCTGTCACGCAGTCACACCCTGTCACATGCACCCCTTAACATTTTAGCCGCCGTTCGCCTGAGCAATCAGGCCACAAGAATCAACTGATCGACCCCCCTCTGACAATCATTAGTCATTCCGACCCTCATTCTGCCATCACTTCCCGGCACTACGCCTTTTCCGTCAATCGCTCACTCTGAGTCTCTGAGTCTGGCCGGAAGTCGTCACTGCCAGCTAACTTGAAATACTCCATCCAGTCTTATCGATAAACCCCCTTCCGGTCCCGTTCAGGGAAGCCTCGATCCAAACTGGAACTGGAACTGGAACTGGAACTGGAACTTCTGGAGGCAGGCGACATCATCCATCGACCTCATCCAACTTCCACTCACTTTCCTCGGCAGTTCATTCTCCAACTACTCGCGACTCATCTGGGATGACCAGCTTATCGATGTCCTTCGGTGATCTGGTGCTCGCCTCTCCAGTCTCAGTCTAGATGCGCCGCCACTAAATACTCTACCTTACTTCCCTACATTACAGTGACAGCGTCATAACCTCGCCCCAGAATGGCCCCCACGCTTCGCACCCCTCCTCGTCAGCGCCCCTCCAGACAATCTCGACCTGTCCGATCTAGTCGAACTCAAGTACAGTCCTACCACGAAGACAGCAGTTCCGACGATCGGCTTGATGAGGATACCGAATCGGATCGTGAACGCGCTGAACGATTGTCGCTTTCTCTGCGCCCTCGAAACTCTAACCGTATGCCGGCTTCCTATCGCGAAGACACCACCGACGATGAGCTTGACGACTTCAGCGACGAAGGCACGGATACCATGACTCGCAGTGAAGCACCCGCACATGCACCTCTCATTCTCGCGGAGGGAAGCAACCACGCCAGACCATCTAAGCCTACCCGCACACGAACCGTAAGAACAAGATCACAAACAACGAAGGCAAAGCGGACTGTCAAGAAGAGGCGGATGGAAATTGGACGGCCGCTTAACAAGCGTCGAAAGCTCGAAGTGGATGCTGCTCCATATGTTGGTTCGGGCGTTATACCGCCGTGGCAAACGCTTCCCTATCATATACTCCTCGATATATTTGTTCGTGCATCGTACCCTCTGATTGACGAAAGGACTACCAGCAGAAAGAGCTCCGTGCAGTGGCTTGTCAAAGTCGCTTTACTGTGCCGTTCTTTTCATGAGCCTGCCTTGGCCGCTCTCTACCATTGCCCTCCACTAATACCGGCTGCTAAGTCTCACGGTTTGCTACACTTGCTAGCCAAACCTCAAGATCACCTTTCTACAAATTATATCAATAAAATCAAACAGCTGCATGTTGATGTGGAAGCCCTTCTGTTCTACAAGAGTGGGTCGACCCTGGGTTATTTTGAGCTGCCCAAGTTGCTGGAGAAGACTCCTCAAGTCAAAACACTACGACTCTACCACAGTCATGATTACGTTGTTGGCCTTCCCCCGTGGCTTATTCAGCGCTCAAAATGGACTTACCCGGACAGTCTTTTCGATGCAATTTCGTCAAGCCCTATCCGCCTTCGTAGCTGGGACTGGAACAGCCGTTTCATGGAGACTCAAAAGCTTCTCGAACTGATGTCACAGATGCACATTCAACCCGCATTTCATATGATGCAGGATCTCAGAATTCTACACGTTATGTGTGATGATCCCTATAACAAACAATTGCCAGAGAGTTCCACCGAAAAAGAGATACTTCTGGCCGCAGCCCTTGCTGACCTTCCCAATTTACGGCGCTTAGAGTTCATAGAATGCTCAATTGTGAATGATCACCTTTTGCCCAACCTTCCGACAACCCTCACCTCTCTCACAATAAACAACTGTGATGAGATAACGACCACTAACTTTAGTTCATTTCTTTCGACGCATGGCCGCCATCTTCGAGAGTTGAATCTAAGCCATAACCGTCATCTGAGTATGTCTTTCATTGTCAACTTGGCCGTATCATGTGAGCAACTGGAAATCTTCAAGATGGATATATCCATGCATGATTGGTCCAGTTACCACGACGTTGAGCCTCATTTTCGGGAACTACTCTCACAGTCTGAGATCCCGACCTGGCCATCAACACTTCGGGAGATCGAGCTCCTCCAGTTGCGAAATTGGGACGACAGAACAGCGGAAGTCTTTTTCAGCTCACTTCTCAATGCCGCTCCTAGCCTAGAGAATCTGAGGCGCTTAGTGATAAGCGCAATTCTGAAAATAGGGTGGCGAGATCGAGCAACTTTTCGCGAGAAATGGAAAGGCAAGCTGCAAAGAGTTTTCCAGCGACGAAGTCCTCCACCCAATCCTGACCTTCGTTCTATTCCTCGCACTTCGCTACTACTCAATGCCTCCGAATCTGCAGGATCCAGGATCAATGAAGGCGCCAGCAATCATTCCGATGCTCAACACAGCGGCACTATGACACCGAACAAACGGAAAAGTGCGCGCATTGCTCAAAAAAGATACTCTGACGATGAAGCTATTGTCACAGGGAAGAGGCGAAGATCTGTTGAAGATGACGATGAACCACTCTTCACTCAAGGCTTGTGCGATGTCGTCATGATTCGAATAGACAATCAACGTCCGACAGAGACTCAATTCAACGAAGAAGACTTCCTCGACGACGAATTGAGCGGAGACGAAGATTGGAACGGCAACGACCTTGACGTTGACGATGGCAGACATGCATGGTAGATGAAAATCATGCTCAGCCTTTCAATCTCCTTACAAATTGCTCCGTGCTTGACTATAGTTAATTCTTGCGATTGTGCACCGACTCGTCTTTCGTCTTATCCATTTATCACGACTGCAACGCTCGCACTGGCTCACGTTCAAGTCATATTCGCATTGCTGCATGAGTCTTTATCTTAGAGGGTATATTATACATGGGTGGCAGGTAGGAGTACGAGTCCAGGGCGTCTGGCTTGATTTTTTCGGGAGGGTTTCGGAACGGCAATCGTCGGGAATTGAGTTTGACCGGATATACTAATTGCGTTCCAACACTTGTGTTGCTTTAATTACCTTACATCTCTTCGGAAATTCAGCTGCCTACTGGCGGTAATCGCTCGAATGTCACTGGTATAGATTCAGACTGGAATAATACAAAATGGTCCACACGGCAGAGATGAGCAGCAATGCCAAATTTCTAGCCCAGCTAACCTCTTTGACTTCGACCCATGTAGGTGCCCCCTGTGTATATGATTCTCTCAAGCCAACTCCCCAGGCAAGCATTTACTCGCCTACTGGTAAATCAACTTGCCGTTGTCGTTCTCGACGTGCTCGGACAGGTTGACGTCGGCAGGGAAGTACTCGCCCTCCGAGTTGGCAAGCTCCGCGCGCAGCACTGGGACCTCACCACCGCCCTCAATGGAGAAGGTCACATCGCGGGCACTGCCGGAGAAGCCGTTTCCACCCCAGTCGAAGCGGCCTGGTAGAGAGTCACACAAGTCAGAATAATTCGCCGTACTGCATTGAGCCTGTCATGGACATACCCTCGTCGTTTCCCAGAAACTCATCCAGGTCCAATCTGGATTCGTGCTCCTCACCCTCCTCGTCTCTAAGGACCGCAACTAAGATATGGTTATCGTCAATGTGGACGTCCGAGGCGCTCAAGTGGAAGCTCATGGTGGCAATGAAGTGAAGGGGTTTGTGATGAAGGAGGAAGAGGAAGAAACTGTCAGGCAGGGGATCGGATTTGGAAGATGAGTGTTTGTGTTGATGGTTGAAAGTAATGTGTAATGGCAGAGGGGGAAGAGGAGACCCTTCTTATACCTTTTCTGCCATGAGGATTGTGAAAGGGGCTGATCTACTTGCCCTCCCCTCCACCAGACCCCTCCCCTCCCCCTCCATCGTCCAAGAGCGTTACTGCAACACTTGGCTTGGTCTCATTAGTTAGCTTTATCGCGCGATTGAGTGGACATCGGGCTAGTCTAGAAGCCCTGTTGGATCTTCCGTGGGGGCCCCTCCTCTCTCGTCTCAGTGTGTGGTGGGATGTATGTATGTATGTATGCGCATACACTACATGTATCAGAAGCTGCAATGCAACCATAAGCAAACTGTATTCGATCATCAAGCCACTTACGAAGAACAACAAACAAACAAAACAAGCAGATTTGAAGCGCGTGTGCCTTTCAATGATTGCATCATTGTCTTTCTGCTATGCTTTCTCTGCCTGAAGCGGGCCTTCTCCCCATAACAATAGAATAGTACCATGTCTCAAAAAGAGAAAATGGGTATTCATGTATCGGCCACCTATCACTAACTATTGTTTTGTTTCACCGTAGAAAATCCTCACAACACTGCAACGGCCCCCCCCCTCCTCCTCCCCACTTGCGCACCTAGTCCCTCTTGGCGGCCAATTCAGCAGTAGTGGACCCTGAAAGGTATCCCATCCTCTGGCCCCCGGTCGACGCCTGCGCGGGCTGAAGCAACAGGGCAGGTGAGACGTGACGTTGTTGCTCTCCGTTTCTGTCTTCCAGTCTCTCGGGGAAGGGATCGAGGCGATTGATTGGGAAGGTGTATTTCTGTTTAGGCAGAAGTCTTGGTATAAGGATTGAGAATCATTGATTCATTTTGTATGGCCAGACCCTGGTCCGGGTCCCTGTCTGACTCCGTACTAGGTAGATAGTGGGGTTCCTTGATTCCGGAACAGCCACAATCCCCACAAGTGATTGCAATGATATTGGTTTGAAGGACTGTGCCAAGAATGACGAGATGTCTTTACGATGGAGCTGTGGTCTGGGAAAAGTGGCGCAAGGCTGCCGCCCCCGTCGGGTGGCTGAGTTTCCGTTCCTCCTTATAATGAATTGGTGGATGGTGGTTGATTTGGTTTTGTTTGCTGTCAGTAGGACGGAGTGTTATTTGCTTTCCCTTCCGTCGCCTTGCAGGGCTGAGTGCTTGGCATAGGAGAGATTCGGGGGCCGCTGACGGGTGTCAACGGTTAGAATGTCAGTCTCACAGGGCATGTAGTTGGTGGCTGGTGCTCCCATGAAGTCAGGTGAGTGGGAAAGTAAGGAGGAAGGAAACTCGTACACGCGATATGAGCCCATGTCAAGGTGGGGAGGGGAAAAGCGGGGAGTTTCCCTCTTTCCCCTCGCTGGATCTTCTCCTGACACTGACACTGACAAGGCAAGGCAAGGCGGTGAATTCCTCCCCTTTTCTCATCTAATGCCTTTGGTTGTCTACACCTTCTCGTCAACGGTTGGCTCACTTTCTCGTGGGCGAAGAGCTTGCTCGTTGCGCTTCGAAGGGAGACTCGCATTGGGAGCTGTCCCAGTCCTCGATTTTTCGTTCATTGGCAAACATACCTGCCTCTCCCCATGGTCGCATACAGCGGCTGTCTTCCGATGAGCACCGTTTCACCAGGATGTCCATGTCAGATAGGGGCGACTATCCGTCATCACTGGCCATCGACCATGAACAATAATTCTAATAACCTAGTCGTGCTACTTACCCTTGAAACAGCCCCGAGCACAAGACGTCGCCAGAATCGAAGCGATTCGCTCCTCCTTGAGATCCTGGCTTATTGCTTGACAGAGACGCTGCGACATCGGCCAGTGACATGAGTGACATGAATAATGCCTGTTATGGAAAGGTGGTCAGCGCCCGTACTTCGCAAATTCATGAACCTCATACAATATTCTCGGCTCCACGCGAATTGGATGGTGTTCTACGATGTCTCTTCGCGAACTTCAGTCATACTCTGGTTTTGAGCAAGCACCCAAAACATCGATATTGACGCTAGAGGTTGCCGAACCTTTGGTGGAGAGACTTTCTCGCGTATACCGAGCGACAGGTGATTGGCCATACAAGCCGGGTACAGGTTACAATCCAAGTGCTTGTCTCCAAGTGCTAGTTGCCCCAGAGAGCTGCGCTGGAGAGGCTCAATTCAGGCTTTATAGGGAAAGCCAATTGCCTAGGCTTGCTTCTTGCCCCTAAACGCAAACCTCAGAATCCTCGCACTCACGCATCTCTCTATCTGAACTGGTGAGAGTTTGTCTTGGACCGCGTAGATATGAGCACGCCGGCATGGTGACTGGCAAGGGTCAACAGATCTAAACGCACGTAGTGTGCCGTAGTGCTTACTCCCCCAGCAATTACTTGACCACGCTAGGGTTGGCTGGACTGGACAGGACACTTGTGTTATCGAATAGCTTACGGTCGGTGATTAGCTCGAGTGCTCTGTTGCCGTACTCTAACTAAAGCTTACGACAAATGAGCCATCCAATGCATGGCTCTGAATTATATTTGCTCGCTCACTGCTCGCTTGACTGCTTGCGCCTCTTGTGACCACGGACCACGGCACTACAATTCCATGTTTGAGTTCGACGCGGTTATTTTTTAGGAACTTGAACCATGTCCAGCTCTAAGTGGTCGGCCTTCAGCCTAATCGCCGTTATACAATCTGTGTATATAAGTACGTACGGCTGCCCATCGAGCTCGATCAAGCCAGCATGCCATCTAGTACTGATATCCTGTTGATCGCACCATGGTCACTACATCTAAGCCAGCTCGTCCTTGGGTTGACGGGCCCTGGCCCCTAATCGAGACACCTTCAAAGACCCGGAATGTCGTGAGTTCTTTTCCCTTTCTTCCAGGCTACCTGTCTCATGTTAATGAGGACCTGCAGGCAGAACATCCCGCCGTCTACATCGCGAACGAAATGGCCTTTGCCCACAACAGCATGCTGAGAGGTTTGAACAGCATCTACCTCCAGGCATCGTCTGTCCAAGAGCCCGAAGATGTCTCCGACTTTCTCTTCTTCATTCACGCGTGGGCAGGCTGGGTATCGCATCATCACGTCCTAGAAGAGGAGAATATGTTCCCGGGATTCGAAAGAGTCATCGGAATTCCCAATTTCCTTGAAACCAACGTGGAGCAACATCACTCCTTCCAGCCTTTATTGAAGAGGCTCCTAGAGTACAGCAGCCAGATACAGCCGGCAGAATACCAGGCGTCTGTGGTCCGGCAGTTGATTGAAGAGATGGCACCCAGTTTCCGCCACCATCTGAGCGACGAAATCTCGAGTTTACTTTCTATGGAACCGTATGACGGGGACGCATTGCTGAAAGTTTACAAGGAATGCGAGGCCGAGGCAGGCAAACAGGATAAGGTACAGTACTTTCATTGTGCTTTCCACCCCTTACTCCTTCCACCGGATTTCTGACTCTCGATTGCAGCATGTGGTCCCTCCGATGGTGCTGGGGCTTCGTGACATCACCTTTGAAGGAGGCAATCAGTGGCCGACCATGCCACCGCTGTCGGCATGGTTTGTTTACTACTTCTTCTCTGGCAAGCATTCTGGATCCTGGCGATTTCTGCCGTGCGATACCTGGGGGAACCCACGCGCGTTGAGATTTGTGAAGGACGACGCTTGAGGAAAGGTGAAGGTGTAGCGACTGAGCACGAAGCGCTGGTATATATTCAATAATTCAACAATGCTTCCCAACGCGCAAGTGAAACATCATCCGTATTGTGCTGTTTCCGCCGCCTCGTTGCCCGAGTCTGCGGTCAGCAACACCACAATGGTCCATGGATCAACGTAGTCCGGTTGCATAATAGGAATGAAGCGCTGTAGCACCCTATTGATCTAGCTGTAGGTGATAGGTGTGATGCATTGGGTCCGACGATTGGAATATGATCGCCCTGACTCCCGGCGGAGAACTCAGGATTTGTTTTCCGCGGCGAATCTAGACGTAAGTCAGGCCGGCGGGCTAAGAAAGGCAGCCGGGCAAAAGTACCGTAGGCTTCAAACTGTGCCTGTACTCCTTCGGAGAACCCACCCCCGGTCAAGGAAACGAACAAAAGACACCCCACACCGGCAAACGCCTTGCATTCACGCCTACCCAATGATCTTCACTCCAGTCCACTAGTTCTCAAGAGCATTGTCTGCTAGGAGCAGGTCGAGTCCCTTCGCATCTGGTTCAACACTTATTCCTGTCCAAATGACGGTGGGGAAACCCACATGTTGTGCCGGGGACGCGCGGGATACCCACTTCTTGTTTATGGTATGGGGCCAATCGCATGTGCCTCGTCGAGGCGGATGTCTCCTGTGGTCTTTAAAGGCTAGAGGTATCTAGGTGCATCATCCCTACCGCCAATCCACTAAGGGATGGGGGTTCCTAACTTATAATCACGGACCAAGCGCCACAGAGGAGGCGCCGACCCCGAGTTCACCAGGTGATCAGTGCTCGTCGGATTCAGAGCGTAGACTCTGGACTTGTCTATCGGTCCATCGATCCTTCTTGCTCCACTATCACCACCTCCTCTTTCAAGCTTCACCATGGCATGCCCTCTCTCCATGCACGAGGTACATCCTGCCGCAGATTTCACACAACAAGTTAGTACGGTTCCGTTCACGGTTCCGAGTGCAATTTCCCAACCCGCCTTCCCCGGAGAGAGTCATGACGACGAAGGGATCTTGGATTCAGTGAGTGCTCAAGAGTGCTAGCACTTACCCGCCTAGCACCTCGTCCTCTTCTGTGATCGTGAGTCATCCGCTTATTCCAACTCATCACAGGGGCTTGATGACGACTTTTCAGACTATGCGGAGGAGCTGTAAGTAGCTGTCGACTTGGATATGCTTAAAGTACACGACTGACGAGTACAAAATGCCACAGAGCGAGTGATACTACATCGTTAGACTCCGAGATAACATCGTATCGCTATGAAAATGGACGGCGATATCATGCGTACAAGGACGGGGCTTACTGGTGAGCTCAACGGCCAATATCACCCTAATGACTGATTGTAAGAACCTGACCTCTTGTCAGGGCACCAAATGATGATAAACAAAATACACAGCTAGATATTGCGTGAGTGGTGCAGTGGAAAATTTGCTAATCGACGCTGAGACCATGCAACAGTCACCATATGTTTACATTATTGCTGGATGGCAAGTTACATTTAGCACCCACGGGATATAGCATTCAGGTATGTTGAGCTAGTCTCAAAGACATCGTCCTTATCAGACGAACCGTATTGTGCTCACAAAGTACCCAGAGAGCGCTTGACATTGGCACCGGCACTGGTATTTGGGCCATGTACGTGTCGAGGCAGCCTGGGTTAGATGAAGCATGCTGACCAGTACTGTGATTAGTGATTTTGCGGATGAACATCCCTCTGCCGAAGTCATCGGTACGGATCTGTCACCCATTCAGCCAAGCTTCATCCCTCCTAACCTGCAATTCGTGATTGATGATGCATGTGAGGACTGGATCTATCCTGCAAACTACTTCAATTTGATTCACACCCGCACTTTGTACGGAGCAGTTGCGGACTGGCCGCAATTCTACCGCAAGGCCCTCAGGTAAGTCTTTTCGTCCTACATACGTTCTGTCGCCATATCTCAGAGAATCAATTAACATTGTTGCAGACATTTACGTCCTGGAGGATGGTTCGACCAGCTAGAGATGTCCATACAATTCCGATCAGACGACGAGACATTATCAGAAGATCATGTGCTGGCGATCTGGTCAAAGACCTTCCTTGAGGCAGGCGAGAAATTAGGGAAGACTTTCCGCATCGCCGAGCTAGCTGCTGGCTATATGCGAGAGGCAGGCTTTCAGAATGTTGTTGAGCACCGGTACAAGTTGCCGGTGGGCCCGTGGAGCAGAGACAAGAAGCTGAAGAGTCTCGGGATGTGGAATCTGGTTCATTGCGAGCATGGCATTGAAGGCTGGGCTATGGCATTGCTTACGCGGGTAATGAAGGTAAGTGACGAGATCTCGATGCGTATTGATTCCTATCTCAATTCGAGCCCTCGAGATGGGCTGGGGCTAGTTGCGTGCTGGAAAGCATCTGAAACTACATACGCTAACGGCATCCCACAATCTTTTAGTGGACCTTCGCAGAAGTACATGTTTTCTTGGCCCAAATGCGCAAAGGTCTGCGGGATCCAAATGTTCATGCTTACTTTGAAGTGTAAGTCATGAGAGCGTTCCTGTGCGGTGGGCTAATGCTTACTTATCGCCCGGGCGTACTTTAGGGTTGCAGTCTATGGTCAGAAACCTATACACACCATTTAGCTCATAGATTCAATGCGTGTGTATATACCGTGAGTTTAAGAGTGGCAGTAACAAATTATTACGAATTGACTCTGGAGCGTATTCAGATGGAGATTAAAATATGCATAGCTGCTGGTCTCAGGCGCAGGAAAGTAGCAGGGACATTGGGACACTGTTGAGCTTGCAGTTCCAGAAGGACGGGCAATATACTAAGGGAATAGTACGCCCTGTAGCCAGCGTCCGCCATTCACAGGATTTCTCTCATAAAGAGAGGTTACTCCAGAAGTATATCCAAGGGTAGCTAGTTGATTAGCCTCGATACTCATCTGTTTCGTCTTTTTCTGTGAAGTGCATACATCATCTGGCAGAGCAAGATCTTGAAAGCATCGGAAGGGACGGCTGTTGCTGTACCTCAGAGTAAGCTGTAGCGTCTCTTTCTATGTAATCAATTCATTAAGAGGGGTAGTCAGGGTCAGGCCATCAGCAACTTGTTCTTGTAGCATAGGATTCACTAATCGAATTTCTGTAGAGGAATACTATTAGTGTACTGGTTGCCAGGCAGTAACACCTACTAGTACTCGGCCTACAAGTGAATAACACTTAGGCCTAGACTCTTTCCCACTTTGGGTCCTGTTTTGATTTCTTCTATCTGTTCTTTTGATTTATTTCTTCTACTGCTTACCTCCTCTACATATTTTCTCTCTTCCTCTTCCCCCGACCATACATATCCAACCCTCCTACTTATATACAGATATCACATCGTCTTAGATTACTCCAAACCATACCGCAGTCTATCGAGACAAGACCCAAACCTCACTGCAAAGATGCCCATGACCTGGAATGACACGGCAGATGCCAAGGTACGTGCCTTCTCTCTCTCTTAGTCCCTCTTTCTCGCAGCCACACAACTCACAACCCGACAACAAAGCTTCTTCTAGCCATCCTAAAAACTGCAAATGTGAAGCCCGACTACGACCGCATCGCCCAGTATCTGGGTCCAGGTATGTCTGACAACCTGTCCTGCTCTCGAACCCCCTTCTGAACCATCATTTCCACCGCAAGCTTTCCGCTAAACATCTGAGCTGATGAAAATCCAGAGTGTACACCCATCGCAGCCCAACGCCGGATCCAACGTCTGAGAGAACGCGCCTGCATGGAACCCACCACCGCCGACGGCCAACCCGCTCTTCCCTCGACTCCTACCCGGGATGGCGCCGGTGCCGTGGACCCTGGCTCCGCTCAGGGCACCCCCGCTTCTGTGCCGAGGAAGAGAGGCAGGCCTCGCAAAGTGAAGGAGGAGGGTGACGCTGATGCGGAGGCGCCGGTGACTCCGAAGAAGCGAGGCCGCGCTAAGACGGTCAAGTCTGAGCAGATGGAAGAAGAGGATCCGCATCCGAAGCCGGAGGATGGTGATGATGGATCTCAGCCCGTCTATCAGAGTATCGAAGATGCTTACCTCATGGAAGAAGTGTGAGTTGCTTTCATGGCTCTCCGGGACCGAGTTCTTGTGATGCTGTTTGGCTGGCTCTTGGGCTGCAGCTTTCTCATGGGGATGGCGAAGCTGGATTGTGCTTTGGAATGTCGGAAAATGGAATGGACTTCGTTGCAGTTCTGGGTTGGGGTGTTTGTCTTTGGCTTTTACATGGGCAGTTGTGGAAGATTGTGATCCAGCTGTAATTGCAGTTCTTGTATCTCATTCTTGTGAAAACAGGCATCATTGCTAGGAAAGACAGTACCAATTCCCAGTGCGAAGCGATTCCAAAAACCGGATAGAAACCACCGTAAAGTACATACACATGACTGTGAACAATCTGAGCTCCACGCGAGAAGGAGAATAAACGAAGCGCAACCCACCCAATCCCCAAGACAACCATCTAGATAAAATTCATCATCGCCCCGCGAGGCGCGGCAACCATCTCATTCTCCGGGTAGTACTCCGAGGCCGAGCTGTCGACATCCACATCCTGCCCGTCCCTGCCAAAGTGGTGGTGCGTCGTCCAGTTGACCATTCCGGGGGCCGGGGCAGCCGGCTTTCGCACTCTCCTGGACGGGGTATCCGGCTCGACCTGGATAGCAGCCGCGGCTCCATGCGTCTGGTACAGCGTATGGCCGGCATATACCAGCTGATTCGCCGCCCCCGCCGCTGCATGAGCGAGAGGGGTCTTCCTCGTTGGGGTCGTCTCCGGCATATGAGTGTCGATACCGAGGGGATTACTCTGAGCCTCGATCTTGATGGGAGAGGGCCCGGTTCCCATCTCACTCTTGATTGGGGAATCGGCTGGCATGGAGTCGGCTTTGACGGTAGTGCCCCCTCTCTTGCGCTTGGTGGAGCTGGGGGTGGAGGGTGCGGCGCTCTTTCGAGGTTTGCGTGGGGTGGCGTTCGGGGTGATCGGGTTGGTGTTGTCGTCCTGGTTGTTTCCTTTGCCGGTGCTGGCGATTGCTCCTGCCATATTACGGATTTTGATGAGTCTTTCGCTGATGGCTCGAGGCGTAGGGGGGATTTCTCCCACTGCAACGGCTGGATATGAGGAAGAGTTCATGGTTAGCGGAGTAGATTCTTAGGAGGCTGAGGAAATTGAGACACTGGCTGAGGGACCGGACTTACGCCATGCTTCTGCGACCTTCTTGTAGTTCACGGACAGGTTGTGCGTCTCGACGATCTTCAGCAGAAGCTGTGTTGACGTCAGCTGCTTGGGGAAATGAGAATTGGAGTGACAAAGAGTAAAGAGGCCATACCAGCTGATCGGCTTCGGGAGTCCAGCGCATCTTTGTGTATGTGGGTGAGAGGTAGTATGGGAAGAGGACTGTAGTAAGCGGCTCCAGCTCAGGTACAGTATAAGATCTCACTGGATAGACACTTCAGTAAAAACAATAATAGATCAAAGTCTGGAAGAGTAAGAGATGAGGTAGAGGAGAAGAGAGTTAAGCAGTGGTCAAGTATAACAGAAAAAGATAAGAGTATGTAGTAAGGATTCCAGGACTATAGAAAAAATATCTAGTCTATCTACTCTAGGAACTTCCACCTCTAGGCTCAAGTGAATATCCCAGCCTCGCAGGTAACAGTGGCCAGGACCTGTCTTATTGTGTAAGCCGCCAAGGTAACACTTACAACTCTCAGGCTGCCCTCAACATCTTCCACCCCCACTGTTTGCATCACGATCTGCAAAAGTTCTCCTTGAAGTTACTCTTGGTTTCTTGATAATTCACAGGACTCGGGGACGTGTTACTGCTTCGATTCGTTCCGGTGCTGCAGGAATCCACTTGCCTGCAGCCGCTGTTTGAACTTTTCCTCCGACCGGGATCCTGCATCTCTGAAGGTGACTGATCGTTTTGTATACATCCGATTCGAACAAAGGTACGCTACGCCATTGCTCCGTTCCAGACCCTGTGCGCTTATCATTCTCCTTTCTCAGCCATCTCATTTCTACACGTCGAATTGTGGAGGCCTTACGCTGCGACACAGCATCGTACAACCCCTGCCTCGTCCGCCTGTCCCCGACAAACAGAAAACGCCAGTGGACAGGGATCTCTACCTATCCTATCCCTCGGTCACAGTAGGATTCTCACCACAATTTCGAGGGACTTTTGATGGCGCCGTTCTGGTTGCTGGAGGAATCTGTTAGCGTCCTTGTGATCTGGCTGCCGGGCGTCTTCATTCTTGGTCCTGCACTGTGAATAAATACAGGATTGGGGCTCTCACTTCATCTGCTGTTGCACATCCATTCCTCTGTTCTTTGGTCTTGTTGTACCTGGCAACTCGGTGCGTCTTGCATCCCAAGCTTTCTCGGACTCGAAACACAAGCAATCTCTCTAAGGCTCTTCACTCTCATGACAAGATGGTCAACTGGAAAGCTCCGGAGTCGACAGATCGGCTCCTTGCGTCACTGATCGTGGCTCACCCCGGACTGAAGGTACAGTACAGTGCCCCGGCTCCAACCTCACCAGCTCCAACTCATCTCTAGCCCCAGGGCATGATCTAACTGATTTGATACAGCTCGACTACAAGGCCATGGCAACAGCCTTCGGGCAGGGTGCAAGCTACGACTCGATCGAAGGCCGCTTCCGTAAATGGCGAAAGATGGCCGACGAACTGCGCGGCGAACTGGAACTGCGAGGCATCAACTTCACCGAGCTGCGGGCCCGCAACAGCTCGTCTGGGATTATGACCCCGCGAACCCCTCGAGGGCCGCGCAACGGCGTGACCAAAGCCAGCCAGTCCGTTCCATTGTCGTCCCGCGCCCGCAAAGACGGCCGTACCATCTCGCAGAAGACACCGACCAGGCCCGCGAAAACCGGTAGCAGCACCAGCGCCACTCACGGTGGCTCGCTCGTGCAGGCGATCTTTGTAGAGGATAGCACCGAGGAGGAGGACAAGAAGCATCTGAAGTTCAAGCGCGAGAGCAGCGAGGCCGTGCCCTACGGGCTCATGACCCCAGGCAAGGAGCCCGACGACCTGATGATCGTGGACGCTCCTCCTGCGACCGGTGGTGGTGCTGGTGTCTCTTCTGCGCTCACATCCAGACACGGTAACGCCCGGTCGGACAGGGACGCTCAGAAGGCCCTTGTGCCTGACCCCCCGACCATCTCTGGCTTTGAGCCACGAGGCCATGCGTCGTCCTCCACTGTCGATCTTCATCACTCCGGCCTCCATCCAATGGATGACATCCAGCAGCGGCTACACGGGCATGTTTATGCGTTCGATCATCTGTTGGACTCGGTCCCGTCTGGGTCGTATCTTGGTGGTGATGTCGTTTAGTACGGCATCTGATGTATATCTCTCACGCTTCAACGTTCCGTTCCGTTTCGTTCCCTGGGCAAGGTCATTCTCCCCGCTATCGATTCCCTACATCTTTTGTATTTCTATTCTGGAAATATTGTTCAAACTCTCAGGCACACCCGTACAGTAATGAACAAAGTGGCGAGAGAGAAAATAAAGGTTTTTATGTGTGTGGCTGAGCCGGCGCCGGTCTTTACAGCTGGCAATGGAGGAGGGAGGAAAGTTGATAGATCATGTTGGCGGGCTTGTCTCCATGCATCGGAGCCATGGTCTAGAACAAGACATGCTGCCGCGGGGCTAACTTCCCAAAAAAAAAAAAAAAAAAAAACTCAGACATCACCCAGTTCATGTATTTAAAGAATGCATCCCATGCTAATGCATGGTTCGAGAAAGCCAAATCTTGTGGGCTTATGTAGAAGATATGCAGGTATACTCTTCCGTATCTAGCACTAACTTACATCCTGACAGCAAGCAACCCTAGCCCCGAGCCCTGAGCCCTACCCGCCTAATCTGGAGTATGATCATCGGCCTTGAAGGTTTCAAATCAAAGCATAAGAATGGCAGCAGGAATGTTGGCATGTCAAGATCAGTAGTAATAATGTCATCAGTTTCTACATTTCACATTCTGCATTCAGTTTACTTTTGCTGCTCATCCGGTTCAAAGTGACAGGTGTTATTGACCATGCTTCCATGGCCGGCTGCGTTCTGATAAATCAAGAAGACAAGTGAATTTGCAATACCTTGCAACATGCTCATGCTTCAAGGACCATGATCCAGCAGAAGTTCATGATAACATCAACCTGACCATATTTACCCACCTTCCAACCTACACACCCAGCGACCACCACCCCGAGGCCCCCTTGTCCCATCCCTGCCCCGGCCATCACACCCTTACAACCTTCCCCCCGCCCTCCCGGGTTTCAGATCCGTGACGAAAACCACATGCTGGCTCAACGCAAGGAGGGCACCGGACTCATCGTAGATCTGCAGGCTCACATCGTAGCGACCGCGCGCGATCTGATACGAGGTGGAGCGGGTCAGAACCCATTCCGTGGACGGATCGGGCCGTCTCTTGAACTCGATCGACAGACACAGGGTGGAGATGGCGTGCTTGGCGTAGAAGTCGGGGGTATGGGTTGCTGCGGGATGGAGAGGCTATATTTTGGGAGGTTGTGGATTTGTTCATATTAGGCTTTGAAAATGAAATACTTAGGGGGTGGGAGGTTTGTTGTGGTGACAAAATATGGGAAAGAGTTGGGGTTGGAAAAGGACGAGGATTGAAGAAGGGGAGGCGGGGGGAAATAGACTGACCAGGTCCGAGAGGTATGCTAGATGCAGAATGTCGGAGAATTTGGTCCCATCACGGAAGGAGAGCCATACTTCGCGGTTGTGTCCCCCGAGGCGATGGCCCCAGAGCCCGTTGGCGGAGCGGGGTGCAACCCAGTGCACTTTGCGGGTTACTGGGGTGGCGTCGACCACGGGGTCATCGATGGTGGTGCATTCTGTTTGTCGGTTGGGTAATGATGGTCTAATTGCTGCTGCTGCTGCTGCTGCTTTTGTTGGCGGGTGATGGGGTTCTTGGGTGAGGCCTTGTTCTTTGGAGATATCGGCATAAGTGAAAACGCCGAGGGTGGTGGTTATAAGGGATGGTGATGCTGCTGTGTTCGGGGTTTCTCTCTGGTTTTTCACAGTAGCAGCAGCAGCAGCAGCAGCAGCAGCAGCAGCACGTTTCAACTCAACCGTGACGACGGACCGTCGGGATGAGGTCCGTGAGATGGCACAGGTAATGGTGCACTCGCCAGGGTGGACTTCCCGGAGGAAGTGTACAAATGCATGCACGGGGTCGGGATAAAGGCCATCGCCCAGCTCCTGTTCAAGAAATTTCCGACCAGCGGACAACATAACCGCCGCGGAGAACCCCCCCAAAACAGAACTGTCTCGGGTCAACTCAACTCAGTGGGGGAGGTTGAGGCGCTCGCGAACGCGCGCGCGCAGCAGCAGCAGTCGGACGGACATACTGTTGAGTGCACCAATCTCGGGTGATTGTGACGGTGAACTGACCTCGCGTCCCTGGTACAGGCGCTACGGATGACACTACCTCCAACAAACTAGGTTTGGTTTGCGGTGGCATGTTGGTTTTCAACGAGAGCAGGTTTAATCGCCGGTGTCAAGGGTATTAAATACGAAGTTGTTGCTACTGGGGAGGATTTCGGGGCTGCAGAGACAGGAGGGCGTGCGGACTCGTTCGTGTATAGAGAAAAGAGCAACCGATCGCCTGGGCTGTCTGGAGCCGGACTTTGGATTCAACGTGGTTCATATAGGAACCCCGACCAGTCTGGGGTATTTGGAGAAGAGGGGATAGCTCATTGTGTCCTCAACTCTGCATGGATTTGTACCACCCTGTCAAAGGCCTACAACCTGTAGGAGGAGATTCGTCGGTTTCGTGAAAGACGGAGGACCAGCCATGGGCGACTAGCATGGTTGGAATTTGGAATGACGACACTAAGACTGCAGTGCAAGAACCAGTGCCAGACCAGGCATTGACAGTTTTTGAATGCTCCCGGAACTCCGCCGTGCGGGCTGGACAAGTGGCCAGCAAGAGCAAGAGTAATTCATTGCCCAACCACGATCCATGGAATGCAGATCGGGAGTCGATTCAGGTTCTGGGCTGCAAAGACTTAATGCGGGAGATCATCTCGGAGAAGAGATTTTTGGATTAGCGAGCCGAGGTTCATGGATAAAGAAGGGCTGGCTTCGATGCGAGGCAACCTTGAAGATGGGGGATATCCCAAACAGGTTATATGATGTGTGATGTGTGGACTGTATGTACAGTAGTTATACAGTACTGTACTCGGAGTAGCACCGCTGTTTATGTATGAAGCTTTCTGGAGGTGGGGAGGGGAGGGGGCGTCGGAACACAACCGGTCAGGCCGTTAGGTCCATAATAATACCACTCGATAATAAGAAAAGATGCGATGCCGCCTTCTGATTGTCCCTTAAATCCGTAAGTTCATTAACATCTGTATGGGGATGAAATGGAGGAGAAATCATGGATCGGTTGATTTCGACCCAACCTGAGCTCCAAACGACCAAAACGACCAAATCAACCCGCCGACCGCCGATCACGTGGACTGACGCGGACGCGGCGCGGTTTTCGCCGCTCGGCTTTTGCTCTTTTTTGCCTCTGCCTTTGATTTCTTTTGCTTTTGCTTTTCTTTTGCCTTTGCCTTTGCTTTTGCTTTCAGGCATTAATTATTTTATTCATGTAATTTCATTTGGGGCAAGCGGCGGCGGCCAAACTGGAAATCTCCTGATCCTTCCCTCTATTTTCTCCCTTTCCTTTTCCCTTTCTTATCCTCCGTCCATCCTCCCCTCCCTCTTCTCCTTTTTCTTTCCTTCCCCTCCCATTAGGGGCCGTTCTGCCCTACCTCACTTATCCAAGGATATTGTGTGTGTGTGTGTGTGCGTGTGTGTCTGTGGTGTGTTGTGTGCTTCTTTGAGAAAAGAGATTAATCCCTTCTAAGTCAATCTCTCCGAAATGGAGTATTCCGGAACTACGGTCCTGAACCCCGTGCGGCCCGATCACTCGTTATGGGGAAGAAGCACACCGCAATCTCAGATTATCATCAACCCCTCGCAGTCGTCCTCGGCCGCCATTAAGCCCGACCCCATCACTCTCCCTATCACCACCACCACGACCACCACGACCACTATCACCGCTACTGCCACCGCCACTGCCCTGATCATGAATAAAGATTCGCCCTCGCAGTCGCTCTCCCAATCCACCTCGGTTGACAAGCCCATTCTGCCCATGGAACCCACCCACCCGGGTCGCGGCAAACAACTCACCATTCCCGAGCAAGTATGCCTTGTCAAACTATGTGCCGCCTCCATGGATGACTACGATGCCCACGCCTACCCGAAGAGTTTCTGGATCAAGATCGCCAACACGCTCGAGATGCGGACCGGCCGTCGCTACTCCTGGCAATCTTGTCGTCGTCGCATCTACACCTACGTCGCCAAACGCTCCGCTTACTATGAATCCTTCCGACAAGGTCGCCCCCACCCGACCATCGACATTCCCAAGGAAGTTCTCGGCCTATTGAACCATTGGATTAGCGACATTGATCGGGCCAAGTACACTGAGAACCGCCTGGCCGAGGAAGTGCGGACCAAGCCCAAGCCCGTTGCTCCGGTCGCTGCACCGGTGCACAAGGAGACCACCACGGCCCAGCCGGCGGCGCGGGTCACCCTTCCCGAACACGATATGGTGGTCGCCATGAACCGGGTATATACCTGGCTCCGGAATCTCCCACCCCCGGAGGAGATGGAGCAGATGGCGATTTGGGGCGAGGAACCGAAGGTCGCCGCCGCTCCAGTGCGAACGCGGAGTGATGTATTCGCCGCCTTCGCTCGCCCACTCAGCGGAGATACTACCCCGCAGCAAACGCACCGGTCGCTCTTGGGAGTCGGGGAACGCCTTGGTCAAACAACTGCCCAGCGTTTGGCGGAGGAAAGGACCGGCTCCCCTTCGCAGGCAATGGCTCCGCGGTCATCGTCTATGGCTCTCCATCAGTCCTCTCTAGGTCACAATCCTCTCAAAAGACATCGGGATACCGATGACGAGGGCGTCTGCGACCGTCCCGCTCAACGTCTTCGCGCCTACCCTGATGGCAATGCGGCCGCCTTGAACACGGCCCTTGGTGGATCTGTGGACAAGTCGTTGCTCGTGTTCCGCCACAAGATGAAGATGATCGAAGAATGTATTGAGTTCACCTTCGGCAAGATTATCGACCGAATCTCCCCGGGCATGGGACGACAGGAGACCAAGCCGCCGGGGTTTCCGGGAGCGTGCGAGTCGATCATTAATGATCTTTTCAAGGATGTGGGCATGTCGGTTGCCCGGGCCTTGTTGCGCATCGACAAGGCATCTGCTGCAGAACGTGCAGCCACGAACACGAACTAAATCGATCGGCATATCGATACACACATACGACATTCGTACATATATACCTTCATGATGATTGAGTGATATGAGGTTTCTTTACGTCTATACCTGATCTTTGGCCTAGCTTGATTCACCGCTTCAGCACGCTGCTCTTTTTTTTTTTCTCCTTTCTTAATTTGCATTTCACATGGGTGGCTCTGTATCTTTGACATTGTTGTTTTCCCTTTTTGCATTGTTCATCCATCGCATTTACCTTTCATCTGTTCTCATGAGCATCAAATTGCCTAGAGATACCCATTTCCTTGCAGCTTGAGCATTGCGTTGTTTACGATTATTCTTGATGTTTTCATTATGTTTCAAAATTTTGCATCGTTCCTTTCCGATTACAGTTGCATATATAGCATAGCATGCATACCTACCCCATAGACTGATCAGAATGAGGTAATTGGACTTGGACTTAATTTCACCCGATCCGACTTGCTAGTAGTGTCTCCATGAGTGGTATCATGATTTTTTGAAGGGTCTGTAGTTCGAGTTGCCATGTTGGCATGAAGGAGGTTCTCATCGGGATTTCCTCGATCATTTGGTCCAACTTCGAAGGATATCCCATTTAGTGTACCATGGCCTTCGCCTTCGCTGAACATCTCTCCACATCCTCGAAATTCTCGCTGCATGTCGTAGGGGTATCTGGAGCTAGAGTTTAGTTTCTCCTGCGAGATGGATTAAACAAACAGTAAAGCCAACAAGACTTACGTATAAAAAAAGAGCTGCTCAGCAGCTCTGAGATGAGCCCTCTAACACGATGAAGAGCCAGTGATGGTCGTTGATGTTGACCTTACACGCTTCATAGCTAGACAACCGATCTGACACATATCCCATCATACTTGGTCTGAACAAGTACCAAGCAACAGCTGAGCAGTGATTAGAACAAGAAATAAGATTCTTGGGAGTGCTGCACTTTCTACTTCGGGAAGGCTGTAAAGATGGGGACCAGGATCAACCGGGCGACACAGTAGCAACGGTCCCCGGGCCGACATGCTAGCGTAGCATCATCATTTCGTGAGATGTGTTGGATTTCCGTTTTGCTTCCCCGCCTTTCACTTACCCCTTAATGAGGGATAGGATAGATCATGCGGTCGTCGATTATGACCCCAGATACATTCTCACCACACGCCTGTTGGTGGGTGTCACATGAAAAAGCTGCACTGCAGTATGTTCGAAGTTTGCTGTTGGCAAGTTCTTCATAATGTCCGATATTTTTGGTGAGAAGCTGTCTCGGGCTTTCGTGGTAGCTTGGCCAGAAAGGGGCCAGGTGGACTGAATGTGCCAGTAGAGGCTCTTGACCGTGAAAGAACGTCAATGCCGTGAGCACAGCAGTATGCATGAATTGCTTGAGTGCTTTCCTCCTTGATGTCTTGAAAGTGTTGAAGATAAACAAGGAAATTTGGTTTGACTGTGCTGAAGACCCAGAGGATTTCTTGGCTAAGTAGACGCTCGCGAGGGCATGGACACACAGGCAAAGAAAATCAATGGCAAAGAGTAATCCATTGATCGATGATTTCCTCCATATCGTGAGCGATGCCCCACTGAGAAAACAAGCAGCGGAACAATTTCTGTAGAGAGTTCATCTCATACAGCAAATTGCGCACCGCCCCCATTCCTGGAGGAGAGTCGGTTCGACCCTCTTCGACAAAACGGCGAGTCTCTGACCCAGTCGAGGGGCGGAGAGTGTCACATCCAAGGTTCAGATCAGCCCTCGAGAGCAAAGCGTCTTGCCAGACAATAGTACGAGGAAGGTGGATATTGGTCACCCCGGCGAGCGAGAAAACAACGTAGATAGTCGTTGCAGAGAACAGGGAGCTAGGCATGTGGATAACATGGGCACGCCCCCTTGGCAACTGCTCGACAATATCCTGGATCGCAATCGCGTGCAGCAATGCGCGACGAGCATCTTCAGTGTTGACCCATTTGACCATATCGAATCCAGGTCTCATTGTCCGAGAGCCGCCGGAGACATGCTGTGTGATGTCGTAGCGAGAGCATACGTGTCTGCAAAGAATGGTGGAGTTGATCAT